CTGGTTGTCTCGACCAACAATAATGCCATAATACGTATTTTCTGATCCGGAGCCGGAGAACGCTAAAAAGATTGCACACTCCGAGACGCAGAGAACATTGTTTGCACATAGAAATCACACCCCTGTAATGCTGAGTGATGCATGCACTGTCACCCCAGGCAACTCGGTCGTCTGAATTCCAGCCTATTATGACAGCTATACGCACAAAGGCCAATCTTCAAAAGCCGCACTACCAGCTAAAGCAAAAAAAAGATATCCAAGATACCCGACTGGCAGGACAGAGTGGATGTTACAAAAATTAAGGTGGTGTGAACGCTATCTACGGCTCCGGAAAATTAATAGACAATGCCACGCTGCACCAATTTACGTGCACTGCCAGTAGGCAGTTTCCCGATTGATGTAGTCTTGTCAGCTCATGCATGCATCTTCTATTTTGATGTGCGGGCCATATTGAAGAGTGAAAAATACTCTCGTAAGGACTTTTGCGGCAAAACTAGTAGATCCTTCTTTGTGCAAAAGATTTAAAAAGCACAACTTGTTCTATTGGGACTCTCCCATTTTTGCAAAATATGGCTAAATAAACATCCATGTTTCCATACCAAGCTCCTCCTAATGGCATACCCAATCAGTGCTACCCTAACAATCCTGGACAGCAAAACCTGCAATCGTTCGCCTATTCGACCTTGGTGGATCCTTCGCTGCAACGACGTGGCTCTGGATCCAGACGGCCCCGGGCAAAATTCAGCTGCCAGAACTGCCACAATAGAAAAGTACGGTGCGACATCTCGGTCAAAAACGACAACCTATCCAGCGCAACCTCCTTCATCCCCTGCACCAATTGCAAGCTTAACGGCACAACATGTCAGGCTTTCGAACGCAAAAAAATGTACGACACAAAGAGGAAAAAACAGCAGTCCACGCAGAACCTGTTGGGCTCGGCTAGCGGCAAGGGTTCTTCAGACATGCAGCAAAATGCCGAGTTGGCTTCTGAATTATTTCTCGCTGCCAATTTGGACTCAATCACCGTGAAACCATATAATTTGTCGGACAACCGGCTCTCCAAGTTGGTCACCCACAAACTGTGTCCGGACCCTATCTTCCTCGATGACTACTACGGCACAGCGAGCCCAAACGTCCTGGTGAGGGAGCAGCCAAGGCTTGACCGAATAAAAACTGACGCACTTAAGGTGCCTCCTTTGGAGGTGTGCTGGCTGCTGATCGACCGCTTTTTCGACAAACTCAACTACCAGCTACCCATCGTCAACCGCAAAGCATTCTACGAGCAGAACCAGAACCTGCGCACGCCGTCTTCTGTGCTGCTTCTGCTCGCCATTCTATTTGCTGGCTCTAGGGACATCGACAGCGACCAGTGGTCCCCTGCGCAGCTCCAGCGGCAACAAACGCTAACCCAGCGTCTTTTCCAGAAGGCTCGACTTGCATACGAGGCTGAAATTGAGACAGAGCCACTGTATATCGTCCAGACTCTCGTCATCTTCAGCTGTCACGCTCCGCACTATACCAGCAGAGACCCTTTCTACTGGATCGAACTCGCACTGTTCACTGCCGAGCAGTACGGGTTCCATGTTTCCAACAGCCCGGAGCTCCGCGTCGTTTGGTGGATCGCATACACTCAGTACCATCTGCTGCACCTGGCCCATGTGATCAAACCAAGCCATCCGCCTATCCAGCGTGTCACAGAGGCCGATCTCAGGCTTTACGGGCTGGACCAGTTGCAATGCGAGTACCTAATGGTGCTGATGCACATGTGCACGGTGCACACGCAAGCATGGACAATTCCTCCGGACGACAACACCGCGATGAGAATCGACATGTTGTGGGCAGAGTGGTTCCACAGGCTCCCGAAAAGTCTGATTTATCGCATCGACTCGCGGGCCGCTAAATCGGTCCTGTCTCTGGTGATCAATATGGTGCACCAGGCGTTTCTAATAATCAACCATAGGGCCAATGTTAGACGATTGAGCCGCAACGGGCCCATTTCCACGGACTATTTCCCATCATGGGCCGTCACCATCAAAAGTGCATACCTGATCTCTGCAAGCACGCAAAATCTGGCAGAGATTAATGAGCTGCGACACTTCCTAGGCATCTTCCCGCAGCTGCTGTACATCTCGTGTCTTGGATACCTTCTGCACATCAACAGTGAGGACCTGAGGGCCAGAGAGATCGCACGAAACAAAATCAACTTTAATCTCCACCATCTCGACAACATGAGCTATAAGTGGCCTGTTGCCAATCAGCTCGTATACCAGATACGAAGACGTATGGAACTCAAATACGATGCGACTGAAATTCGGATCTGCTCGACTCCTAGCGAGACGTTCGACGCTACCCAACTGTATCACTGCTTCCTATCGAAGTCAAGAACCTCGATTCCTAATTTGATCCAGTCCCAGGAATCTGAAAGCGACGACTTTGTCTATTTGTCGAGGAAATTCGAACTGGGGGACGTTTTCTGGAACCCGCAAATGGTCACATACCCGGGCAGAGAGTTACCGAATCATCTAGGGGTTCCGGATGACCACCTCTCTTTCGTTTTTACGTGAGTGTAGCATGTATTATAATGTATACTAAATTTCAGAACTTGAGGCTGTGCACTAGACAATAAATAATCTTAAATTTAGAGGCAAATCAAGGCCAGTTTGCTAATTACATGTCCGCACCAAAGCAGCCATTTCCACCAGGGAAAGCGCAATTGCTTTTTGTCAAGTCAAAAGTGTACATCCATGTGACCAATTCGAAGAAAGACAACGTTCCAGGATACATTGTGATCGCCAAACCTTATATGGACTCTCCCAATCTGGATCTCGTGGTTGCTTTTATCCCAGAAACAGACGTGGATAAAGAGGACAAGGAGGCGCTAGACTATTTCGATCTGTACGGATTGGATGGAGAAAATACCAGCTTTTACGGTTCTGGCAACACAGACAGGGGCTCCACGCAGGAGCTTATTTCCAGCAATCATCTGCCCAAGGTGAACAAGTACATCACAAGGCCCAAGATGTCCTCGCTGTCGTCATACGCCTTTGGGTTGACCATCTCCAACATATACAGTATCCAGATCCGCCCAAAGGCCTCTACTCTGTGGTACGGGTCGGTGGTGCTGCATCCTAAAAACTCGCTAGAAAAAGTGCCTGCTTTATTTTTCCACGATGACGAGTGCCCAGGGACAATTCGCGAGGAGAAATTGAAAAACCAGAGTTTCAATCCTTTTGCAGAGAATATGAACGGTGGTCTGTATTGGGGTGGAGACAGATTCATCAGCTGTCTGCGGAATTATTGTGTGCTGGAGCAGTCTCCTTTGGAAAAGGGCATGGTTTTGGTGAATCCTACCAAGGAAGATAGCATCAATTTTATTCCCAACATTATTGACACCAAGGATCCTTTGGAAAACGCCTCACAGACGGTCGACCAGTTCATTACAAACGCAAAATGGAAGGTTTTGACCGGACTGGCCAGTATCACCTCTTTTGCCAGGAAGCAAATCGGCCAGGTAGCAGAAAGCAATAAGATACCAGAACCTATCAAGAAACTGTTGCAAAAGCCCGAAGTGCGGGTCATCGGTGACGAGTTTGATAGTGCAAATGTCTACTTGGCCAGATGGGCACTCGCGGTTCAGCAGGAGGCCGAGAAGTCGCGGAAGCTCATCATCGGTAACAACTACTATCACCAACTTATCAAAAGCGAGCTAGGCGAGAATTTTGGCAATCTGACGCCATATGAGCTGTCGAAGGCTACGAGGCTCAAGCCAGTGTCAGACATAGAGTGGACCAATATGTTTGATAGCGCCGGCAGACTGCAAATTACTGTGGAGGAAGTGAAAGACCGCATTTTCCATGGCGGTCTCGAGCCTTCTGCACGCAAAGAGGCATGGCTTTTCTTGTTAGGAGTGTTTCCTTGGGACACCAGCCGACACGAGAGAGAACAGCTTATCCAATCGTTACGCGATAGCTACAACGAGTACAAAGAAAAATGGAAAACAGATATGGAGCGACAGATGAACGATGAATTTTGGAAAGACCAAAAAGTGAGGATCCACAAGGATATCCGCAGAACCGACCGCGACATCGACATGTTCAAGCCTACTTCTCCAGAGAACGATAATGATGACGACGATGACAACTGTGATTTTGGCAACCCTAACCTCACCGTTTTAAGAGATATATTGTTTTCCTACAACGAGCTGAACTACAATTTGGGCTATGTTCAGGGGATGAGTGATCTTCTATCGCCAATATACTACGTGATACAGGACGAATCGCTTTCCTTTTGGGCGTTTGCATCGTTCATGGAGTCAATGGAGCGCAACTTTGTCAAAGACCTCAGTGGAATGAAACTTCAGATGCAGACACTAAATGAGCTTGTGCAGTTCATGATCCCAGAGCTGTATCTGCATCTGGAGAAGTGCGACGCCAACAGTTTGTTTTTCTTTTTCAGAATGCTGCTTGTCTGGTTCAAACGAGAGCTATCTTTCAAGGATACAATGAGGCTCTGGGAAATCTTATGGACCAACTACTATTCTTCGCAGTTCGTTCTGTTTTTCGCCCTTGCCATCATGGAGAAGAATTCGAAAATCATTGTCAACAATCTGAATCAGTTTGACCAGATCCTCAAGTTCATGAACGACTTGAGTGGTCATTTGGACGTTGACGACCTGCTTATGCGCGCAGAGCTGTTATTCCTTAAATTCAGACAGATGGTTGAGTTACTTGACAGGAAGAACTCGAAGACCGGAGCACACGCTTTGAAGGAGACTACGGAGACGGTCGTGAGCGACGAGCTGCGCCAGCTGCTCTCAAAGGAGCCTGTTATTCAAAAAGAAGAGCCAAGAACCAGCGACACTCCATTCGGTTGAGTATGTATGTATGTATTTACGTAATCAAACAGACGAGGGCCCGGGCTCTTGGCATCTTTGCACCGATGTAATACGGTTGCGAAAAAAAAAACCTTTCACCATCCAAAGGCTTCATTGTGGAGAGGCGATTGTTGTACTGTTGTCATTTCTACTAATAAAGACTTTGCCAACTCCAAATTTCGTTCTGCAAAGTATATTCGTTTTCGTACCCACATCAGCGGTGTAAGGAAGCTTGATATCAACCTGAACCCGATTGTTTATTTTTTAGTCAAAACATCAAAACACCAGCAGCTCAGAAAAAATAACAATGGCTCCCAACGATACCGAGTCGTCGCTGGAGTCGGCTGCTGCTACTGCCACAGCTGCCATGAAAGCCAGCGAGCAAGAAAAAACGTCGAATGCCGTGCTTGAAGACGAAAATTTGATTAACAACTTGGTGGAGAGCTTGGATAAGCCGGACGACACAGATGCTTCCATCAAAGCTGAAGAGTCTCTGGTGGACCCGTCTTTGTCGCGGTCGCCGCTAGATCAAGTTCTACTGGGGCAGAAGTTCATTTTGCTGGGAAACAGTGCGGCAAATGAGGATGTTGGCCACGTGATTGAGGAATTGGGAGGAAGCGTGGTGAGTGGTGAAAACGGTCAAGGAATATATCTTGCTCGGTCTGCGTCGGACGTGAACCCAAGTATCAACGTTCCTGTTTACTCTTTCAACTTTGTGTACACGGCGCAAAGAGATCACGTTTTGCCCGACCTGAACGATTTCAAAATCCGCCGGCCACCCCAGCTACCGCAGAACCTCAACATCAACATTGGCGAATTGGCGAAAACGGGGCTCAAGGAAAATGAGTCTGTAGAGAGCGCGTTATCGATGAGCGCAGAGCCGCAGAAGAAACGGTCTATGAAATTTACAGAGCTGGAGGACGCTTGTATCTTAGACTTGATCAGAAGAAATCCGAATCTGCGTTCGACGCACAGCTTTTTCGCCAAAATTGCTCAGCTGCCCGTGTTGAGCGGCCACACAGGCAACTCGATCCGGTTCAGGTTTCGCAAAATTCTAGCAGATAAGCTTGACTACGTGTACCAGGTGGATCCTCAAACTAACAAGCTTATCCTGGATCCGGTGACAAATGAGCCAATTAAGATCAAGGACCTTCCAAGCCTGCTCAAGTCACAATACACCGCCGAAGAGGACTACGAGCTGTGCAAGCACATTTTACATTTCAAAGAGAACATGTCGCAATATGCCAAGAAACGTAAGCTGGACGGTAACAGCATTCCTGAATCTGTCTTCACCGAACTGGTGGCAAAGTTCCCTAGACACAGTGCAATGTCGTGGAGAGACCGGTACCGGAAGTTTGCCTCGAAATACGGCTTGGAAGAGTATATGAAGTACTACGAGGATTGTCTGGCGAAGAACATCACTCCGCAGCCAATGAAGAATCTTAGTTCGAGAGCGAAGGATTCCAAGGACGCGAAGAGAATGAAGCTGGACGACAAAAACGACATGGTTCCTAGTCTGGATAGAATCGAGGCCCTTGCGCGTGTTTCTGTGGAACGCAAAGAAACCGAGGAAAATGCTGCAAAGAAAGAAGATAGCCCAGAGGCTAAGGGCGAGAAAGACAAACGGCTCGACGACGGGTCTGCTTCTGCTAATCTGTTTGAAGACGCTAACGAGGACGAGATCAAGGCTCTGAACGACGATCTGAGCAAGTTTGACGCTCTGCCTTCGATCGAGACCGAGGGCAACTTCTCGTTCGAGGAGCTCAAGAAGGAGGACCCCGAGCCGCTGAAAAACAAGTCCCTGATCAACGTCGAGGAGACCTGTGCGCAGATTGAGCAGATATTCGGGAGCTTTGGCTCATCCATCACCACATCTTTTGAGCTGTTCAAGGTGATGAACGAAAAAGTTGGGCTCTCGATGGGGTGGCTGACGTACTGGTTTGACTGTTCTTGCGGCCATCTGAATCTATTCATGGCGGCCATTCTCAACTATATCCGGAACGACGAGCTAATACTGAGCAATTATCCCGGATTTTGGACTTCTGAGCACGATCGCATGCTCAAGGAAGAAGACAAAATCTCGGACTTAATCAAGCTACACGGTTTGGAGTCGGTCACGAAACGGCGAGAAGCACTGTACGGCGAATAAGTGTATAGCATCTTTTGCTTTGGTACTGAAATAAATCCGTGAGTTTGGACTGTCCACGACCCATCGCGTACCTATCCCCATTCATGTTGCTTCTGCACTGAGATAAAATCCGCAAGTTTAGAGCGTCCACGACCTCTGTATATTTATCTCCGTCTTTGTGGAAACCCCAGAGGTAGTCTATATAAGGACTAGCAATTTTCCTCACAACGCTCACTAAAAACAACAGAACTCATGTCTTTTGAAGGAAAGTCTACTTTGATCACTGGCGCCAACAAGAACCTCGGAAAAGAGACCGCTCTGGCCTTTGCCAAGGGTGGTAGCAACCTTGCTTTGCACTACCACTCTGCCAAGGAAAAAGACGCATTGACCAAATTTGCTTCTGACCTTGAGTCGAAGTACAAGATCAAGACGGTCGTTATCTCTGGGGACCTCACCAAGGAGGAAGACACCAAGAACTTGTTCGCTTCTGCCATTTCTGCCCTGGGCAAAATTGACATTGCCATTAACAATGTTGGTATGGTGCTGAGAAAGCCATTGGCCGAGGTCTCTTTGGCCGAATACGATAAGATGTTTGACACCAACACCAAAGCCTCGTTCCTATTCCTCAGAGAGGCTGCCAACAAGGTTGCAGAAGATGGATCGGTTATCATGCTCACCACGTCTCTTTTGGCAGCATACACCGAGGGCTACTCCATCTACCAGGCTGCCAAGGCTGGCGTCCACATGATGTGCAAGGCCTTGTCGAAAGAAACGACTCGTAGAATCTCGTTCAACTGCGTGTCTCCAGGTCCGATGGACACACCATTTTTGTATGGCCAGGAGACCAAGGAGCGGGTCGAATTTTTCAAGGCACAGAGTCCTTATGGCAGACTCACAGAAATTTCGGACATTGTGCCAATTCTCACCTTTTTGGCTAAAGACGGTCACTGGATCACTGGCCAAAACCTGTTTGCAAACAACGGATTCGTTGCTCCATTTTAGGCTAAGCTATGTTGAATGGATTTTACTTTGGATATTTTTTGCTCCACATCCCTATCACCGCGCTGATGGATGCAACCCTTGCTGTCCCGCGTACTTGGCAGCTGGACATTCAGAAGCGGCTGAGCGACTTCCATGTAGCCCACAACAAGGACTTCTTGTGCGCCGAGCCGCCGCTGTGGCTCCAGTTTTTTGTCGTGTTTGAGCTCGTCTTCCAACTGCCCTTGTTCGTGGTTGCTGTGGCCAACTACTGGAAAAACAAACGCTACACGCCCAGGCTGTACCCCTACATGCTATTGTACGGCTTCAATGCGTCGTTCACCACGCTGTGCTGCCTAGTCTATGTCTACTTTGAGAGTGCGGCACACGGTCTCACAACCACAGAGACGCTCAACCTCTTAGGAGTCTACTTCCCCACGTTTGTGATCCCTGCAATGATGACCATCGACTTTGCGTCGCGCATCAATGCCAACATATCTGGAAAACAGCACACAGATTAGCCGATAAACTAGTTGTATTTAGCCTGCAATTCATCGACCAGAGCAATGTATTTCTTCTCGGCCTCCTCCTGGGAAGTTCCCTCGAGCTTCTTCCAGGCCTCCCATTTGTACTTGCCCTTGAAGTCAAAAACACCCGGCTTCTCGGTGGTGTTGTCCCCCACCGTTGCCTGCTTGTACAAGCCGTACAATTGCAACAACTCGTCGTCGTTGGGTCTTTTGGCCATATTCTGGACCGCAGCAGCCTAGGAATTAGCACGCCACCGCAACTTGGTACTTACTTTGTCGGTGAATTCTTGAGAAACCATGGTTGTAGTAGTTGAGTTTTCTTTTTGCTCAATAACCCACTTGATGTGAATTTTTATTCTCTCGAGAAAAAGGCCGTCGATCGACGCTGATGGTGAACAAAACGCGAAAGAAATCAAAACCTCCATCCACCCCTTTCACTGCGATGTCTGAAGACCGAAGCCACAAACGGAAGATCCTGCTTGTTGTAGGCGTGCTGTTCCATCTGCTGTACCTGTGGTCCATATTTGACATCTATTTTGTCAGTCCATTGGTCCACGGAATGAACCATTTTGTCAGCACAAACAATCCTCCAGCCAAGCGCCTGTTCCTCATAGTTGGAGATGGCCAGCGCGCCGACAAGACATTGGCCAAAATCTACAACCCAGAAACCGGCGAAAGCGAGTATCTGGCACCGTACCTCCGCTCATTGATAGAGACTCAGGGCACGTACGGCATCTCGCACACCAGAATGCCTACCGAATCGCGACCAGGCCACGTGGCCATGATTGCCGGATTTTACGAGGATGTGAGTGCAGTCACGAAAGGCTGGAAAGAAAACCCTGTCGATTTCGACTCTGTCTTCAACCAATCGGCCCACACCTATTCTTTTGGCTCGCCAGACATTCTGCCCATGTTTGCTGCCGGAGCGTCTGATCCCAGCAGAGTGGATACCTGGATGTATGGGCATGAATTTGAGGATTTCACGTCCTCGTCCATTGAACTCGACAAGTTTGTGTTTGAACATCTAAACCAGCTGTTCGACAATTCCACGAAAGATCCAGCTCTAGATGCCCAGATCCGACAGGACAAAAACGTGTTTTTCCTGCATCTGCTGGGAACAGACACGGCAGGCCACAGCTACAGACCGTACTCCAAAGAGTACTACGACAATATCCGCTACACAGACGAGCAAATCCGCAAATTGGTGCCCAAGGTGAACAGCTTTTTTGGAGACGACAGAACCGCGTTTGTATTCACGGCAGACCATGGAATGAGCGACTTTGGTTCTCACGGTGACGGGCATCCCGATAATACACGCACACCGCTGATTTGTTGGGGTGCTGGTTGCAAAAAGCCGCTTTTTATCGATACGTCCGAAAACGAGTATCTCGCCAAAGAGCTGGTCGAGATGCAGACATGGGGGCTCGATAATATCAAACGGCACGACGTGAAACAGGCAGACATTGCCTCGCTGATGTCGTTCCTCGTTGGGCTTGATTACCCTGCCAACTCCGTGGGCGAGCTTCCGATCGAATATCTCGACGTTCCTGAGCTCGACAAAATTAGAGGTCTATATCACAATGCGCTGAGCATCCACGAGCAGTACATAGTGAAGCTGCGGGAGGTGGAAAGTAACCAGTTTGACTTCAAGCCGTTCCCAGGCTTTGAAACCAAGCCAGGCCACGTGTACAAGGCCGAGATTGAAAACCTGATTGAGCAGGTTTCCGAGGGTGTCATCGAGGCCGAGAAACCGGCCATTGAGCTCATCGAAGAGCTCATTGCGGTGTCGCTCCAGGGCCTCGACTACCTTCAAAAATACAACTGGTTGCTGCTGAGAAGTATCGTGACCCTGGGCTTTGTTGGCTGGATCGTCTACTCTTTCATTGTTTTCCTGCAATTGTACATTGTGCCGAGCCATCTCGACCGCACTATTAACAATTCTGCCGGCTGGATAGAGCGAATCAGCATCTACACACTTTTTGGGTCGCTGGCGGCCGGCCTGGGCTACGTGCTCTTCTACCAGAACTCGCCTATCAACTACTATCTGTACGCGGCTTTCCCTATCTATTTTTGGCATAGCATCGTGGAGCAGCGCCATACACTGACTGTTGGGCTGCGTGAATTCTTCAAAGGGTACAATAGATGGTTTATTGTGGTGGTGTTGGGAGCCATAGTTGGGTATTTTGAATGCATCACGATTGGTTTCACGAATCGGCGAATTTTTGTGTTCATGTTTGTGGGGCTGGGGGTTTACCCGATGGCTGTGGCAAGACTACCACTTTCACAGTGCCTGGCGTGGGTTACGACGTGCGGTATCCTCTCCTTTTTCCCCGCGCAAAATCCTGTGAAAACGGAAACCTTGGAGCTGATTGTGGCTGGCGGAGTACTGATTCTTTTGATCGGAGCAGCGGCCCTTCACTGGTTGCACATGCCCTCATACACAGCCAAATTGGTGCTGGTTCAACTGGCACTGGTGGCTCTTGCCATTGTGTCCACATCTAAGGCAGTTGTGTCACTACAGCGCCGGGAAGGACTACCTAAGGACGCGCAAGTTTTGGGGTGGCTCAATTTGGGGCTCTCGCTACTTGTGCTCCCGGTTTTGCACCAGCAGAGGCCGGATCCGAGCTACAAGACACGGTTCCTGATCATTTTCCTGGCATTTTCCCCGACGTTTGTGATCCTCACGATCTCGTTTGAGACGCTGTTTTACGTGCTATTCTCGGCATTGGTGTTCCAGTGGATCGGAGTGGAATCTGCTATGTCGTCAAAAGTGTCAAAATGGCCGCAGCTGCTTAGGGTGGCAATCATCGGATTCTTCTTCCTACAGATAGCATTTTTCGGAACCGGAAACATTGCATCGGTGTCGACCTTCTCGTTGGATTCGGTGTACCGACTGCTCCCTATATTTGATCCCTTCCCAATGGGCGCACTTCTCATGCTCAAGCTGATTATTCCCTACGTGATTTTGAGCGTGGGACTCGGGCTGATGAATCTCAAGTTGCATCTGATAATATTCAGCATCTCGTCATTGATCATTTCGTTGAGCGACTTGCTCTCGCTCAACTTTTTCTTCTTGGTCAAGACCGAGGGATCGTGGCTGGACATCGGACTAACAATCTCCAACTATTGTCTTGCCATATTGAATTCGCTCTTCATCTTGCTGCTCGAGCTACTGTCCAACATTTTGCTTGCAAAAACCGAGCTGGTGAAATCGGCCCACCACTCCACGGAGAGATCGAAAATCGACCTGGCCATCGACTCGCCCGAGTACAGATCGATTCTGCGCGAGGTCGAGCGCGTCGAGTCCCTAGGAGGATCAATTGCAACAAGGATTAAGCGCAGATCGGCCAAGACATAGACCGATAGATTGTGTATTATTACTATTGTACAACCCGTATTTTTCTGGGCGGCGCCGCATGTGTAGCTAATTTTAGCCACGGGTGCGGCTAAATGCAGTATCGGCCCCTGGGAGTATGCTCGGCGCGAAGAGCGAAAAAATCAAACCGGTGAGGGGTTTGCGGGCTTTATGGTTCTGCGGTGGAGTCTCAACCAAGTGGTGTTTCCGAGCCCCGCGACGCACCAGTTCTCTTCCCAATGACGACTATAACCATAAAATTGAGACACCAATGGAATATTAAATAGCCATCCTGTTTTGGGTAAAAAGCGTCTGCTGTACCCAAATACATGAATTGCAGTCATATTTCCAATGCTAGATTGCCTTTAAAGGCTATCATAGTGGAAGGTATCAGACAGTAATGCACGAAGCTCTGCATCGTGCATCTCCACTATTTAGATCTCAGTTCACGACAAGCAGTACTTTGAGGCCCACGCAGGGTTCCGGATAAGCTGCTGTTCAGTTACACATCGACCAGTACTCTCCAACACACTTTGCCATGTAATTGGAAAAATGTAACGCTCGTAAATCGGCCTTCGGCCTCCACACCCGAAAGTAAAATCTCCGCCCATTTTTAGTAACAATTATGCACGGCAAAGTGCACAGATCCCTCTTTTTTATTCTTGTTAGGGATAGTCTTCACATACAAAAAGTTTGCAGTCACAACATTGTATGCGCTCTTCTGCACTCAAGATAAACATTTCGAGATCCATGTTTCTTTGTTATGTGCCAGTCCCTGATATACCACTGTCCTATATAAACCCTTCATTCTTACCTTTCTAGCATGTTTGCCTTATTTTTTTATTTAGTGTGCTGCCTTGCCCGGAACGTTACCTTCGATCCTTCAGGGATTTCGGAGCTTCTGCAAACATTCTATGAGAACCCGGTCACCACGGGGGACGCATATGCAGCATATCTCTACTATCTTGATGCTTACAGGCTTGATAAGACTCTGTATAGCACCCAATACCCTTCGGACATTCTCTCTGGTCTAAAAACCCAGTCCTTCTCAGAACTGGCTTCTAGCGAGAAGTATTTCCTTGAGCAGGTCACCACTCTCCCATTTGCCGATAGGCTATACCAAGAAGCTGCGTACATCGCCACTGCAACCACAGACACGGACTATTATATCACCTTAACTGGCTCTTACTCTACGGACAACATTGACTGGACGTCATTCTGGAACTCTTACCACGGCTACTCCTCTACTGAAGCTCCTGAGTCTACTGAAGCTCCTGAGTCAACCTCCTCTGCAATGGGAATGAGAGGCTATGTGGCTCCGGGTCTGATGTCGGCATTTTCCCTTGCCCTCATGTTGTTGTAGATGCGGAAAGACTTGATATGATTTGGCAGGCTCTAAGTTTCCTCAATAAGCTCTCATAACTAGGTCAGCGTTTTAAATTGTATCTCTTGTACGCGTATCAGTATCGTCATAATCATAAACAGATATCGGCGCCTGCCGTAAAGCTGATGTTTTAGCTCACAATGATCAATTGTGTGGCTTCATCATATATCCTAACTCTAGCATTGCACTTGACTCCTCATCAAGACCCTTGACGTAGAAATGGGTAGCTATCATTAGTTGTCCAAGTAAATATAAAAATGTTGCTTGACGTGCCTAAGTAATTTTTACAGTGTAAGTCCCGATCAGCTCGTATGAGCACACAGATGGCTCTCGTGAGCCATTGGCAGCATCCTGGTCAAAATATAACGCGTACTGCTTGAAGCTCCTGCATCAGAATTGTTGGTTTCATTACAACATATTATTATGATCCCATAGAAGTGGTATCCTGAAGATTATCTAGAAAGGGTACGAAGAACTCCCAGATGGCAATTGATTCAAGTTGTATTCGTGAGCTGTGGTAGGACAAGGCTTTCATAGTGAGGTTGTTCAAAGCATTTTTTGAGTCTTCAACGACTAGTAATTTGACAGACACAATCTAATGCGCAAAAATACCTTTGCTGGCAAGTAGACGGGGCCAGACTTGGCAATCATTACCGAGAATAGAGACGGCTCAAGAAAGTTTATGATAATGGGAAGATGGTGCCAGCGATACCAGCTCATCAAGTCTTTCTGCGGACATAACGTAAACTACATCTCTTTGCGCTTCTTAATGTGTAATTATATTTATGACTCTAAATTAGTCGTGTCTCACATGAAAGGAGAAAAATTAAGTTAAACGTGGTTAAAGTATAAATAGCCCGATAAAGTGGAGTATATATTTCCAAAAGTTTCAAGAAAAGTTTTCATTCGAAATGTCCGCTTTCAACGATTACTGCTTAGTTTGCGAGAAGATATGTACAAGCAACTCTGTCTACTGCTCTGAAGAGTGTAGAGTAGTGGATCAGCAACAAACCGCCTCGCCTACTTTGTCTACCTGCCACTCCGTGCAATCCGCTCAGACGTCAAATTTCAATTCGATCCCAACAATTATCTCCCCAGTGTTGGCTCCACAGTACAACTACGTGCCTATTTGCAAGAATACATCTAGCTTGTTGAAGTCGCCACCTTTCAAGGACTTGAGCTATGAGTCACCTATGCTTGCTAGTATATGTGGTCAGAACGACTTGGACTCCAACAGACTGGATTTGAATGCTACTAAGTCAACTGCTCCGCTGAACGTGAACGAGATACCCAGATCACAGATGTATAGGTCTGCCGCCCAAAACGTGAGCGATCTACTCTCAAGCTCTCCTGCTTCGGAAAACTACAAAAAATGGCTTTCTACTCATTAAGCCGATTCCGAAAACTTGCATCTCTACATCTGCATTTCTCGAATGACTTTTAAACTCATGTCATGAAAATCATCAGGAAAACTGGGTTTTTTTCCATCATTGAAACCGCGCTGTTGCCGAATTTAGGCTGTTTATAGCGTTAGGTTACGTTAAAAAGAGCATTAGGTTCTTCATTTTGCATTATACCACTCAAAGCATATATAGTTAAGCAACTAAATTTACGTCATACTCCACTATATTAATTATAACTTCTGCAAAGAAAAAAATTTGACATGTTTCTCTTGCATTAGGTGTGGCTTTCGAACCCTTCTCGAAAAATCCAACACGCTAAAATTTTTAAATGTTGGGGAAAAAGTTTCTCCTACAACTGTAGACACAACGCGTAACTGCAACTGCGTCAAAATGCAAGACCCCTCCTTGTCCTCGTGCCCCGAGATCACACTTGCGCGCCCCTCACGATGTATACCACGTCACCATCGCAAACTTCCCTCACCACTCTTCCGTTTGCGGGCACGTAAACGTACTCCTCGGCCCCCGCTTCATCCCTTCGGCGGTGTCGGAAGATTGTAAGTTTTTTTATGCTTTCGGTAGTTCTATTGTTGTCATTCCGGATCTTGAGCAAATCTGCCGCAGAGTCAAGCAACCTCCCCACAGGCCAAGATTTTGAGACAAATATTGCTTTCTGCTCGGTCAGATGCGCATCGCCGAATTTAGACTCGTCGGGCACGTATTGGCACAAGATATACACGCGCTCAGATGCGGGGATCCTGGGATCTCCAATTGCCTGGTTCTTCAATTTTGACAATTCCACCAACCGCGATGCCGGAGTGTCCTTCTTAATGCGGAAGAAGGGCTTCGATTTCGACTTGTGGTACGAGATGAACGCCTTAAGCTTTTCCAATGCCGCATGGTTTGTTGTGGATGCAAGTGTCTGTTTCTGTTTATATTCTGCTTCAGCTTGCTTTCGTATTCTGTCCAAATCTGGGAACAAAGATGCTGACGTGACGTTGCTCGTAGGTTTCAAGGAAGGCTTTGTCACTTTTGAAACCCTGCAATTATGCTCATTGAAGTCCAATCTGTGGTCTGTGCAAAACGACGTCGAGCAATGCGGACAGGTAAACGGGAGAAAATCCACCCTTTGGCAGACGGAACATAGCCGTCCAATGTCGAGTAGTGATTCGTCTTTGGCTGCAGTCGTCATAGATTGTTGTCAAAGACAGATGCAGTATTTATATATCCTTTTCGAGTGGCAAATTTGCCACACCAGCCACGAGCCAAAAAAAAAAATATTTGTAATCTGTGTAGGTGGGTGCCCTATGATTTGTGATGTCAATGTGTTATGGCCGCAAGAGGACTACGGCTCGTCTGTGACGGCGTCACAGCTTTCTGAGCTGAAAAATAGACTTGCGGTGCTAGAAGAACTGGGATACACCCATGTTGCGCTCAATTTTCGCATACGACAAGGCCAACGACTCCCAGCACAGGTAAATCCGATCGATTTGTCATCCTTTTCCGAGTTTAAAGATCGACTCAAGCTTTTCACGAGGGTCACTCTAATTGTGGAAGATGCGTCGCAAATGCAAACGGTGGCGAAGCTCCAAAATGCCTTTGATCTCGTGGCCGTTGAACCTCGTACAGAAAAGGCTTTGACATCCTGTATAGTTAATATGGAGGTGGACCTTATTTCGTTAGACATGGCCAACAGACTTCCCTGCTACTTGAAGCACAAGACTATATGTTCTGCTACAGAAAAGGGTGCTTATTTCGAGATCAAATATTCAGATCTGGTCGACACTAGCTCAAGCACACGGGCCACTGCCATATCAAACATAAAACAACTGTTTAGAGCTTCGCGGTTGCGTGGTCTTGTGTGTTCGAGCGGTGCCAAAAGCGCAAGATGCCTACGCAATTATAACGACGTGGCCAACATGCTGGTTTTATTGGGGTTGGACCACAATCGTAGTCAGCAGGTATTCAAAGACTGGCCATTGAAAGCCCTGCTTGCTGGAAGACTCAGAATCAAGTCATACAAGCAGGTGGTGGCCATTAGCGGAGACGAGAACTTGATAGATAATTCTTTGGAGGGTAAGAACAAACAGGACGCAACACCATATAGACATCCAAAAAGAAGAAAGGAGGACAAGCTGTCTTCGATGTGACTCACACTGAAATGCTTCTTAATGCTTATAGATTAGACATCAAAGTTGTGTGCCGCTACAAATATATATACACTCGCGACTCGTGACACAAATGCCCTGCTCTATTTCTTCTTGACATTCTGGCTCAGATACTGCGCTCGCATCTTATTTTGCTGCATGGCACGTTGCAGCAGAACGCTCCTGGGTCGCGAGACGACAATCGGCTTGCGGATGCTTTTCGGCGTGACTATATGATCAACCGCCTTCACTTTGTTCTTGTTGCGCTCCAGTGTGAGGTTTCTGGTGATCTGGCGAAGGTTCTGGGTGGCCGTTCGACGCTGTAGCTCTCGTTCGCGAGCATATCTTTCGTACAGCTCTCGTGCGGGTACATTTGTCTTGCGCCCGTTTTTGATTGTGATTTGCTCACAAGGGCGTTCTGAAAAATCCCGTTGGATGAGACACTGCCAGAGCGGATCGTCGTGCGCAACGATCTGCGGAGACTGTTCCTCTATGACTCTCAAAGCCTTGGCTGTCTTTTTCTTAAGGATAGGTTCCACTAGATGATAAGGAGCCTGCCCTATGTCGTTAATCAAATGCGCATTTTGAATGCATTTAATCCGTGCCAGCTGTGTCAGCGACAACGGACCTTTCCTAGGAGGTGCTTTCTCCACTATTAGCATATAATTTGTTTAGTTTAGATTTTTGAATTATATTTTTAAACTATTTTTTCTAATTACCCACAACATTTTCATGCAGCTCCGTTAGGTCTCAGACCGCAGAAGAAATTCAGAGCATAAGCCTCAGACTCAGGAATCTCGTCAGTACCCTCTACCTTGAAGGTGATGGTGCATCCCTTAGGGAAGTAGAAGGTGTCGTGAGGAGACACAGCGTACGAAGCTCCAGTCTCGTCAGTGATGGTGAATTTTCCATGCACCTCGAGGTTGATTTTCATCTCGTCGTAGTCGTATGCATACACGAGCTCCTTTCCACCCTCTTGTCTATAGAAACCGGCAGAAATCTGTTTGTCTGGTGGGGCATCAGAAGTAAAGGTGTCTGAGAGGAAGGAGTTGTTTCCCGGTGATGGAATTGGCTCTGGCTTAACGGTGTACCCGTTTTCTTTGTGAGACTTGTAAAAGAGAGGCATGGTATGTTTTAGGCGGCCAGCGGACAGGTATTTATAGCGTTTTGATAAGGTTTAGGTACATATGGGTTCCCAATAAGGAAAAAAAATACGGGGATGGAAGTCTAGTATTTCAATATTTAAAGCTGCTGCAAAACAGTCAGAAGCTGTATTCTCGCTCACTTGAGCCACTAGCCCCTGCTGGGAGCTTTAGACTGTCTCCAAGGGTTTTGCTGAGCACGATTCTTCAACCTACCTAATCGGCTTATCGCCGGAATAGTTTTCCGTATTTGGTAATAATGCTCAAGATAAAAACGGGAGTATATATAATGGAGTACCGCACCATATTGGCCAGCAGACTTTCACCATGCCTATGAAATACCTTTCCAAAGCCAAAGGCTTTGATAAGCTACCAGCTTCTGTTGGCCCAACTTCGTATCTCGAGGACACAATGTCCTCTAACGCAGATAAAGACTTCCAGATCACTTCGGGCTTCTTTAAGCAGGTCAGCGGCGAGCCTCTCGTGTACACCTATGGTTACGACGAGATGAAAGTTGTTCTCGATGTGAAGGGTACAGTGGAAATTTCTGACGAGGAAGGAACAAAGGTGTATCCGCAAAGAGGCGACGTGCTGTACTTTAAAAAAGGCTGCACCATCACTTTCAAGGCCGTCGAGGACGATGCCTACGGACACTTCTGGTACTGTGGCCGCAAGTCATTTGGAGAATTATAAGTTTACAAAGTATGTACGAAAATAGAGTTTTAATGTACAACACCCGACACAGTGGATCTCCGCCTGTCAAAATAATTTTCACCGTGCGGCTAGCGGTGGAGCGGACTTAGCTCAAGTTTTTTTTGTTGTAGTTATCTTGTCGGACATTTCCTGCTTGCATACAGGGTATAAGATGAGCACAAGTTCTGACGAGTCACACAGCAATACGAAATATCAGCCCTACAATCCATACGCCTGCATAAGATGCCGTCGACTGAAAAAACGATGTACAAAAGACTTTCCACGATGTGCAAATTGTATTAAAAACAATGAGCAGTGTACCTACGTCGAGAGAAAAAACAGACGACGCATGCCGGAACAGACCTTTGAAAGAGTCATCGACACCCAGCATGTTGCTCCGCCCGTGCAACGAGACTCTTTACCGCCTATTTTCACTCGCCCTGTGGAGCCCCAGCCACAGTCACAACCGGCATTCCAGCGAATGAGCGGTCCTTTTGGAGGCTCCAAAGAGTTATCTTCATTTGCCTCTCAGCAGCAGCATCCTTTCATGTCATCACAACAATATCTACCCGCTCCGGGCCAAAAATACCTACCGACACCACAGCAGCAATTCCAAACCCCCGTGTTGCCTCCTTTGTCCCAGAAACCTGCCCCGTTGCACAACTTGGTGAATCGTACGACGACAGGACGCGTGCATAATGAGCCCTTTGATGGGTCGACGCGTAGACTCGACCACGAACCTGGGATTGACCTGATCCACTCGAACTTGGTCCACACCATAATGGGAAACAAAACCCCTACACCACCACTAGAGCCGTTGGCCATAAACAAAGATCTCGCGTTGCAATTTGTGAAGGCGTACTTGGACCACAATAACAGGTCGTATCCGATATTGAACGAAAATGAATTTCTGGGCAAGGTCGCAACGGTGGACTTTGACAGTTTCTTCCAGTCCCGCGGCAACTTTGAGGCATCGTTCTTTTTTGAGCTCAACATGATAATGGCCATTGGTTGCACCACCTTGGAGCGAGCAGGAGTCATCGATAAGAGCAAAGGCTATTCCAAGTATTTTTCCTCAAAGTCGATGAGTCTGCTCACCTCTGCCGTCTCCTTCCAAGACATCTCTAGCGTGCGGTCGCTGGTTCTATTGGGGATTTATTCTTTTTTCGACCCAAAAGGTCTGTACTCGTGGTCCATTGTGGGAATCTTGACCAGAATAGCAGTTTCGTTAGGACTTAATCGCAAAATCAGAGACGTGGAGGCCAAGAAAATGACCCCTGCACAGATCGAGATGAGACACAGGCTGTTCTGGGCCGTCTTCAACATGGACAGACTAATCTCCACAAGTTTTGGACGCCCTGTGGCCATCAGGGATGACGACATCAACGTTCCTTTACCCGAGCCTATTGATGGTGAAGGGGTCGAGACTCTCAACGTTACTCGTAATATAATAGAGATGAGAAGAATTGAGGGAATGATCTTGACAAACGTCCACTGTGTGAAATCGTCAGAAATTTATCCCACTGCAGAGGACAAAGACAACGTTCTCAGCAAGATTCGACAGGATATCGAAAAATGGTACAGCAACTCACGACTTTTATCGTCCAATTCGTCTCAGAAAGGAAACATATCTTTTTTGGAGTCCACGGCATGGTTCTCGGCAAGATACTACCACATGTTGATGTTGTTGTACCGCCCTTCGTACCTCTTTCCTAAACCTTCGCTTAACAATTTGGAGATTCTGGGCAGGGCCTGTCTTCAAAATTTGTCTTTCACATACAATCTTTACACTTCAAATTTGCTACCACTGAACTGGATCACGCTTTATCGCTTTTTAACAACTTGCACCACAATTTTGTACTGCTTGTGCCACTGGTCAATCGACTTGGTGGAGTCCAAGACTGACATCCATTTATGTGTCGAGATCCTCAACGGGTTCAGCGAAAACTGGTACTTTGCCAAACGCTGTGCAGAGGTGTTCAAGACCATTGACGACGCTATTCTAGACATTTCGATGAGCAGCTCCAACGGCCAGATCCAGCCAGTCGACCAGCTTTTGGTCGATTTGATGAATACGTCGTCCTCATATCACGAGATTTTGTTCGAGAATGAGGTCGATATATGGTACGGAGATGACTTTATGATTTCGGACGTGAAGAAAAAGCCGGAATCAGAGGATTAGAATAGTCTATATGTATTATTAGTCGAATCTATTTAACGCAACTGGGCATTGGAGCGGAGTTTTCGAGCTCGTTGACTTATGTATGCCCGTTGTAGCAAAGCTCGACGTAGGATGGAAATCCTGGCTTGGTGGTCTGTTAACCATAACAAATTTTTGCTCTCAATGTTTCATGGCTCCCAATCTCATAAGGGTTATGGTATGTATTTGTAAACCTCAGAAAAGTGCTGCTTTCTTTCTAAATCACAGCTTTTCTGGAAATCGACGTGCTTGGCTATCTTCTTGCTCCGTGACAAACTATTGATACTGCGGGAATAGGAATACTTGCTGCCTAGTCTCATTGAAGTTGATGGTTACTATAGGACCGGCTGATTCGTCCAGGTGACCGTATCCTAAGCCTCGCCTAAATTTGGCATCTGCGGCTCTTCCGTTGTTGGCAAACGGGTTCACTCCTAGCCTCGATGCCTGCAAAAAGCTCTTATACTTGTGGTTGCAACAACTGTCCAGAAGTAACGATGCTGGTCGGGAGGCAGTTGTTTTAGTATTTAGTGCGTGACTGTAACTTTCTGTTGTTGGGAAGCCAAAAGATGGCACCAGCAACGGGATTTTTTCCAGTAAAAGGACTATTTTCTGGCTGTCAAAGGTCGCTCGTGAAAGCAGGCTGCTAGATTAAAAATCATTCAACAAAGGGTGTCTTTGGGTAGATATATTTTGTCCCCAGAATATCGTTCTGGGGTATGGTTGCAGTTGCATCTAAAACGACAAAGATCAGTTCAAGCGGTATAATTTTATTGCCGTTATTCTCAGTAGACACAAGTTCATTGATACCTTGAATGATAGCAATCTAATGGTGACATACTTTTATAAGGTTCACCGAAAAAGGGCAATTGATCTGTAGTTGTGATTTTAATGCACACTTGAGGTTTATTTTACGTAGACTTTTGAGGTTGTTTCAAACCGGTAATTCGGGATTCTGTAGCGGCGAGACTTTCTCTTCGGACATTTATTGTCTTTTGCAACCAATGAGAGCCCGGTTCCTCGTACCCTGGGACTTCTATCTCCTCTGAGAGTCCTTCTGTTGAAAAGCTGACTGTGCATCTGAAATGAAGGCAGAACATCCTCGATCACTTGGAAAAGCTGTCCACACTTGAAGGACATGATAAATTACGCAAAGCTCAAGTCTGTCTCTACAAAAAAATATGAGTCAACCAGAGATCATCTTTTGGTGTGATACATAAGAGCTTTTTCTTATATAATTAGTAATCGGGCCTTATACAATATTCCTTGCTGATAACCTGTCGAGATAGCTAACGATAAAAGAAAGTAATAGGCTGTCTTTAGGCACATTGACATTTGCTGTAAGGGGAAACGCTGCAATCACATTTCGTTGAATATTATATCAAATAAAGTCAACTAGGCAACCCGGACCGGAACCGCCAAAGGCTGGTTTTTCCCTATCTTAAGCTCCAGAACATACTGTCTTGCCAGAAAACAGGTCTGGAAGCTTGGAATCAAATGCACATTACGAGTTTTCTTGCTCTCGTAAACCAGCGGAACAGTCACACTTGCAACGAATCCCTCTTTTGTTTTTTCCCACTTCAATCGTATGCGTTGCTCTTCAAAAATATCAAGAGCTCTCCCTTTACATCTCATCTTGTTCAGGCTAAGCGAACTCTCGTATAGCTGCTTAGATATAGGATGATGTGTCCTCTTACCAAGGCGTTGTAGCTCCCATACGTAGTGTTCAAACTTTCTGTTGATTTTGAAAATTACACTCGGCTCGTAAAACTTGCAAGGGGTGTTTTCGTTGAACACCAGAGGAAGATGGTGGCTGGAATATATGTTGAAAGCTTTCAAGCCGGGTTTCACCGTAATCTCTTCAGGTAGCACGTTGTCAGTCGTTCTCAAAACGAAGTTGACGTGGGTAGGCTCTGCGGTGAGCTCTGTAGGAACCGTAGACACACTAACGTCCTCAAAAACTGATGAATTGCTCGAAAACGTGGACTGCTTGTACCGTGGAAGTTGACTAGAGCTGTCTTTGACGCAAGACAAAGCAATTCTTTTCAAAGGAGCTGGTTCAAATGAGCTCAAGACCATTCCATCTGTACTCTCAATATCGACTTCGAATTGTGTGTCAGTCTTCAAAAACCCTTTACCCAGCTTGATTATGGACGTAGTCTTCAAGGATGGATCCCGGGGGGAACCAAAAGATTTCTTTTTCTCAGCACCTTCCGCTGCCAAGAGCTCGTCTTGTTCTTTAGTGTCCGTGATACCAGCTTCAATCAAGCCTCGACGTTCCTCAAGATCAACTAGCGTCTCTGCCACTGTGTGTTCGATCTTGTCTATCTGTTCCTCAACATCTCTACGATCGTAGCATGCTGGAATATTAGTATTAGTGAATCGGAAGGGAATGCTGAAGTCCCTCACAATGATAAACTGGTAGTCATGGGTTGTATGGCGCTTGTAAAATTTCTTATAAAGCTCCTGCGGTCTTCCCAGTAACCTCAGATTGACGCTGTAGGTAATTGACACGCCCTTATCGCAGAAGTCGTTGGTCACAATGGGACACCCTGGATCATCTGCTCTACCGTAGCCAAGAGCTTCTTTGACTCTGATATCCGTTGCCTTGCCACCTAAAGCAAACGGATTCACTCCAAAGCTCGGAGGCATTGGCAAGTGATCGAGCGTACCACTAGAGCAGGAAGTCTCTAGCAGATAAGAGGGCAGTCGGAACGCAAAACATTTTTTGTGTTTGGCTCCCGGGAAAATCTCTTTTAAATCACCAAATCCGTAAAGGGTGTCATCGATGGGGTCTCTTGATAAGCATTCTACCGTCTTATATGGAGCTGGGTTTATGCATCCGTGGTGGAAGCAAGCACTCAGATCATAGGTTCTCAAAAACGTTTGTCTGTGATACGTGGAGCAGGTGCTATTGGCTGACTGGGGGGGCAGTCATCGTTCCCTCGAGTGAGACAAGAAGCATCTCAAACGGAATAATTTCATTACATGTATTCTCAATGGTCACAAATCCCACAATCATCTCTCCAGGCTGGTAGCATCGAAGCGGAGATTCTTTCTCATAGGGTTCTCCAAAAATAGGAAATTTTTTCGTGAAGACGATAGACACTTTGAGAGGCAAATCGATAGTCTGAAGAGTACTCAAATTATTGAGTACAAGTAGATCAGGATTGTCAATTGGCGAGATAGGGTTCGCAGTGGCTACAGACTGCGAAGATGTGGTGGACTCAGGATACGATTCTCCGTATGGGGGCAAGCCAGATTGAGGGATTCTTTCGGTATCAAAGAGTGTTCGATTGAACAGGTAATTGTGCATTTCGAACGACGGCAATACGTCTTCGTAATATTCATTTTCAGCGTCGGGATTCATTGGAAGTAAGCATATGGGTACGAACTCCGGTATTTAAATGATAACCCGTACAATGAGTCAGAGATCAAAACCTTCATTACAAAAAAAATCTAGATAGATCCATTGAAAAGTTTCCCAAAATCGTAACGCGGAATACTAATTAATAATAGCAAGTGTATGCCACTTTATTGTTTGGTGACGCTAGGTTCCCATCCCAATCACCAAGAGGCTCAAATTTGTCTGCACGTGGATTTTAATACTCGTTTACGAAAACCAAGAATATCGTCCTCAATCGGTGAACAGTAGACAGGGTTCATTCTTTTAACGGGATCCTTTGTAGGGCGGTGGGCCCTAACAATGTGGAAATTATTTTGAATTTTTTTCAGCCTTCGCGACATGAGTTATAAAACAGAACGCGTGGGGTCGGGAGACGAGTCCGACAAAGAAGTGTTTTCTGACACACCAGGACACAGTGTACCGACGACTGCGGAGCTTTCAAACTTCAGCGTGACTAACTCTCCGCGTACTGCAGGAGGAAGCCCGTTTAGGTCGTGGTCTAGAGACGCAAGTGCCCGAAGAGAACGGCGTGCTGCGCGTCTGCAGAGCATTGAAATCTTGCGGGCCAAATTGGCAGGGTCTCCCAATGCCAGCTCTGAAGAAGAACAGCAGGAGCAGCTGGATATTGACAAGACACTGAATATATTACCTGTGCCAAATTTTACCATCAGAAGCACATGGAGAGGCACTAATGACGTGCCTCCGGGCAAGCATACAAATAATATAGGCACGTCTGCTTCAGAATTCAATGAAATAGACAACTTACAGAAACAGTTGACGGATTGCAAAATCCAACTGAGATTACAGAAGGAGTTGCTGCTGGAGCGATACGGTGAAGAGAGCTCAGCAATGGAGTTTCTGAAGCGTCAGTTTGAAAATAGTGACGACCATAGAGAAACTGAGCACTTAAGGAAGCAGTTTGACGATCTCGTGAAGGCTTTCGAGGAGCTACAGAGTCAACTGGAGGTTTTACAGCGGGATCATCAGGACTGGAAATCAATGGCTGACCAAATCCTAGACGTGATCGATGAGGCAGGCGGGGATACTACCGTAGTCGAACGAGCGCGCAAAGGAGGGTTAAGTGCAAAGTTGAGAGCTGTGGGGTTGGAAACAGAGCGACTAGCTCAAAAAATTAACTCAAGTAGGGGACAGGAATTTGTGGAAATTAGTGGGAAGGATTCAATAATCAAAGGAACGGAACATGACGAAACATTGCTTGAACGATTAGATGAGTTAGAAACTAAGACTCATCAATTGGCTGATGAGAAGTTGCAGGTTGAGAAGCGTAGTAGTGAGCTGGAAAAAGAGAATAACCGGCTGAAAGACGAACTTCAGAGGCTGAATCTACTGGAGGAGGAAAATCGGACTTTGAAAGATATGGAAAGCAAATTTGAAGAGCTCAGGATTCAAAAGTCTCAACCAGATGAAAGAATTTTGGCCATGGAAGCTCGACTCAAAGATTACGAGGGTCTCCAAGCTATATATGAAGACACTAAGAGCAAATTTGATGTTTTGCTAGAGGAGAAGGAAAACATTCAAATGCAACTTTCAGAGGCACAGCGACAACTACAAGCCATTGACGATCGCGAGATCGACCCTGATAAAACTAGTCCTGAAGAACTCAAGGAGTATGTTGCGAAATTGGAAACTGACCTCAATTCGGCGCTGGTCAAGCAAAGACAGCTAAATTCGGAGAAAATCAAGCTCAATTACCAAATTGACGAGCTAAAGTCGCTAATACGTTCACATGAGGAAAACGCCCTTTATGCAGAACAAAAATGGCAGGACTACCTTACCAGTGATGTTAATTTTCAGACTCATTTAATACAAATTCTCAGCGAGATATTGGATAAACAATCAATCCGGGAAGCTGCCGCAAAGATATTACAGTTGGCCAACAGAGACGAACTCCAGCTTAACGAAACAGATACGAAAAAGCTATACGAAACGATTTTTGAGTACGACCTGGCTGCCGTGCGAACAATTGTGGCCGACCATGCTGAATTAAATAAAAAAGCGTCTACAGATCATGCTCCGGTAGCAGACGAGTCGCTTAAATTACGGATTGAAGAATTGACGAAAAGATGGAAGCATGCCGAAGAGACTCTTGCGTTTGAGCGTAAGCAGTCTGAAAAACGGCTTCAAGAGCTGGAACGTGAAAATAAAAAATTACGCCAATAGAACTAATCTAGAATTTAATCTTGCATTTCATCGTCGCTGCTCTCGCCTTCTTCGCCCTCTTCCTCGGCATATTTGACAGCCTCGTCGAATAGCTCCTTCGGCACAAGCTGGTGTAGGCCGTTGGTTTCACTTTTACTAGCCCACGTAATTTCCAATTCAAAATCTTTGTCCTTGTTGTCCTCGTGGGCCAAATATATGATTCTTGCAGCCTCCTTAACGGCCTCTCTAGCTGTGATGTTGGGCAAATCCAATTTTTCCAGCTCGCTTTTGGCCGTTTGTCTGCCCTTCCCTGTAGCAGCACCGTAATAACCCCAGTAGGTGCCGCTTGGCTCGACCATGTACAGGTGTGCACCATCGTCGTCTAAGCCACCAACAATTGCATTGATGCCAAATGGTCTCACAGAGTTGTAGCACGTGTATGCTTGCACATAGTATCCGAGCCGGTCTATTAATCCTGGAAGGCCAATTGGCTCTTTGTAAAGCGATTTGAAAGACTGAGCCTCATCACGACCACGGTTTACAAAATGTCTTCCATCTGGTATGAGTCCGGAATACACAACACCCACATGCCTGTCTATGGTTTGAATGCGCTTGTTTTTGCCCGGAGCCAACAGCTTTGATGCAATTATCTTCTCGGTGGCCAGCACAATCCCGTCTTTGCACCGGATCCCAATCGAAGTTCCTGCATTCTCCACCGCTTTCGAAGCATATTCCACCTGGAAATTTCTCCCATCTGGGGAGAAAATCGAATTCGACAAGTCGTAGCCTGTACCAATGGATGTCTACACGTTAGTTGTCGAAACTCATCTGTATACTTACCATTTGTTAGTTGAATACTTTTTGCCTTCCAAATTTATGCCATGAAAAATCGGGTCACTAAAATAAATATTCAAATATAACATGGACTCCATACGAGTAGTCGTTTGTGGTGATGAAGGAGTAGGCAAAAGCAGTCTGATTACCACTCTTGTGAAGGAGAAGTTTGTACCCAGCATTCAGCACCTGATTCCGCCGATCAGCATTCCCAAAGATTTCTCGGGCTCACCCTATTCCCCTAAATCTAGCGTCTTGATTGATACTTTATCTTCAGATCTGAACAGCGTCCAGGACCAGATCCGCCAAGCAGACGTCATATGGTTGGTATACTCTGATCGCTACACATATGAGCGAATTTCTCTGTACTGGATCCCAATGTTCAGATCAATGGGGGTCAACTTACCCATTGTGCTGTGCAACAACAAATCCGATTTGGATGAACTACCTGATGAAAGCGAGTCAATTTTGAACGAAGAGCTCATTCCATTACTTAAAGAGTTCAAAGAGATAGAAGCATGCATCCGATGTAGTGCCAAAGAAAACTACAATGTTAATCAGGCGTTTTACCTCTGCCAAAGAGCGGTTACACATCCAATTGCACCACTATATGATTATAAGGAAAGCAATTTAAAACCGCTCGCATTGAATGCGTTGAAAAGGGTGTTTTATTTGTGCGACACTGACCAGGATGGCTATTTAAACGATTCTGAGTTCCTGCAGTTGCAGCTTAAATGCTTCCACAAGTCGCTGGATATCAACGAGCTGAACACAATAAAAATGACACTTGATTCAGCATTACCTGGAACAGCAACAGAAAGGGGAATAACCGAAGAAGGCTTCTTGGCTCTTAACAAACTGTACGCTGAATCAGGTCGTCACGAAACTATTTGGGGAATTTTGAGAGCGTTTCACTATACTGATTCTCTCTCCATAGACGACAAAATTCTCTATCCGAAGATAGATGTCCCGCATGGCTCAAGCGTCGAACTCTCTCCTAATGGGTACAGGTTTTTGGTGGACTTGTTTCTTCTGTTTGATAAAGACAACGATGGAGGCTTGAACGACGAGGAACTTAATCAGCTCTTTTATCCTACACCAGGAGTGCCACGATCGTGGCAAGAGTTCAATTTTCCGCGCACGGTGGTGTGCAACGAACAAGGTTATGTGACTTTACAGGGATGGCTCGCTCAGTGGTCGATGACGACTTTTTTGGACTATAAGACAACACTCGCCTACTTGGGCTACTTTGGGTATGAGGATAGGTCTACCGTTGGCAAGGTAAGTGGAACCACTACAGCTCTGAGGATTACAAAGCCTCGAAAAGTGAGAAAACGCAATGGGAAAGTGTACAGAGGAAGCGTTTCTGACAGAACTGTTTTTAATTGTTTCATTTTAGGCGCGCCAGGGTGCGGCAAAACCTCACTCATGGAGTCGTTTCTGGGTCGACAATACAGTGAAGTTTATTCGCCTACAATTCAACGAAGCATAGCTGTCAATAATGTTGAGTTGATCGGCGGAAAACAATGTTACTTAATTTTGGAAGAGCTAGGGGAGTTGGAACCCGCCATTCTTGAAAACTCCTCTAAGCTAGACTCCTGTGATGTCATATGCTTGGCATATGATTCCTCCGATCCTGAATCATTCCAGCACCTTATAGAGCTGCGCAGACTGTATCCGAAACTCGATTCGATCCCCATGGTTTTCGTTGCCCTAAAAGCAGATCTGGACAAACAACAACAGCGATGTGATATACAGCCAGAGAACTACACACGATCGCTATTTTTGCCGCCTCCCCTCCACATATCTTCCAGCTGGGCATCCTCATTGACCGAGCTCCTGGTTCAGCTGGTCAACTCAGCAGCTGAGCCTCGGAGCGCCACCTCAGGCCTCGAACCCGAGCCAATAGATACTGAAGGTTTAGTCAATCCTTTCCTAATAGGTTGTGGCGCAGTCGGATTCATGGTGATCGTTTCTGTGTGGTATCTTCGAAAATCTATAGTTGGAGAACGATAGATATCAAATACTCCTGACACCTGAAGATTATTTTCGATCTCAAACAACAAGATGGATTCGTTGACTAGCACCTTTTGGTGTTCGGTAGCGATTGCTTTATCGTACGTCCTTGTATTATATATCAATCCACAGCGAGGGCATCGGGATTCAAAAGAAGTTATCAAATCGAGACTGCTCAGGGTCAGCATGTCGACCCTTTTCTGTGTGTCACTTGTACCAGTTTTAATGATTAATGTCACACGCACTGCCTCCGACTATAAAGAAGTATTGGCATACATGGGACTCATAATTGACAAGACTACACCTTACAGTGTTGCCCGAGTGCTGGTACTTTTCATAGGTCTCTTCAATGGATCCCTGATAGAGTATCTGTCTTGGGGCCCGGAAGTCATCTATCGCGACTTGAAGTCTTTGGAACTTCTTCACTTCATGCGGAATATCGTGATTGCGCCCATAACTGAAGAGCTTACCTACACCGCATCTATTTTGGGCCTATATGGTCCGTTTCTCCATTCTCCTACAGCATCCAAAATAATATACCTGTCACCACTTCTGTTTGGACTAGCTCACATCACCCACTCTTACGATTGTTGGAGACATGACAAAGTGCCTATGGCTACCATTTTGGCATCGTTTGTTTTCCGTACGCTGTATACAACGTTCTTTGGAATCCTTACAAATCTTATTTTCGTCAACTCGCGTTCGGTCTGGACCTGTGTGGCCGCACATTGCTGGTGCAACTTCATGACTTTCCCACAGTTTACAGTGGAGGGGCCTGTATGGTGGCAGACACTCTACTACGCACTGTCGCTAGCAGGAATCTGGTTTTTTGCTACATACTTTAACACATTGACTACGTCAAACTGAAACGGATCATTTTTGTTATCATGCCTAATAAATATGCCATTCAATGTTCATAAACTACCTCCTCAGTATACCCCCCGTAAACGTCGTCAAAAGCGTATTCCTCAACTGGTTCTACGAAATTGTCTTCCTCCACAGGTTGGGCATAAGTTTCCTCCTGCTGTTGCAAGAACAGAGTGTGATTGACCAAATTGAGGTAAGCATACATGAAGTTACTCAGCAATACCTGTTGGCAAAGAGGCCTCTTTGGGTCTGATAGCTTCAGATGGCTCAATCGATAAACGGCGCGCTCCACATGTATTGGAAAGCGATGGTTCAACATCACCAATGTAGAAGGAGATATAGGGGGCAAGGGAAAGCCAAAGGCAGAGTCGGTCATCTGGAGAGGCTGGTTCGGCTTTGTGTTGCGTCTCTGAGACATCAACGTTTGCTTGATGTTCTCAGACACCGCATCAAGGGGAGAATCTGCTATAGGAGGCGGATGTTGCTGTACTGCTGGACGTGGTTGTTTAGCAACGTGCTCCTGCTGCGGCTCTTCCTTTTTCTTCCTCAGATTCAGTATTCGCTTATCTGTGATACTCTCGTTATCCGAATCAGAGAGAGTTTCTGGTGGAGCGGACTTCTCTGTCGATTTAGGCTTATCCTTTTTGAGCTTGAAAAATCCACTCAGGCTTTTCTTCTCTTTCTCTTGTTCACGTGGAGGTGACGGTAAAGGAGACTCTACATTTTGAATGGAAACCACGTCAGATGCCGTCCCATGTCTGTTGCGTGAATGGTTTGGAGGAGACCGCTCTTTTTCCTTTTTCTCCTTGTCCTTATTGCCGCTGAGCCAAGTCCAGCTTGACTTTCTGCTAGTTTTTTGTTCAATAGGTTTTTCTGGGGTTTGAGGCGGCGATTTCACGGGCGGAGCTGTCTGGACAGGTTGCTCTTTGGGTAAAGGAGGTAGTGGTGAGTTCTTCTCCACAGGAAGTGGAGGCAGAGAGCTTGTAGGTGCCTTTGATGAAACGGGCGGAAGGATCTCTGGAGAGACTGCTGCGGAAGTTGGGGCAGACGACATGGCAGCCTTTGAACTATGAGTATGCGGGAGAGTTTTTGATTTAAGATGATCTGGAAATGCCGAGGGTGAAGAGTTGGCTAGAATATGTGGTGATTGAGGCGTGGCTCGCGACGATCGAGAACCCCTCCTATATGTTGTCCATTTTGATCTCTTCAGTTGTGTTCCAGGCAAATCAAGCTCCGAGTCGACGCTGGACGCAGATGACTTGCGCGAAAGCGAGGACACAGTGTCAAAGTTTTCTTTAAGTTTCCAGGACGACGAAGAAAGGGTCCGGGCAAGCGTGACTGCGTCCGTGTCGTCAAGACCAGCCATTTGGGAAAGCGACTCCAACTCCTTTGTGAGTTGCTTGATAGACGGCTTCCTGTGGAGGCCAGTATCAGTTCTGTTGGGCTCCGTAGGCTTTTCCAAGTCGGTCTGGGAGTCACGGGTTTCGTGAGAAAGAGAAGAACGCGACGACGCGGAGCGTTGGAGCTTGGAGGTGATCTCGTCGACTGTGGCCTGAACGTGTTTTCGGAATTTCTCCGGAGCTAGCTGGGGATGTGCCGTGGCCGGCACCCACATGAACTTGTTCGCATCTGGCAATACGTGATCCTGATCCAGTTCATCGTCGACCGGTGTTTGATTCTCCTTATCGTTGTGTATGTCTATTATATCAAAGTCCAGTTTCTCCGACTCGCTATAAGGTAGGTCTGGGTCGTAGCTTAGGTTGTTGCCAATAGAAAGTCGTTTCAGGGCTTTCACGGCGTTGATCTCCTGTTCAACGGCTTGTGACGCGGCCAAGAGCTCCTCGTGCGTTGACTTTCTGGATCCTTTTGTTCCTGTAGGCGATTTATGTGGTTCCATGTTCAAAGTTGACAGAATACAATGAACATAAGAAAAGGAATGACGGAAGTTGGAGGTTCAGCGTGGATCTGGAATAACTTTGCAGAAACAAATAAACAAATACAACAAAAATTTGTCTGCCACTTTGCAGACGATAAGCCGAGCGGGCATAATGGTGGACCCTTTGGGTACGCTCAACCAAATAAAAGCCAACAGTACAGCACACACTTCACATATATACGGATTTACAAGAATTAAGAGTTGTAGTGGGATAACTGGTTGGGTCGGCTCGACCGTGTCTGATCTGCTATAGGTGGGGCCTGAAAATTTTTTCACCAATTATGGCTAAAACCATTATCCGTGTTCCAGCATCGTCGGCAAATATAGGTCCTGGGTTTGATGTTTTAGGAATAGGGCTCAACCTGTTCCTTACGCTGGAGCTAGAGGTCGACCCGCTCTTGGCGAGCACCGATAAATTTAATTGTTCAATCTCGTACGAAGGAGAAGGTAGTGAGAACGTTCCTTTGGCTTCTGATCGCAACCTCATCACCAAAACCGCACTTTTTGTGCTCCGTTGCAATGGCATTAAGCAGTTCCCAAAAACCACGAAAATCCACGTCATAAACCCCATTCCCTTGGGCAGAGGCCTGGGGTCGTCCGGCGCGGCAGTTGTGGCTGGTGTGATGCTGGCCAACCAGGTTGGGAAGTTAGGATTCTCCAAACAGAGATGTCTCGACTACTGCTTAATGATTGAGCGCCATCCAGACAACATCACTGCCGCGATGATTGGTGGTTTCACCGGCTCCTATCTCAGAAAACTTACCGAGCATGAGGTCGCTCTTGTGCACCAGCCACTAGACGATATGCTCGCGCCACATGCTCCGGCCATCCAGGCTCCTCTCGATATCGGAACCCACGTCAAGTACAACTGGAACCCAGCCATCAAATGTATCGCCATAATCCCACAATTTGAGGTGCCCACCTCTGAAAGTCGCCATGTGCTTCCCACGGAATACTCGAGACCAGACGTGATTTTCAATCTGCAACGTCTGGCTGTGCTCACCACCGCAGTTGGGGCAGAAAAACCTGATCCACAAGTGATCTATAATTCGATGCAGGACAAATTGCACCAGCCATACCGCAAGGTGCTGATCCCAGGACTCACGGAGATATTATCTGGTTTCACGCCGCAAAGCCACGCCGGTCTTTTGGGCATCTGTCTAAGCGGTGCAGGACCTACAATTTTATGCCTTGCTACCAACAACTTCGAGCGGATCGCTGAGGACATTATTGTTAGATTCAAGAAAGAGGGTGTCACCTGTGTGTGGAAACTTCTCGAACCCGCCTTCGAGGGTGCTACCGTGGAAAACTTATAGACATATAGATCCTTAACGTGCCTGAATTTTACTATGTAAAGTCAGTGGCCTTACCTGCCATCAACAGGCCGACAATGAGTCCAAAGAGCCCCAAAACGGAACCAAAAATCTCAATGACCAGAATTTTCACAAACAAACTTGAGTCTGCAGCGTCCGAAATAGCTGCTGTAGATCCAGTCACACCCACTGCGACTCCACAAATGAGGTTGCTCAGGCCCACTGTCAGTCCTGCCCAGAACAACGAGTATCCTGTGTATAAGTTCTCTTTGGTGAAAAGCGAAGCCGTGTCAACGGCAGTGAGTTTGGATGAGAACACAATGGCCATGATTAAACCGTAAATGGCCACAACCTCACAGAAAATAATCGAAATCAGATTCTTTGTGGTGATGCGAGGAGCCTTCACACCAGCTCCAAGGATAGAAGAACCCGTGATGAAGATGCCCCAGGCCGCTCCAACAACAGAGAAGCCAATACATGAGCCTATACCAATTGTGGCCCACATATATGGCGATATGGATTCCAGATACTCTCCAACGTTGAAAGCCTCACCGGAGCCATTGAACAGCATGTAGCCACCAACAACGAGCGCGGCCGTCAGAGAGAGATAGGATGCGGACGCAGACATTGGAATAAGAGCGGTGCCAAAAGTTGTTGTGCTGTATGGCGGAAATTTGAAGAGTAGAAAAAGACTCAATCGTCCGGTCGATCGGCGCCGTTCGAAAAATTCAATCGCACATGATAAGTAATATTTTTTGTAGATTCGTCAGTTTGTAATTAGATTTTGTTCATGACTCTTGCTGCCGAATTCCATGAGCCGGTCAGGCTCGCTTTTATAGGAGGAACAGGCCTTTACCATTTGGAGACTCTGACGCCAGTTGCCAAACTGACCATCTCGACTCCATGGGGCTTCCCTTCCTCTCCCATCACCATCTCAAAGACCAAAGATGGGTTTCCAATTGCGTTTTTGGCAAGACACGGCCCTCACCACGACCTGTTACCCTCTGATGTTCCAAACAGAGCCAATATTGCTGCCTTGAAGAAACTCGGTGTCAATACAATTGTGGCTTTCAGTGCTGTCGGATCTCTTCAGCAACACATTAAACCTCGCGATTTCGTTATTCCGAACCAAGTTATCGATAGAACCAAAGGAATTCGTCCGTCGACCTTCTTTGAACGCGGATTTGTTGCTCATGCGATGTTTGGAGAACCTTTTGATCCAATACTTAATAAGGTCATTTCCGAGTCGTGTCAAGAAGTTCTGGAGGGCGAAGATGTGAAATTGCACACCAAGGAAACCGAAAAAGATGACCTGACACTCATCTGTATGGAGGGTCCAGCATTTTCAACAAGAGCGGAGTCCAAACTCTACAAGAGCTGGGGAGGATCTGTGATTAACATGTCCTGTATTCCTGAGTCAAAGCTTGCTAGAGAAGCCGAGATCGCTTATCAAATGATCTGTATGTCAACCGACTACGATGCTTGGAACGAAAACGAAGAGCCTGTCACTGTAGAGACGGTTGTGGGAAACCTATCTGCTAACAGTGCCAATGCTCACCGGGTGGCAGAGAGATTGGTCGAGGTGTTGGAGCCCAAGATCAAATCTGGCGAAGTTGGTCTCAACTACCAACACAGCATGAAGTTTGCTATCAGCACCAAGAAGGACGGCCAGGACAAACGCTTATTGGAGAAAATGCACTTCCTGTTCCCTGGATACTGGCCTCTTCACTAAACTAAAGTCGTGAACTTAGAACTTGCTTACGTAATACACTCTGGTGTAAATTTTGATACATTTTCTCAACCGGATAATTTATTATTTACTTTCCATGTCGTTTCTTACGCCCACGGCTTCATCTATCAATGGATCATACTATACACCAGATGAAGACACTTTTTTGCAGACAAGGCGGAGAATCAGTTTTTCTAATCGAGGCACCTTAAACTCCTCCACTCCTGTTGGAAGTGCGCATTTTACACCGTCTCCCAGAAAACCGGTTCCAGCGATGTCTCCAAGCAAGTCCGCTGGCATACCCAATACCCCGATCAAACCGTTACTTGCATCTCCATTCAAAGTTCCTCAGAGCACTAAACCGTTAATATCCTCGACTCCTCTAGCGGGACCAAATACTCCTGTCAAGGGGCCCATGTCGCCTCTTTTGCGCAAGAAATTCCAACAGCAGTTGCCCGGCACTCCTCAGGCCTCCGAGAAGCAGTCGCCACAATCAATCAACAGCAACATTTATCAGCGATCGATATTCAAGCCGAGGCACAAGTCACCTTTGAAAGAGAGCTCAAACCTGCCAACAACAGAGAAACCAGCTCAGGTCGAATCAAAGGATGAAAGCGAGTTGCAAAGTCCCTACGTTGAGCTTGCTTTGAGTAGAATAGTCAATCGCGACGCCGAAATTCGCACAGTGATAATAAACACCCTAATGATGCTACTGTACCGGTTTCTTGTGGCAGTGATTGTTTTGCTCAATGTGAAGTTTAGGCTTCGTGATGGGACGTCGCTATTTCCTGCTGTCTTGAGCCAATACTCGAGTTATGTGAATCGCACAGTTTACGGAATCCTGCTCTTTAACATCGGTGTGAGCTCGCTGCGGCTGATGAAACCTCAGGACAAATGCCTAGATCTGCCGTTGACTAGTCGCCAGCGCAAGCTGCTTGGTCTTCCGCTTGTTAACGGGATGGACGTTCAGGAAGAGCTCGAGGTTGACCGGTCGGAGCAGAAAATTCTGCCGAGTAGCCCAACCAAGGACATCGCGGACACGTCTCTATTAGCGCTTGATATCTCAAGATCATTTGCAAATATGAACATCTCACAGACAGACAAATCGCCGGTTACACTTGTTTCCGAAACGCCTCAGGAGAGGATCCGCAAACAGCTACTCTCGAGGGACAACGGGCCTGCGTCGCCACAGGCTCGGTTCAAAAAACCGTCGAGCAAATTTTTGTACGATACTGCCTCTGCGGGGGGATTCGACATCAACAATTCCGACGTGTCGTTCTATTAGAGTTGAATAGCAAGAAAATAATTGATTAACTTGAACTAAGAATTTTTCAGGTTATATGTTTGTGCGTCTTGTTGGGCGAGAGTAGTACAGGCTTGCCCGAGCTGAATCACATTGGTGACCTGCTTGAAAAACCAGATAGGTGCAGACACATAAATCAGAAATCTTGGGAACGAAATACCAACCAAAGGTAAAGCTCTAAATTTATAGTAGTCGAGGTAAAGGGCCATGTAGAAGAGCTCGTTCAGGGCACAAACCAGAAATAGAACTATGCGGTTTTCGTAGTAAAGTTTGAGAAGAATGTTGGTGTCTTTTTTCATGGATTTATGGCTCTTGGATCCGCTGGTGATAGTGGCGTACATGTGAAGGTAATGTGAGGCCAGGTCTAAAGAGATGAGCATCTGCCACAGGATGAACCAATTGGGATACAGCCTGGTCAAAAACACAATCAGCGAGCATGTCGAGCAACGGTCGGTGACCATGTCCAAAACCGCACCAAACGTGGTGCTCTGGTCCAGTTTTCTGGCCGCGTATCCATCAAAAGCATCCAGCAAACAGGAGGTCGAGTAAAGCACCCACATGGTGAATTTCGGATGGTTTTGCATTGTGAAAAGCGACGCAATCAGTGTCACCACGCGAACATAACCTATTATGTTCGGAATAAACCGAAAAATGTGCGACGAAGTGTACACTTTTGGGGCCATTAAAATGTTATAGATAAAGTTAGATTTACCAAATTTTTTCATCTTTTACGGGTAGCGGAAAAATGAGCTCTACCAGAGACAATACCGCGCGTCTCCGCCCGGCTGCTGGAGACCAGCGGCCGCCCTTGCTGGAGTGCCCGTCATGTTTGGAGGTATTCAAGAGCAGCATAGAGCTTGAAAAGCATTTGAAGCGCGGTTCCACTCATTCCCATGACGGGGTCGAGAATCTACGACGACTAGCTGGAAACCGAAACGATTTCGAACAATTGCTACTTGAAGTTACGCAGGCCGCCGAAAAATAACAATACCATTACCACTATATATTATCACGCCCTTTGTGGCAGAGTGTATTTCATAAATCTGCGTTGCAACTGTTTCCGAATGCTCACCTTCTGCGCACCCACGAAACTGTCAATTGTGACCTTAATGGCCCGGTCAAGGTCTGAACTGGAAACGTACTCACTCAGCCGCATTTTAGCAAACGATTCTGCAATTCTCAAGATACTTTCCAAATGTCTCACAGTAATCGGGAACGATCCGGTCGTATTGCTCTCTCTTCTCAAATCGGCATAAACACGCGACACCTTGTCCATGTCCATCTGGTTCAATTTTGGGTGCACCCTTGTTCTTGCGTAGTGGATATATTTGACCAGGAACTCCTGCTTTATTGGAGAAATCTCCTGCTCTTTTTCGCGCTCCCCGTCCTCCTCGGCTGGATGGGACCGCATGTGTGAATCAATGACAAATCCCGCAAGTCTCTCGTCAGCCTCTGGATTCACAAGATCGCGCACAACACAGAGAATATCGAATCTCGACAGGATTGGCTCGGTTAAGTTCACATTTTGCAGCAAGTTCAAAGTCGAGTTGTATCGACCACCAATAGGATTTGCTGCCGCAATGATGGAGCATCGGGCCTGCAGAGTGGTCACAATACCAGCCTTGGAAATGGAAATCGATTGCTGTTCCATCGCCTCGTGAATCGATGTACGATCCTGGTCGTTCATCTTGTCGAACTCATCGATAAGACAGACACCCTTGTCTGCTAAAACCAACGCACCTCCTTCTAAAGTCCACTCTCTGGTGATGGTATCCTTTCTCACGGAGGCAGTAAGACCGACAGCAGATGCACCTTGGCCGGTGGCAAAGACAGCTCGATGTGCTGTTTTCTCGACGTACTTGAGAATTTGCGATTTTGCAGTACCAGGGTCGCCAAGAAGAAGAACGTTGATATCTCCACGAATAGAGTGTTTTCCATTGACATCTTTAGGAACACCACCGAACAACGAGCAGGCAACGGCAGTTTTAATGTCTTTGTGTCCGTAGATTGAAGGTGCAATGGAGGCGATAATTTTGTCAATGATTCCGCGTTCTCTGCTCAGTTGACGAATTTTCTTCTCTTCGTCCTCGGTCCATTGGAACGGCGAGAGACCGCCTTCAATCAAAGAACCGTCCGAGACTCCTTTGGCCGCTCCCTCTCTCCGCCTGATAGCGTTAGCCTCAATCACAGTAGTGAAGACTGGGAAGCCGTTTTTCGCGTTCAGTGTACCATCGTACGAGTTTTTGTAGATACCGGTTACCTCAATCTCCTCTCCAGGCTTGGCAATGTCAACAAGATCCCACAGCAAAATAACCTCCTTATGGCGCGGCAGCCTTCCAGCAGGAACAGATCCGGGAGCCTCTTGCAGGGTAATCCTTTGATAGTTTCTGTATAATGTTTTTTCCGTGTTCATTCTGAAAGGTCCACGAGATTGGCAGTTGGTGCAGAACGTGACTCGAACTTCCTGGTTTGAGTCCTGGAAAAATGGTCCCAGCACAGCATCGCACTTGAGACAGTTGAACTTGACATACTTCAGCTGCGGGAATACACCTGTTCTCCTTGTGACAACACCACTGACACGAACGAGGGAGTTCAAATTAGACTCTCTGAGCTCTCTCAGGTTGTTGATTGTTGGGTAATCGGCGATCCGGACATGAATCTCAGAGTGGATCTGGCTGTAGTCCGGATAGTGCAGCTCTGTCGCCTCCATGGCGACCACGTCAAAAATCTTTAAAATCTCCTCTGGACAGGTAGTGAGGAACAGGGCCAAAATAGCTTTCGAGTGAAGTAAGTGCACATATGAAACTTCAAGACTCTCGCTGTTGATCTGACCGAGCGTCCGAATTCGACTTCCATACACAGACCGACCCTGTTCGTCAGTGAATTCCAGCAAGAACGATTTCAGTTCTCTGGCAATCGATCTAGTAACGTTTGGCATTACCACCCACTCAAGGATGGAAGGGGCTTTGACCTCGGCCAGAGCCTCCAGACTCAGCTCCTCTGTCAAAGGATCCATGTCATCCAGGTAATCCTCCGGATCTTCATCGTACCTGTGCCTTCTACGCCGTCTCTGGATAGGCAGACCGTACTCATCTCTTGGCACATCGTTGTCCATGGCGTCATCAAGATCCAAGTTAGCACCTCGCACAAGCTGGTCACGCTGATTGAGCATCTGGTCGACGCGTCTTCTTTCTGCCGCAGACAACTCTTCGTATTCCTGGTCATCGAGATCAGCCTCTTCGTATGTGTCCTGTTCGGGATTGGGGACGTAGTCGCGCTCCATCGCATCGCCAATCAAATCCACGCCCGTTTGTTCTTCCAACTGCTCTTCTAAATCATCCACGTCGTTGAAATATTCGCGTTCTCCTTCCTCTTCATCGTCAAAAGGGAGACCAGGGGAAGAAGGCATGTGTCGAGGGGACGATCCGGTAGACGAGCCAGCGCCAGCCGGTGAGGACGGCATCACAGGACCTGTGCCGACCTCCTCATCACTCTCATCGTCGATAATTGTTCTCTTTCTTGGACTACGTCTGGACATGGTGGAAGGAAAAGAGTTTTTTTGATTGAAACATTTGCGGCGCGATCCTGCCTTTTTGGGATAATTACTGACGCGAAAGTAAGTTATTTAGATTTTCGGGTTAATTGGGAGTTTTTTTTTAGGGCTGCGAACAAAACCAAGAATCTCGAATTTCGCGGAGGCTTAGTTGGACGGCAACGCAACACAAAGAATTACCCATTTTCTGCTCTATCTGCTCCCACAACATATCAAGATGCTGTGGCCGAATCACAGTTTTGCCTTTAATTGAGTAGGCACACAAACTGCAGATTTCGAAGACAAGTCAAAACGTGTCTGCCTGTGGCCGCTCGCGCCCAAATTTGACCCATCTCTGTTCTCACACAAAAATTTCCCTTATTTTTTCTCCCTTTTTCAAGATTACCGCTAGGAACATGGAAAAACAGACGCACTTTCGGCGATATACCATTGGTAGTACCGATCGCGGTGAGCTGGATCCCGAAAGCCAGCGCGTAGGACGGAAACGATCTCTCGTTAGGAGGGAACGTTCCGTTCGTTACAAGAAGGGAGGCCAGATCAATAGAGCGTCATCACTTCGCTCTCTCGATCTTCTGCACGATACGAAGCCCCCTCGCAGATCTTCACTCACGCACTCTGTCACCTTGGATACATTGTCTCAACAGAATGGGGATAGACTTATCCAGGACTTAGAGAAGAGAAATAGAGGCATCTCTTATGCACCTCCAACTGATGTCTTGACAGCATTGCCAGAAAAGTCGGAGAGCGATGCCTCAGATTCTATTGCTGAAGAGCCCGATCTATTGAGGAATGCGCTCCCTCAGTTCAAACATCTAGAAACAGACCCCAAAATCACTTCGTACTGGAAAATATACTGCTATGCCATGACTTTTTGGGCTCCACCGCCACTACTATCGTTTTTCGGCTTTAAAACCAAAGAGCGACAATACGCTTGGAGAGAGAAAATTGCCCTGATCTCTATCATTCTTTGCACTGGCTCCATTATTGCTTTTCTCACCTTTGGCTTTACAAGGACCACTTGCACGGGCCTCCGAATGAGACTTAGACCCTCTGACATTACCACCGGGTATCTGGTGCTTAATGGGCGTGCTTACGCTCTAGACCAGTCATCTCACCCGGCAGCAGTGGGAATAGAGGCAGCTAGCAATATTCTGTACCCTCCGGTCAATGCAGGTGGTAAGGACGCCACATTTTTGTTTCAAAATGTCAATGGAAACTGCAAAGGGCTGATTGTTCCAAAGGAAAACTGCACCATTCCACATACAGATACCGAACTCGCATGGTACATGCCATGCAAACTGCTAAACCTCGATGGTTCCAGCAAGCCTAATTTCACTCAAACGCATTACAACGGATATGCCTGTCATACATCCGCAAAATCGAGACAGAGCTTTTACAGGCTAGATATCCAGGGCGATATCTACTATACATGGGAATCAATAACAAGAGGCTCACGAAACCTTGTTGTTTACAATGGATATGTTTTAGACATGGGGCTTTTGGATTGGTTGCAAAAAGATGACCTAGATTATCCAGTATTATTTGATAAGCTAAAGAATGATCCAACCATGAAAGGTCATGACTTGTCTTTACTCCTAACTGAGCCACACGAACGGCAGGCTGCTAATTGCTTGATTGAAATATTAAAAGTCGGGGTTGTCGACGTTGACACCATTGGCTGCATCGCCGCTACGATAGTGCTGTATGTCTCTCTGGTATTAGTTTTGTCAATTGTCATTGCGAAGTTCATTGTGGCTTGCTATTTCAAATGGTGCGTGGCAAGGAAACAAGGAGCCTCATTAACCTCCGTCAATAATTCTGCAAAGCAAGATACTTCTATTGAAGAGTGGTTTGAAGAGCCCAAACCTGCTGTTCCTATCTCTACCGTACCGATCAAGCGAAGGGCCGAAAATTACGCAAAAGGGTTCGGAAGCAAGAACCTAAAATTTTCTAAGGGAGAAGATTTATCAGGGCTCATTGAAGATGATTCAAAGCCCGTTTCAATCCAGGACTACCGTCCCAAGTATCTCACAATGACTACTGAGGCGTTTATTCTTACCAGCCGCGCTAAGAAAAGCAAGACGCATCCCAAATCTGCGTTTCAAGAGTGCTGGGGTGGAGACTCTTTGACCCAGAAAAGTCTATTCTTGGGAACTGAAGATAGCGATATTCATACATTGGGACCTGATTTGATAGCACCGGATGCTATCTGCCAGCCTCCTATCAGCTGGGAGCCATTTGGTTATCCTCTAGTTCATACCATGTGTCTGGTAACTTGCTATTCCGAAGATGAAGAAGGGATAAGGACCACCTTGGACTCGCTGGCTACCACAGACTATCCCAATTCGCACAAGCTCATTGTTGTGATCTGTGATGGAATCATTACTGGAGCAGGGAATGATCGATCAACCCCAGATATTTGTTTAGATCTAATGACTGGCTTTGTTGTTCCGAAGGAAGATGTCAAACCTTATTCTTACGTGTCTGTCGCTCAAGGTTCGAAACGACATAACATGGCAAAGGTTTACTCTGGATTCTATAAATACAATGACGCAACGGTACCTCCCGAAAAACAGCGCAAGAACCCTATTTTGTTAGTTGTCAAGTGCGGAACACCTTCAGAGGCGAACAGCGCCAAACCTGGTAACCGTGGAAAGAGAGATTCGCAAATCATACTGATGTCTTTCCTTCAAAAGGTCACATTCAACGATCGAATGACGGAGCTGGAGTTCGAGATGATGCGAGCCATATGGCAGGTCACGGGACTGATGGCCAATTGGTACGAGATTGTATTGATGGTCGATGCAGACACGCTCGTTTATGCCGACTCCCTTACCCACATGAATGCAGAAATGGTCAAGAACCCAGACGTCATGGGACTGTGTGGGGAAACAAAGATATCCAACAAAACCAAGTCTTGGGTGACTGCAATTCAAGTTTTTGAGTATTACATTTCTCATCATCAGTCTAAGGCATTTGAGTCTGTTTTTGGTACTGTGACATGTCTTCCCGGTTGTTTCTGCATGTATCGAATCAAGACACCAAAGGATTTGAATGTATGGGTTCCCATTCTGGCCAATTCCGATATCGTGGAGAAATACTCCGAGAATGTTCTTGACAGTCTTCACAAGAAAAATCTTCTTTTGCTGGGTGAAGACAGATATTTGTCTTCGTTAATGCTTCGCACGTTCCCCAGACGAAAACAAGTGTTTGTTCCAAAAGCAGCATGTAAGACCGTTGTTCCAGAAAGATTCAGCGTTCTTCTCTCTCAACGAAGAAGATGGATCAACTCAACGGTTCACAATCTGATGGAGTTGGTACTCGTGAAAGATCTCTGTGGAACGTTCTGTTTCTCAATGAATTTCATCATCGCAGTGGAGCTCGTGGGAACCTTGGTTTTGCCTGCTTCGATCACATTCACACTTTATATCATCGTCATTTCTCTAGTTACCACGCCCACCCCTGTGATGTCTTTAATCCTTATGGCAATTATCTTTGGACTACCGGGGCTATTAATCATTGTTACAATTTCAGACTTGACATACATTCTGTGGATGTTTGTGTACTTTTTGTCCCTACCCATATGGAACTTTGTGCTCCCTGCTTACGCTTTTTGGAAGTTTGATGACTTCAGCTGGGGGGATACCAGAAAACTGCAAGGGGGTGACAAGGGGGGACACGATAACAAGAATGGTGAATTTGATGGGTCATCAATTGTCCAGATGACATGGAGAGATTATGAGCGCGTCAGGTTAGGATTGGGAGCCAAACACACCATCCCCACAGTATACAATCCCGTCAGCTTACAGAATACCTTTCAAGAGCAAACTCCATCAAATATCCTACTGGTTGATAATTCAACATCCTGCCTACCAGAAACATCCCGTGATCCGACCACCCAAACTTACTCATCCTACAAAACTGCGCCTTCGAATTCATGAAATATATATAATAGAGCGAAGCTAATGATCCCTGCCTAGTTTCAAAGTGAGTTTTTGCATAAGCTGGTTCGTATCTGTCTTCACGGCTATAGCCTGCACAAGAAGAGGGAAAAGTACCATCAACTTGTCATAGATTGGTTTCGGATTAGAAGAAGTGTCCAGCACGTTGGTAATGGTCATAAGACCATTGAGGACAATATTTATCTCGGTTTGCTGAATTCTGGGAACTGGTTGTTTGTAAACAAGTCTCTCGTCGCTTAGTAGTTTGCGAAGGGCAAACGCACATCGTGAAATAAAGTATGGTAGACACTTCTCGAACAATGAATTGTTATCCCGGGGAATCGAGAACTCAATGAGGTCCTGCAAACAAGTCTTGGCAAGTCTGAGTCTGGGCAACTTGGATAGCTCCGCAGTGGAACCGTAAACAAGATTCAGATTGTAATTGCACAATTTTTGAGCGACCTCTGATGGAGACTTTGAGGATTCCAGTATCGAATTCTCAATGTCATCCAAGGCGTAAAGAAAAGATGAAGTCCACACAGTGACAATGAACTCTTCAGCTTCAAGTTTTGAGGATAAGGGACTTTCAGAGTAAAGTGGCACCAAACAACTCTTCATTTGTTGATATTTCTCCAAGTCAAAGGACTCGGATTCCTCATCTTCGGAAGTTGAATAGCTAAATGATGTCTTGAACGTTTGAATTAGTAACTGGCTCAATTGTGGTTTGACTTCATCTTTCACTTCGTGCGAGTGTGCTAGCAAAAGAGAAACTCGAGCGCTCAAATTGACAAGAATGTTCATGCTCTCCATCCACAGGTGATCGCCATTGCACTGAAACTCGGAATCCTTTGACTTTGATGGTTCTAAGAGTGCTTTGTAAGTTTTGATAATGCACCTGTCGTTCAAAAATGGTGTCAGGTCTGAAATGCGCTCCAAATGCTGTTTCAAAAGCTGCAAAGCCTCGTGACTTGCTGCTATAAATGTGGGGATTTTAGAAACTCTCGCTCCCAGTTTTTTCTGAATCAGATCTCTTGTCGAAAAAGGAAGGATAACAATCAAGTTTAGTTGCTGGATAAGCAGCGACTCATACTTGAGATCATCAAACCATAAACCAGCAAGAGTGTCTATGACCTGTTTTTGGAGTTCTGTGCATTTGTTATCGTCTTTCTGGGTCCCAGTCAAAATTGGATATCTGATGCAGGAGTTGAGCAATGTCAGAATGTGCTCAAACTTTGCTAAAGTCAGAACCGGTTTCAGGACTTCAAACAAATCAGAAAATGATGCAATGAACGCCGATAGCGAGGTCTGATAGAGCGAATCATCTGACAAATTATAAGAAATCTGGAAACCAGCCCAGAACTCGTACAAAATTTCCACTAGCTCTTGTGGTGGTTGAACTTGGAAACTAGTCACTATCTGAGAAAATGCTTTGAATACTTGTAGATTGATTTCAGTCCGGTTCGAATCAAGATTGATCAATTTGGAAAAAAAATTCAACAATCCCCTCCAATATACTATACTGGATTCACTTGAGTAATCAAAGTATTGGCTGAAAAGTTTGCTTAGGCCATTCACGATTAGGATATAGCTTTCTACCCATTCAACAGACAATTCTTCAGCTGGTTCGATAGACATAATGACCGGACTCAAGGTAATATCATAGATTAGCTTCCAGGAAGGAGAAAGTGGCCCATAAGAGTCTATGACGTTGAAGAAAGTCTGAATTGAGCCATTTCTGACTTGCGTTCTGGGATCTGAGACAGTTTTGGACAATTGCAAAATGAGGTAGAGCCACAACCCTTTGTATTTATCAATATCCGGCGCTTGCGCTAGAGAGTCAAAATCAATGAATCTTTGCAGTGGCTCTTGAGAATCAATAACCGTCTCGAATTTTGAAGAACTAACATCCTCGGATTCAATTTTTTCTTTCAGATAATCACTAATAAGCCAGAAATAGCTAATCGAATTGAAAGAAATGTTCAGGTCAAATTTCTGAGTCACAAAGTTGAAGAGACAGTCAATGATGACCTTTATTTGGTTTCCTGCGATGCTTTGCAACACTGTATCCAAAATCACTTTTAAGGTCTCGAATGTGGAACGAAGAACAGAGGTAATAATATCGCGCACTGCTTTCTCCTTCAACATGCCATCATCCATGTTGCTTATTATTTCAAAAGGACTATTGAGCATTTGAGTAACTACGTCCCAACGATGTGTTATAAGCATGCCATATTGGTCAACGATGTCTTTCAATGTATTCAAAGTGAGTAGCTGAACTTCTATCTCACAGTTCGTCACTAGAATCTCTTCAGAGATTGGTAATTTGGCGAAATTGTCAATGAAGTCGTTCAATGCATTGAGAATTTTATTTTCGGTTTCATTTCTGATGGCTTCTGAATTGGAATTGAACCCCGCCACAGCGACGTTTTTGACAATGGTATTGAAATTTCGAGCAACTAGTATGCGGAGCGAGTCTTCTAATGACCTATCTTTTGCTGTAGAGATACTGAACTGGCTAATACATTGCCAGTTCTGATCCGATTCAACAAGAAATTTGATTGGATTTATTTCGCAAATGTCGGTGAGCTTGTTGATAAAGAAACTTTTGTTTAGGATGGAAGGCTCAAGTTTTCCGTCATTCACCGGTTTGGTTCCCTTTCGATCTTCGTTTGTAAGCGATGATTTCAGAACCATGGATGACAAACGCATCAAAGATTTGACTATGGAATAAAATACGTCTTTCGATTGGGAATTCAAACTTTCCTTGAGCTTCTTCAGCGAGGATTCCACATGTACAAGGTCCTGATCATTAAGCAATGTGGGCAATGGCGAGACTTCCTTTATATTGATGTCTGAGGGCCCATCAAGATAGTAGCTGACCCACTGAAGCGTAATGAAGATGATGTCCCAATTATCATCCAGAACCGCACCTAACGATGTTGCCAAACTCAGAAGAACCCTCAAACACATAATTTGGCGTGAATTAATGTTTCTGCTGTACAGCTGCAAAGGTTCTGTCTCAGAAGAGGTACTTGCCATATTTGAAACAGCGTTTCCAATAGTGGAGCTGATTGTTCCGACTATAGACTCACCGAATGACAGGAACTTGTTTTGACGGCCCTCTTTGCCCGTTAACTTTAAGGTCGAGATTGCAAAAAAATTAAGGATTTCGTTCCTTGTTTCTTTCAACGACAATATACCTGACGCATGGCACAGTTTCTGCAAAGATCTGACAACTTTCGAGAAAAGATCTGAATCTATTGTCGAATACAAGAAGATCTTGTGCAACTCTAGTAAATCCTTTGAGTTGGAGAGCAGCATTACACTCAAGCAGGCATATTGCAGCTGCTTCGACTTGTCGGAGAATGTGGTCTCGTTTAAAAATGATACAGTTTCTCCTTCGGAAGCCAAATCAAGAGTAGCTTTGCAGAGACCTTCGCAAAAGCTTATAATAATCTGACAAATCAAATAGCAGGAATATGTTTCTGGTACATGTGGAGGGTCGGCTTTATCGAGTGAATCAATGTAGGAAAACTTTATCGCGGATTTGGCAATCGATAGACCAACCTTTTTCTCTTCTGCCTGGCGAATGGTGGCAGGTGCGGAGCTAGGCGTTGGTTTCTTGGACTTGGAAGAATTCGCTTCTTGGACAGTGCCAGAGTGTGTGGCAGAGCTAAAAGGGGCCTGTATCAGGTCACCGGTATTAAGCATCTGTTTATGCTCGCTCACAATTTCAAGACATGCTTTAAAAAAATCAGAAAACACCTTTTTTCGCTCTTCTTCTTGGTTATTGTCGTATTCGGTGAATATCTTGCTGACTAGTTCGAAGTCTTTGAATATGGCACGGTATATTTCCAGAGACAAAATGCGTTTCCAAACAGGCGTTGCAGATTCTTTCGTCAATATGTGATTCAGAAGTGAAAGGGTTACTTCAGACTCAATTTTGAGAACTTCGAATTGTTCCTGGATTAGAAGCGAGATCAAGCGCGATACGCGGACCATCGCTGTGAAATCTTTGCTTGACGACAGAAAACGCAGCAGGATTGGGGCCACGCGGAGTCTTAGTAAATGAGCGAGTTCCTCGTGCGTCAAAAACGTTTGTCGATTGTTCTTAACAATGCTTTCCAGTAACTCGAAACCAAAATCCTCGGTAATATAATTCGTTTTCAAGAACGCTGGCTTGTGGTGCTCAATGAGAGTGCAAAGGTCGCTGACAATTCGTTGTGCATCATACGCGCAAGGACCAACTTTCCTTGTTTCTTGAGTGCTTATCGGGACAGGATATAATGCTTCCTGGCATCCCTTTTCATCTTCATCGTGCACCTTCTCAAACACTAAATTCACTAATTGTAGAAACGTGGCTTGCGCTGTGTTGACAACAGCACCCATCCGGTTTGTACTTTGCAAGGACGAGCACACTAATAGCAACTTAGAAAGCGTTTCATCATTAATGAACATTGAGTATGCTTGGAAGAAGGAGGGCAGCAATTGCAGGATCTTGAGTTGTATATCTATAGCGGAGTGAGTGGACTCTAATAGAGCGTCGATGACTAAATCCACCTTTGTTGCAGGCAAACTGTGTGTCGGAATTAGCCTACTAAAACATTGAAGGGCAATCCCGGTAAGTTTAGCATTTTTGGATTGGCAAGCAAGAAGGAAAGGATTGATGAAGTCAGGATTTTGGGACAGCGATTTTAGAAAAGCTCTTTCATCTTTTCCATGTCCAGATTTGAGAGTCTCAAGGGACCTGTCAGCTGCGTGGCGAATGTCCGTGTTCTTACGTTTAGTCTCTGCTACCAATGCAGCCAAATCGGCGCTCAGCAGCTGAATTGACATAACGATGGTAGTGAACAAGTAGTAAATAAGCTATAAAAAACAATAAAAAAATATTTTATACCAAAAAGTCTATGTATCGTCGTACCCTTATGGACGGAATATTTGCAATAAACAAACCTTCAGGGGTGACTTCCAGCAACTTTCTTACTCGTTTGAACAAGATATTTAATGAGTCTGAGGTTTTCAAGCCCGCACTTGATGAAATCAGAAAAGAGCTCCATAGAACTCAACCTAAGGGTTATAAAAAGAAGCTTCGCCAACTTAAAGTGAAAATGGGCCACGGTGGTACTTTGGACCCTCTAGCATCCGGGGTATTGATCGTTGGAGTTGGATCTGGTACTAAGAAGCTTGGAGGCTACCTGAATGGCTCAGTCAAAGTCTATGAAGCAGAAGCACTCTTTGGCGGATCGACAACAACTGGAGACTCCGAAGGACAGTTGTTGACAATTAGCGGAGTCGACCATATCACAAAAGAGAAAGTTGAATTGTTAAAGAAGATGTTTGTTGGTCATTTACAGCAGACTCCGCCAATTTTCAGTGCTCTAAAAATGGAAGGAATGCCTCTCTATGAGTATGCGAGACGCGGTCTACCTCTTCCCCGCAAGATAGAGCCAAGAGAAGTTCAAGTGTATGAGCTTGATTTAAAGAATGACTGTCTCAGCACAGATCATCCATATGAATTTCTTAAAAGTGAGGTCGACGAAGACGGAACCGCACTTGTTGACAAGCTGAGCGGAAATCCAACACTGAATGATCACAAAGTGTCTTTTTCAAAAGAGTACATGGAGCTATGTGACCGTGATGAATCATTGAGTCGCGAATGTGAGCCTTTGAGAACCGTGGAGAAGTTCCCTGATGGATTTAAAGCACCACTGCTTCATTTCACATCTAAGGTTTCCTCAGGAACATATATAAGGTCTTTGATCAGTGATATGGGGCGTGCTGTTGGCTCGTCAGCGTACATGGTGAAGCTCATTCGTCGGAATCAAGCTGAATGGGACTTGGAAAAAAATGTCTTTGATATAGAGGATTTTGAGCAAGATGCAAAAATTTGGGGTCCTGTGCTCCGCAAAGTTTTCAAAGAGGGGGCTTCTGTGGATGTGAAGAAAGAACTCGCGGCACTAGGCATGGATAGAAAACTCGAAGAGCACGAACAGGAATCCAAACGTGTCAAGACCAAAGACTAGGTCATAGTAGGACAGCTAGACACAGTATTAATAGAATCCACGGGATATGATGAGTTCTGGAGCCTGCGCTGGTGTGTTGGAAGGTGAAAGAGTTGCATGCAAGGTAGGTGTCACCGTCATCGAGGTATTTATCGTCTCCATAGCTCTTTTTGATCAAGGAGGAGGTTGAAGGGCACTTGAATCCAAAATCGGGCGGACAATCTCGAACTATTGCCTGACAGATATTCAGGCAAGGAAGCACCTCATAGTAGCTCAAAGGCGGCTGGATCGTTTGGGCAATGAAATCTGTTCTTCCTTCTGATTGATTGTACAGCTTGTACAGCGGAGCATCTAATGTAGAACATCTAGGAATGGTCACTGCACACAGCCATTGCCGATATGAGTGTCTGCAATCATCGCATGTCACTATGGGTGAGTATCTTGCGTCAAGTTCGGTGTCACAGGGTATTTGTTGCAGCGCATAGTCGAAGTTGACGTAAAGAGACGAGGAGTAGTTATCGTATAAGGCTGCAAGCTGGTCGACCGTCTGAGCTCCTTCAACTAGTGCGGCCGATGCCGGAACAGCATATGCCACGTCCTTGCAGAATTCCAGGTTGTGTATGATCTTGCACGCTTGCGAGTCGCGCAAAGTGAAGTTAAAGCGTTGGTGAACAAGCGTCACGTCGCTTCCAAAGAGATGTTCTGTGAAGGTGGCAAAATAGGTGCTGTTTCTTTGTAATCCGGTGATCTGAATGAGGTTGCGATCTCCCGTGACCGTGCTGTTGTTGATCACCTGTGTCAACACTTCACTGGTGTAATTTGCATCGCTGTACAACGAAAGCACAAACTCGGTGTTTGGATTTGACCACAAATCCGCACCACTCAACAAAACGCTCTCGTCGTCCACATCAACCACAGAAATGAGGGTTTCTCCGGTGTAATTAAAGTAGATCGATCCGCTAGATATTTCCATCGTGTAGGTCCATTCTTCATTATTCTTGCACTGGCCGCATCCACCAGACATCAGCCGTGCAAACATGAAGGAGTGCATGTTGACCTGGGTATTGTTTAAAGTAAGGACGGCCTCAAAGTTCCTGAACTCGACCTTCTTGGTGTCCTCAATACCTGTCAGATCATCGTCAAAGTCGTAATAAAGCACCAAACCTTCGTCGCTGCTCCGCCAAGACGGAGGTCTGGAATCGATGGTAACTTTCAGTGTGACGTTGCTAGTGGCAATCTTCGTATCAAACGCGAAAGCGTAGGTTTGCGACTCGTTGAAGCCAATTGATGAAGTAACAGATTGCAGTCCATACAAATCCTGTGTCGGCAGACTGCGCTCCACGCTCCTCTCAAATAGATTGTCTGGCATAAACTGGCCAGGCACATCGATCTCGTAGTGCGAAATATCAAGTCCTTGCGCATGGACCACCGCGCACAGGAGCACCAGATATACCAAAAACATGAATGATTTAATTAATTCCGTCTTACATAATCAATTTAGACTCAAGCAGTTTCTCGACTGCAGAGATGGCCTTGTCAATTTGGGCAGCCTCGGTTCCCATTCCTTGGCAAACGTTTCCCTTGCCTCCGGCTTTTCCACCAATGTAGGAGGCCGCAACATTGGCGACCTCGGTTGCCTGAACTTTGCCCAAGTGCTCATCGCTGATGTAAACACCCTGAGCAACACGAGCGTCATCTTTCTGACCAGTAATCAGGAACAAAGACTTTTCCTTGTTCTCCTTCTTGATCATGTTGATCGCCTCGGTGATAATCTTTGCATTTGGAGAAATGTCAATGTGTTTCACAAGGAACGGAGCGTCCTTGTGCTCTGAGAAGAACTCTTTCACAGCGTCGAGAGCTTTCTTTGTGTCGGCTTTCTGTCTGGCTTTGACCTCGTCTTTCACAGCCTTTTCTATCTTGGCAAACTTGTCCTTCAATTGAGCCTTCTGTAAAACGCTGATAGTAAGCTGGCCAAGTTTCGTGCTGGTCTCCTTCAGCTTCTTCTCCTTGGCCTCCCCAAACGGCATTTTCTCGATGGCGTCCAGCTGCTCATCAAAGTCCTTGGCAATGCGTTGAACCTCATGGGCTTCAGTGCCAGTCACAGCCACAATACGCCTGATACCTTTGGCAATTCCACTCTCCTCAACAATCACAAGCTCCTTGATATCGGAGGTCTTGGCGACGTGAGTTCCACCACAGAACTCAACGGAATAGTCATACCACTCCTTGTTATCAGGTTTTGCCAGTAGCTCTTCGACAGGAATACCAATGGAAACAACTCTAACAGGATCTGGGTAGGTCTCTCCGAATACTGCCCTAAGCCCGTAAATCGACTTAGCAATACTCAAAGCGACTGGCTTCGAATACACAGGCATGCTGTCTTTGATGATTTTGTTACAAATGGACTCAATCTTTTCCAATTGTTCTAGTTGAACGGCTGCCTTATTGGAGAAGTCAAAACGCAGCTTCTCAGCAGCAACAAGAGAACCTTTCTGGTCGACACCGTCGCCCAGAATCTCTCTTAGAGCAAGGTTTAGAATATGAGTACCCGTGTGGTTGTTTCTAATCGGCCATCTTCTAAGTTCGTCGTATCCTGCAATCACTTGGTCGCCCACGGAAAACTTTCCCTCAACAACATGGCCAGTGTGGAGAACGTATCCAGCATAAGACTGCACGTTTTCGACCTCGAACTCAGCGACACCATCAATGACAATCTTACCGGTGTCATATTCCTGACCTCCTTGTTCAGCATAAAATGGCGTCTTTTCCAGCAAGACCCCAAGCTGTTGACCAGCTTCTGTGCCCTCGGTGGAGCCAAGAAGCTCCTTTCCGTTGTAAATTCCAACAATCTTGGTCTTAATGTCCTGGTTCCCGTACTTGTAACTGTCGTCGGTCACAGGAATATCCTTATTGCTGTCCAAGGCACCAAGTATATGGACGTCAAGCTTCAACAAGGTCTTACCGGACTTGCTGCCACCCGCCTTGGAAGCTTCTAAAGAAGCCAATCTAGCCTTCTCAAACCCTTCCTCATCAATATTCAGCCCAGCCTCTTCCGCCATCAGCCTCGTCAAGTCAACAGGGAAACCATAGGTATCATAAAGTCTCCAAACGTCCCTTCCAGCCAAAGTTTGTTCAGGAGTCTTAGAAGCAATGATGGCGTATTGCTCAAACAATTTCTCACCACGGTCAAGTGTACGCGCGAAAGAAGCTTCCTCCTCGTCGAGAATTTCGAAAATGGTGTCCGTGTTAGTGGCCACCTCCGGGAAAATATCCTTAACTTGTTCAATTAAAGTTGGTGCCAGTTGGGAGAAAAACTTACCGATAGGGTAGTTCATGTACTTTCTCACATATCTTGCACCTCTTCTAAGGATTCTTCTCAAAACGTAACCTCTGCCCTCGTTGTTAGGAACACCCCCATCAGCAAGAGCAAAAGTTAAAGTACGCACGTGGTCTGCCAGGACTCTGTAAGCTGTATCAATACCGTCGAGATCATCCTTACCAAACTTTCCAGAATATGGTCTAACGCCAGTGATCTCCTGGATTTTGGAGAACAGGGGCTGGAACACATCAGTATCATAGTTTGATCTCACATTTTGCAGAACGGAAACAAGTCTCTCAAATCCCATACCGGTATCAACGTGCTTGGCCGGCAGGGGCTTCAATGATCCATCCTGCTCCCTGTTGAACTGAATGAACACATTGTTCCAGATCTCCAAAACGTCTGGATCGTCCTGGTTAACAAGAGATGAGGCATTTCTACCGCCAATACGATCATAATGGATCTCAGAACATGGCCCACAAGGGCCCTGGTCGCCCATTTCCCAAAAGTTGTCCTTGGCATTTCCTGGAAGAATGTGGTCATCCGCAACACCAACATCCTTCCAATACTGCTTGGCTTCCAGATCTGGTTCCAAACCATTGGCTGCGTCACCTTCAAAATATGTCACATAAAGTCTGTCCTTGTTAAGGCCGTACACGTTGGTGAGGAGGTCCCAGGAGTATTGGATGGCCTCCTTCTTAAAGTAGTCGCCAAACGACCAGTTACCCAACATTTCAAAAAAAGTGTGGTGGTAGGAGTCTCTTCCGACGTCCTCGAGATCGTTGTGTTTTCCACCGGCTCTGATACATTTCTGCGAATTCACGGCCCTCTTCAAGGAGGCAAAGGAAGAAGAAGGATCCACGGTACCTAAAAAGATAGGCTTGTATTGATTCATACCGGCATTTGCAAATAAGAGAGTAGGATCATCATGTGGGATCACAGAGGATGAGGAAACAAAAGTGTGACCTCTTTCTTTGAAGTAGTCAAGAAACGTATTTCTGACCTTAGTGGCAGTCCATTGTTGTGACATCTTGCGTATTTGTTGTGTTGTTCTGGGTTTCAGTGTATGACGCTGGAAACAGCAAATGTTCATACACTTCGGATGAAACAAAAGACAAGATAAAGTTTGCCGTCGATGGTGAAATAAAAATCTTTTGATATGTTTTAGCCTGTCGGCGCGTCGATTTATTTTTTTTCAAGTCATGGTTCGTCTAAAGTCCCGGTATATCTTATTTGAGATCATCTGCCCAGAACCTGCGGAGTTTTTCTACGGAAGTCGCAAAGATGCGATACTTGCCCTTCACCGCCCCTGCGATGCCAAAATCACACCCAAGTTGCTGGTTCAGGAAATAAAAACAACTCTTCAAAATAATTTTGGAGACTACGGTCTCTCGATGGCCGTTTCACTATCAATAAAGTACTTTTCGAATCGCACAAGCACCGGAATAATAAGAATACACAGGGATAATGTGCGATATATTATTGCTGCTCTCACTTTTATTCGTCAGTTGCGTGGGCAGGACGTGATCATCAAATGCTCAGCTGTAAGCGGCTCGATCAAAAAATGCGAGGATAAAGCGATCGAGCTCTCTAAACAACTGATGGTAGACGTTAACTTACTTGAGTTGTTCGAAGACGACGACGAAAAATAGATATATTTACTCTCTGGATTTGATAATGTCAACAAATTCCGGTTTCAGAGAGGCACCTCCAACCAAGAATCCATCGACATCATCCTTGCCTCTAAAGTCTTTAGCGTTCTTACCGCTCACAGAGCCTCCGTACAAGATTCTGACAGACTCGGCCTGGGAGCCAATAGCCGTGCTCAAGAACTTTCTGATCTCCTTGTGGATTTCCTGTGCGTCATCAGCAGTGGCAGCCAGACCCGTACCGATGGCCCAAACTGGCTCGTAAGCGATCACAATGTTGGTCCAGTCGGACACGACGTCAAGGACGGCTTCAAGCTGTCTCTTACACACCTCCAAGGTTTTGCCGGCTTTTTTCTCCTCAAGAGTCTCCCCAATACACAAGATCACCTTGAGACCAGAGTCCAACGCAAATTTAGTTTTGGAAGCAATTAATTCGTCAGACTCCTTGAAGATGATTCTTCTTTCAGAGTGACCCAAAATCACCCATGGGATGCCCAAGTCCTTGAGAGCCACTGCAGAAACTTCTCCGGTGTAGGCACCCGATGCCTTGTCGTAACAGTTCTGGGCTGCCACCTCCACGGTTGGTTGCTTGTTGTGCTCAGAGGCCCAGACGAGGTACGGAGCCGGAGGAGCAATGACTACCTGGACATTGGAAGGAAGAGAGGCGGAATTGAGGTTCTGGACAATCGACTGAATCGAGTCCTTTGAACCGTTCATTTTAAAGTTGCCACCAACGAAGAATTGTCTAGCCTGTGGTGAAGAGTTAGTTTCTGAATATCGGGAGTGGTCAGCGGGTCTCAAATGGCCAGAGATCGCATGGACCAGTGTTAATGCGGAACGTACCATTTTGAAAATATATGTTTAACTTTTAATTGACAGCAGTTGGGAAATCCTCTCACTTTTTATATCACGTATTTTAGAGCTACGTGCTGAACCACTCCGATATATATTTTTCTGGGGCAAGGGTTTTCCAAACTTAATCAGGTGTTGCGGCTGTTGCGGCTGGCCGATCGGGACAATTAGCTCCGGGTCTTGCAAACTTTTGGTTACGGGCCTTCCAAGTAGCGCGTGCTGTGATATTTATACAGCGACCATGTAGGCACCCCACTATAGGCTAAAGAGCAGGTCGTAGCCTAGACCGTCAAAATTTGCTATTTAATTTTTCCTCTCACACTTTATTTTTGCAACTTTGATCTTCATGGTCGTCATCCGCATCCTGACAGTCCCGTTTCAACTTATCAAATAGGTGCTTGATTTTTAGCGATTTTTGCACCTGCTCGTTTTTCGCTCGCGCCTCCGCGTCGGCTACCTGTCTTACCTCGTCGTCTGTGAGAGGCACTGTACTGTTGAATGTAAACTCTCTCCCGGCATCTCTTTTGACTTCTTCCTCTCTTTTTGTCTGTTCAAGCTCTGACCACGTGCTCAGATGCGTGCGAAGGACGTAACGCTGCGTCGTCTCGTCCTTTTCCATCACTATCCAGCGACAGTTAGGCACGTTTTGCAGGTCTTCGAACTTTTCTACGCTCCATCTAAACCATTTGGTCAGGAAGACACGCGCCCATATTCCATGAGTCACCAGCACCAACACAGAAGGGAAGCTTTTTTTGCTGAATTGTCGAAATAGCGTCTCGTTGAAAGAAGCACACCGATCGTAGACATCTGCCGCACTCTCCCCATACGGTATGCGATAGAAGAAATGTCCGTACTGTGCTCTCTCAATCCAGATCTGTTCCATCTCTTCTCCGGTACCCTGGAAATTGCCAAAATCCTGTTCTCGCATCCTTGGTTCCTCATACGTTCTATATGGAATATTTGTATCTGAAATCGCCTCCACAATTTCCTCAAGCGTCTGGCGAGCTCGCATATATGGCGAGGTGTAGAAGCATATTGAGTCATCCGGCCTCAGGAATTCTTTCAGCTGTTTCCCCGCCATGGCTGCCTGCTCGTGTCCCTTTTCTGTCAACGGCACTTTGTGGTTGGCTATGTATCTGTTCACCGATTTGTCTTTATTTCCCTGAGACTCTCCGTGTCGCACAAGAAGAATAAGCTAATTTGTTAGCGGTACCTGTGATATACCTACTCTTGGTCTACCCATTATTGTTACAAAATTATTTACAGAGTAAAAATTGTGTTCCTATAGTCTAAGCACATTGATCGACGGTCCATGAGGCAATTTTCGAGCTAGATCCTTGATAGGCTGGAGAAGCTGTCAACCGTGCATTCTTGCCATCTACTTTCCCAATCATAAATACAGCCGGTTCTTGTTACTCTCGTACTCGTTATTAACTTTCCCGCAATTTTAATTTTACCCATCGTCAATTGCTACCATATACTTTTGCAAGCTTCAATCCCATTGCAATGTTCTGCAAACGAGCATCGAGCTTGTATCCCTCTTTGGCCAAGTCCTCCAGGCTTTCGTAAAACGTAGCGAGCGGGAGAGTGAAGATCTCGATGAACTCGTTCTCCTCCAACTCGGGCTGAGGATTTTGGTTGCGTGGGTCTGCCATGTCGATACTGGCAGTCACAATAACCGTGTTGGTGTTGCAAAAACCCGGGTCGTTGAAAATGAGCGGCCCAGTGGTTAGCACTTTGCCAACATAGCCAGTTTCCTCTTTAAGCTCTCTCATAGCACATTCTTGTAAAGACTCGTTAGGGTCGACCAATCCGGCAGGCATCTCAATGCACACGCCCTCGACAGGAGGACGGAACTGCTTCTGCAAAACAACCTCGGGTCCGGAGTCCTTCTCAATGATAGCAATGATGCCGACACCGTCTACAGACGTGCCCTCGGGGCGGGTTCTGCGTGAAGCCATCTCCCATTGGCGGGCCTTGCCATCTGGAGACAGATAATCGATCTTACTGAGCTGGAGCCACTTGGCGTCCTCGTTGGCCATTGGCCGGACGTTGGTGACCTTGGCTGCGTTCAAATTCAAAGAGTTGCTCATTCTCCGTAAAAGTAGGGTACTGAATCTTGTAAACATACACCACACACCAAAATATTTTCACCATTTACTTCATCATGTCAAGCCAAGATATAAAGGCGCGCTTGGAACAGGAGCTCATAGCGTCGGGCAAATACCAGGACATTTACAACTTTTTGAAAATCCAGCTCGCAAACTCTGGCTGGACTGAGCAGTTTGCTGAGCTCGCATCCGAAACGATCGCCAGAACGCCCGAGTCGCAAAATCTACGATTTGTGGAACTCGTGGATAAACTACAACCACAAGCACTCAGCATGGTGCCCGATGACGTGAAAGCACAGACGCTCGCCAAGATCAAAGAGTTCCTGGACTCAGTCATAGAATGACACAATCGCTTATAGATAATGATAACACTATTTTACTTACTCTGTTGCGTCGGCCGGAGTCTCAGGCTTGGTATTTTCCACAACCTGCTGCGGAGAGCGTGTTTCACCTCTAGCATCCGTTGGCTCCCCTCTACTCTGCTCTACGTCCGCAGGCTCGGTGGCCTTCTCCTCCACCTTCTCCTCGTGCTCGTCGTTGTCGTTGTCGTCTTTTTCGTCTTCGTCATCGTAGTCGTCTTCCTCCTCAATCTTCCGCACAGGAGCTTCGCTTGAAACGGCCCGCTGCACCTCCTGCTCCTTCACTTCCTCCGACGACTTTTTCAGCTCGTCCACCTCTTCCTTTTCCATGGGCTTCAGTTCGATTGTAGGCTCCTCAGTCTTTGCGGGCGCGACAGACTCAGAAGACTGAGCGGGTGGAACGTGTTGGGCAGGTGGGGCGGGCTGAGCGGGCTGAGCAGGCTCTGAGGGCTCTCTCGGAGTGGCCGAAGTGGCCGACTCGGTGGCGTCAATAGCCTCGGCAGACTCAAGTTTCTGTTTCTTTTGTGGTTCCTCTGGTGGCTCCGCTGCTTCTCGCTTCACACCATTACTCCTCTCCGGTTCAGGTGTGGTCTCTCTCTCGACCACCTTCGCGTTCAAAATTCCTGACTGCTGGCCCACCTTGAGCTGCGCCGGTGCAGGCCCTGCAGCCTGTTGTTGTTCCTGTTGTTGCTGTTGCTGTTGCTGTTGGAGCACTTGTTGTTGCGTAGGCATGGTCAGTTGGTGGTGGCTTTGAGGGGGAGGAGGTGGCACACCGCCTTCTTTCTGGTACTTGGTGAGCTGCATGAGTCTTTCTTGGATGTGTGGGTTGCTAGGGTCGAGAGATGCCGCGCGGTGGTAGGCGTCGAGAGCATCCCCAATCTGGTTGTTGCACGTCTCGTACAGAGTACCGAGATCGTACCAGACTTCGGATAGATAAGGATTGAGACGGATGGCTCTGGTGTATGCATCCAGCGCGTCCTTATACTGGCTGATTTTGTAGTATAGAACACCGATAGAGCACCAGAACGTTGGATTTCTCGAGTCGATATTGACGGCGTGCTGGAAAGCCTCATAAGCATTCGGATAGTCTTGCTTGGACATGTAAACACGGCCAAGGTAGTACCAAGAGTGGGCGTCTGCATTGTTGAGTTCAATCGATTGTCTCAGGAGCTGCTGGGCCACGTCGAAGTCGTGGAATGGGGCTTCCTGCTGTGAGTACAAACATCCCAGTTGTTGCAAAACCTTGGAGTGATTAGGGTTGTTCTGCAACACGCGCTCATAGGCCTCCTTGGCACCATTGTAGTCTCTGTTCTGCTCCAAGACGGACCCTATTTGGAACCAAACATCGGTCTGGGTCAGAGGGGCCGGAGGCATGGACAATATATAATGGAAGCATTCCAGGGCTTTAGACAATTTGCCCTGAAGTTTGTAGATGATTCCGAGCCGAAAGTAAATTTCGTTCGCCTTGTCGAACTGAGGGTCCATTTCCAAAACTCGGACAAACGCCTCCTCTGCATACTCCAAAGAGCCGTATCTGTCATACAAAATACCGATTCCATGCCATAATTTCGGAACGCTCAGGTTCTGCAGATTGAGAAGCGCCTGCTGATAGGCGGTGTAGGCAGATTGCAAGTCGTCTAGCATCAGGTAACAGTGCCCGAGAAGACCCCACGTTTCACCGTTGTTCTGGTCCAAAGACAAGGCTCTGCGGTACAGATCTGCCGCCTCGGCAAAAGCGTCTCTTGTTCTGTAAACGTTGGCGAGCTGTGTCAAAGCCTTTGGATTATTTGGGGTATACCGTAATGCTGTGGAGAAAGCCTCAACGGCCTTCTCGACATTTCCGATGGTATCTGCACACGTTCCGATTGCAATCCAAGTCTCCGCGTTTTCTTGTGCGAAACGCGCTTCTAATGACGAAACCTCTTGAGAACCCAGCGAGACAGGATTGCCGTTCATTTGTTGTGCAATTAGTTGCTGGTCCATGTCGGGAAAAATATAATTACAATTGTTTTTTTTTTCAATATGTTCATCCCTACTTAAAAATGCTATTTCCACCGCCAGCGATACATTTTAGCCAAATGCTGCTTAGGCAACTTTGGTATTTATTGTGTTGCTATTGTACACTTATTATTCTTCAATAGGAAATATGCACATTAGGTGGCACTCGGAGATTCTATGTAGTAGAATAATAGGAAAACCCAGGAACAATAGTACAATAGCCTCAACACCAAGCATCCGGGTTTTCTTGTTATTTCGCATTTTCTTAATTTACACTATTTCAAGGTCTTGATGAATGAGTCCAAGTTGTACTCCTCTTCGTACTCCTTTTCGTCCCAGAGTTCGGCAAGCTCATTAACAGCACTGCCAGCCTTTCCAGATAGACCAACTTCATTCGGAACATCCAAAGAGCCGAGCTTATCAGACACTGGCCCGGGTTTCTCCTTCTCCCGTTGCTTCATCTCTGTGTCCGCGTCTGGATCCGCATTAAACAGGTCTAGCAGTTGATTAGTGTCCATTGACGCAAGTCCGGAATTCTGCTGGTTGATAATCGTAGAAGCAATGTTCATTTTGAACTTTTGTAATCCCATGATTTTTTCCTCTAAAGTGTCCTTAGTGATCAACCGGTACACGTTCACCACCTTCTTTTGTCCCAACCTGTGGGCACGATCCATCGCTTGTAAGTCGTTCATCGGATTCCAGTCGTGCTCAACAAAAATCACGGTGTCTGCTCCGGTTAAATTGAGACCTAAACCTCCAACCTTAGTCGTTAAGAGAAGGACATCAATCGAGGGATCGTTGTTAAACTTGCGAACGACATCTTGCCGCTTCCGAGGCTCGGTGGACCCGTCTAGTCGAAGATACGTGACACCAGGCATGTGTTTCTTCAAAAGATCGTTTTCAACCATGTCCAACATGTCCTTCATTTGACAGAAAATGAGCGCCCGATGCTGAGATATCACATTTTCTGCCGGAATTACGCCCTTTTGACCGCCCTCGCTGCCAATACCACACTCAAGAAGAAGATTCTTTAGCGACATCAGCTTCGGAGAGTGTTCAATATCCCTGATATCCATATCGTAGGTCTTAAGATACTTCATGACATCATTGTACTGTGGGTGTTTTGGCGTCAGCACTAAGGCAGCATGATTACACAGTTTCCGCATGTACTGCAAAGCCTGGAAAATGTGCTGCTTGCTCTGGCTTTCGTCGGAGGCATGGAGATCTTTTTCGACATTTGTCTTTTGCTTCTTGATGAAATCTTTGTACAGTTGCTTTTGTAAGCTGGATAGCTCGCAGTAATAGTCCTGAATGATTTTCGGAGGCAAATCAGAAAGAACGTCCTCCTTCAGGCGTCGCAACATAAATGGCAGCACCTGCTTATGCAAGGCTTCCAATGCTAGCGCACCCGCCTCTTGTTCTTTAGGTCCCTTGATGGTTCGCGAAAGAGCTATTGGCTTGGCAAATCTGTCCTGGAACATTTTTTCGGTGCCGAGGAATCCTGGCATCAGAAAGTCAAATAACGACCACAGCTCAAGTACATTGTTTTGGATTGGTGTTCCTGAAAGTACCAACCGATGCTCTGCACGGATACGTTTCACCGACTGCGTCAATTTCGTGTTAGCATTCTTAATGATGTGTCCCTCATCAAGAACACAGTAATTGTAGTCGATGGAGCTGACAAATTCAACGTCATTACGAACAACATCATAAGAAGTCACCACGACATCTGCTTCTGCAAGCTGTGGCCGAATAGAGGCTCTCAGCGAAGGCGAACCCGCATAAACAACCACGTTCAAGAATGGAGCGTATTGCTCGAATTCCTGTTCCCAATGGCCTGTGAGAGATGGAGGGCATACAATCAAACTTGGAAGCTTACGCGTTTCCGTGGAGTGTGTCTTTTTATGCTCTTCTGCGCGCAGGTGATGGTCACTTGCCACTATGCAAATTGTCTGTAAAGTCTTTCCGAGTCCCATATCGTCACACAGGATACCATGAAGATGGTATTTATTCAAAAACGCCAGCCAATTGACTCCCTCTTGCTGGTATTTCCGCAAGGTTGCTCTGATAGAAACTGGGAGCTCAAAAGGTTTGATCTTTGTAGGATCCATCATTTGCTGTATAAATTCGCGCTCTTTGTCTCGTCCACCAAGCAGCTCCTCTGGCATGTCTGGAGGATCAGGAATTCCTGCCTCCAAAGGTATCAGTTTGATAATTGAAGCAAAAGTTGTAGTGCTGATTAACCTCACGTCGTGATTTGCGTCACTCATCCGTCCCAACACAGGGACAAGCAAGAAGACAACGTAAGGCAAGATGTCAGACCCCATGACAATCGATAGTCTGTACACACATTCGATGGCTCCCTGTCTGTCCTTGAGATCAAGAGCATTGTTCAGAAGTGGAAGAATATGTTTCACGAAGAACTGGAATCCTGTAGATGGCAAAGTGGCACATATCGTGGCAAAGCATTTGGCAGCGGAATAACGGAACACTGAATACTTGGATTTGATTCCTTCCAAAATTAAAGGAAGCTTGTCCACAACTGTCAATTGCAAGGATCTATCCATTTTCCCCAAAAGCGCACGCAATATTTCAAGTGAATCAACGGCCTGCTGACCTTCAGCATCGGTGAACTCTGTACGTGAAAGAATATCCAGCGGCTCAAAAACAATACTTGTCAAAATTGGCAATTTATCAAAGACTTCTGTGCCATAGTTTTCGATCAAATCATCTAAAGCAATCTTGGCACCACGCCTTTTGATTTTAGCCAAGAATATCTCTCTTTCGGCAGCAGCAAGCTCTGCGGGATCGGTCTTAGCTTCTTCTTTTCTCAAGGATAAAATTATATCTGTGAAATTCTTGTTAGGAACAAACTCAGGAACTTCTGAAGTATCCACACACAAAAATCCACAAAGATTCTTGACCATTTTATCTACTGCTCCAGTTTTGCCAACCTTGTTCAGTTCCATAACCAATCTCGAAACAGTAGATGCTGCTCTTGCTTGTAAGAGTAATGATTCTTCAGCCTTGATACTCTCCATCAACGATCGAATCAATGGTGTTAATTTCTTTGGTAATCCAGAGAGCTTCAGAACCGCTGACGAGTAAGAAGACAGTATCCCAGTCGAACGATTAGTTTTTGAAGCTGTAGCCTCCTTAATGGCCATATTGACACGGTGCTTGGCGTCCTCTAGCGACTGTAATGCGGCCATTTTGTAGACAGGGGTCAGCGATTTAAGAAGCTTGTTGTAGACATCATTGATTATTGACGTCGCCAGCTCAATACCAAATGCGTCTGGGCCAGCATCCTCCTCACCTTGGACTAAAACCGGAAGCGTTGGGATCTTGCTTGAAGAAACTCTAGCTTGCTCTCGGAAAATTTGGAAAAGCTGGAGACATTGGGTTCTAAGACCTTTCAATATAGGAACAAACTCCCTAAAAGATGGAAGACTCTCTGGATTAGCTAAAGCTTCATTGAGTATTGGAAGGAATTTTGATTTTATTGATTCCTCGATAGGCTTCTTTTGGTCAATACAACTCTGACAATACTCTTCCAAAACTATGCAGGCGAACAAGCGCGGAGTCGAATGAGGATCTTTGAAATAGGCCTCCAATCTGTCAAATATTGGCTCTAAATTCTTGACAGAGTTATAGTGAGCGAGTGTGCGGCCAAGAGCTGCAGATGCAGCCAACCTTGTTTTAACAACAATGTCAATTCCAACCAATGTCAAATCACCGTTAATCATTGGTGCGTCTATATTCACGGCATTGTCGTACTCTGTCTGTGGAATGCCCGCATCGTTTTGTTTGAGCTTTCCTAAAGCTTGCTGCTGATCGTCAGACATTTTACGCTTTTTCTGCTTTGGTTTCATCTCCTCTATATTGAAACCTGTCAGAGGAATGTCACTGAACGATAAGGTTTGACCACTAGGTCTAAGAATACAATTTGGATTCATGGAGTAGTTGAAACGAGCCACACCTATAGGAGTCATAAGAAGGGTCATCAGCGGCGTGATGTGTTCGGCGAAAATGTCGTCAATTGATCCAAGAGCGCCTTGAGAAATTTGATCGATCATTGTGTAGTAAACCTTTTCAGAGAGCTGTAGCACATCTGCGTTTTGCTCGACAAGCAAGTTTTGAAAAATGAGTCTGCAGGCTTTTCCGTCTATCCAGTTTTTGACCGTGACATCTTCTATTTCCAGGAAAGCAAGCAATGTTTTGAGCACAGATTTTCTAACGTTGGTAATGGAATGTCTAAGGAAGGGAAATAGACGAGGAATAAGATGCTTGAAACTAAGTTCATCGTTTTCAGTTGCGTATTCCTTCATCTTATCCAAAACTTCTTTATGTGAGCAAAGCTTTGCTAAAAGATCCATCACCGATCCAATGGACGCACTTAGATCATCCTTCAGATCGGTCAAGCCTTGCCAGATCACATTCACAATTTTGAATACCATGTCCAGTTTGAGCTTAACAAAGTCGCTAGCTATCGGGATCAACGTGGAGGCAGCAACGCTCTGAACATCATCATCACCGCTACTATGAAGACAGAACAAGACCATATCGATCGTAGCGTCAAGCAGCTCTGAATGACTGAACAACAAATCTGTTCTGATGCTGACAAAGTATCGTAAACCAAGCATGCCTCCATGTCTGGCTTCCCAGCATGTCATTTTATAGTCTGATTGTCCAAAATCTTGTTTTATCAGTTGTATGAGAGCCGCAAACGTCTTCAAAACAATGTCGTCAGGCAGGTGTAGCAATAGGGCTGCCAAAGTTTGAGCTGCATTCTCTCTGACAGGAGCAACCACCGTGTCAGAAACGTAATCTCCAAACCTGTCCATCGCGAAGAGAGTAATAAGTCTAACACAGAGGTCTTCCAAAGTGCGCCTATTGAGATCATCATTTTCTTCTATCGAACGACCCCTTATACGGCCTGCACCATAAGCTTGGTATTTCACCAGCTCTCTAAGCCCCATTGCTGCACCGTGTCTGACCTCCCACGTCTCGTTAAATAGATCTTTGATAAGCAACTCATAGACACCTTGGAATTGCCATACCAGATGAGATACTTTGGAATGCAGCTGTAAGATTGGTGAAATGTCAGGCACTTTCTGCTCCACAACAAGTTTGGTGCCGTTCGATTGCGAGGTGATGTTCAAGTTTGGAGTGGCCGGTCCAGCACTATCGTCGGATTCCTCTTTGACAGAGCTATCCTTCGCGAGCCTCCTACTTACACTGCTTTGAGAAAGATCAACCGGAGTGCTTTTCGATGAGCCTGTTTTAGCGAACTTTGCTTTCCGCTTGGCCATGGCACGCATTCTTGCGGACTGTTGAGACTTGGCAGCAGGAACTTGTTCAATCGTATCCAGCTCCTCCTTCTTGGGAGTTTCAGGAGGTTCTTCCTGCGGTGTTGACTCCTCACTGACTTCGTCTATTCCTAATTTTGCAGTGAATTCTGTCTTGACTTTTTTGGGAGCTGGCTCGTTGTCATTGTTGACAAACTCTGCCCCAGAGGTGGCCAGCAAAACCCGTTTGGCTTGTAAGATTTCCAATAAGTTCCACTCGTCAAATGACAGAAAGCAGTTTTCGGTCGTCTCCACCATCTTTTGCAAATCTAGTTCCTCCTCCTCTTTTTTGATGGCCTCGTAATCTTCTTCAGTTTTCACATCTGCTTCTGCGTTTGGGTCCCACACTGACGCATGTGAAATTATCCCGCCAAATGCGCGGGCGGCAGCCACTCGCGTTTCCCACTTTTTGCTCTTCAGGAACGGATAAACTCTGGATAGTAAGTTTAACGTCTCTTCTGGATGCTGTTTAGCTAAATCACTGAGCTGATCGGCTGCTGTATTTCGTATGAATTGTGTGGAGCCCGTTTCAAGGAGCACCACAAGCCTCTCGAGACGTGACATGATCGCAGATTTATTCGAGAAGGTAGTGTTCTCTCAACTGAAATAAATACAAAATAAACACACCCTTAATTCCCACTATTTTTTTCGAGGCACAGAGGAAACGGCAAGTCGTATTTATATATAAATTTTTTTCACACGTAGTCACAGACAAAGAACAAAATGATTAGGTAGGATCGGCGAAGAAGCGAGACCTACCGAACTGATTAAAACGGCCTGTTTCTAGGAGATATTGGGTGTAGTATGCGTATGGTGAAACGTAGATATATCGTTGCCCTCACAATCGCGTATATGATGTAATTAGGTAAATGCCAATTTTTACTCATTTTATTATCATTTAATTTAATGGGCCTGATAGATTGTTTGTTTATTGCTGACGATAGGAACCTGGCCATATTTGAGCACGTTGTCAATTCTCCGGCCCCCACATTTCAGTATGTAAAGGACCGCCTGAACAGCATGCGTAAAGACGATTTTGAGGATTCTGGCTCATCAAAATCTGTCTTCGACAACTTGGAGCCCGTGCTTGATATTGACGCGAATTGGCGTGTCGCATGGACAAAGCTAGATGCCGTGTACGTTATTGTGGCAGGCGAAACGTTTCCCGAGTATACAGAAGTTGTGAGCGACAATGAGGACGATGAGGAGGAGGATGCTGACGACGCCACGGAACAGAAGCAGACGGTCACGATCTCGCGAACGGTGAGCGACTTGCAGTACCTACAGTTCCTAACAGATTTCGGCACCGTGGTAAAGTCTTTTCTCAATGGCGCAGTGCTCAGTCCAGCTAAAGTCGAGTTAAACGCACACAATCTGCTGCTAATTTTACAGGAAATGCTGGACGCCTCCTTCCCGTATCTCACAGACCTCAACCAGCTTCAGGAACTTCTTCCTTCAAACAGCATTTTCAATAAAATCATTTCAACAACCAAGCAGATCCAAGGCACAGCATCTAGTTCGATCAACTCGTTGGCTCAAGGATCAAGCTTACTGCACGCGTCCTCTTCGGCCTCCTCTCTTGCATCCAACAATTTTCAAAAAGGTGTTCTTCCTGCTTCCTGCATATACGAAAAATCGGGCAACGAGATTCCGTGGCGAAAAGTCAACGTCAAACACACACAGAATGAAATGCTGGTAGATCTTGTTGAGCGAATAAGCTGGATTGTGCCTGCATCCAAGTCTCCCAAACCTGCTTACGGCGCCTCAACTTACTACAATCTTGGACTGAGTGCGAAAAAAAACAAACCTGTGCTGGCTACCATAGACGGCACCGTTTACTTCAACAGCTCACTTTCGGGAGTTCCAACTATTCAGCTGGTGCTCAATCTCAACAGACACGATCTAGGAGTCCCTTCGTTCCATCGGTGTGTTGATACAGGGATATGGTCAAGCAATCCCGGTGTGGTGCAGTTCATACCTCCTGACGACAAATTCACGTTGATGAAGTACAAAATCAACCTGCTGGAGACGGAATCACCGGTAAACATCTGGAACTACATGGGGCTCGTGGACGTGGAGCTCATAGGGGGATTAGGGGTTGAGAGAAATGAGTTCGAGATCAAACTTCAAGCCAAGCTGCTCAACACTGTGAAGTTCATAGAGGATCTAAAAGTCGAGATCCACGTGCCGAAAGATCACACCGTTAGGGGACTGCGCATCACTCACGGAGACTTGCAATCAAGAAACAGCGTACAAGAGTGGGTTTTCGACAAAATGCTGCCTACGGGTATCAATTGCACGTTCAGGGGTCAATTGCTTAGATCGGGCGGAGACCCATCAACGTTCAAGCCTGACTTTGTGACTGTGTCGTATTCCAACAAAGGGTCGGTGCCCAGCTTAATCAAAGTCGACTCGATGAAGATCATAAGCGGAGGCTCCACAAACGTTAAGCCATACAAAGGCGTCAAGTATGTTACGCAAACCAATAATATCATGCATAGATAGTGGCATATTTTCTAGTTGTCTAATAATTCGATCAGCTCGTGGAAATCGCGAATCACGTAATCTATTTGGGGAAAGTCATCAACAACCTTGGCATTGTCCTCGTGCCGGAGCAATACCGTAGTGAACCCGGCTGCTAGTCCAGCTAGCATGTCGTCACGCGAGTCACCTACCATGACCATGTCCTTGGGCTCGAACCCCCATGCAGCTGCTATGTGGAGCAGCGGGTCTGCAGCCGGCTTGGTGGGCCTGAAGCTGCGAGTGACAACCGGCTCGCAAAACTCGACGCCTTTCAGATGCGTTTCCAGCAGGTGGAGCACCGGCTTCATTAGGTTTCTCGTGCAAACCGTATACTTGATGTTCTTGCGCGACAAAAATTGGAAAAGTTCCACGACACCTACCGTGGGCTCCGTCTTGAGCATGTAGGACTCCTCGATCTGCGCTAGCTTTTCCTCGGCGAGCTGTTTATCGTCATCGGAGAGAGTAGCCAAATGGTCCAAAACATCGATCTTGACGTGCTCAATATTCAAAGCACGCCGCATATCGGTAAACATTTGTGTTTGCGGGCGTGTCAGCGTACCGTCCATGTCAAATACAACACCCTGCGGCGGGTGCAGCTTAAACGGTTTGGACTTTATCATGTAGTGTCGGTACAAGATTATGTGCGAGAAGTTGCGTTTTCTAGGTACGCCGAACTAAGCTCAAATGCGGTGCGAGGTGTGCTACTTTTGGAAACATAGCAATAGCAACATGCTGATTGCAGGAGTGTGGCGTACGAGCGTAGCAAGTATGATGATCTAAAGAGAATTCCCCCAGATGACCTTCCATACTTGCTTTTTGAAGCAACAAGCAATTGTGAAAACTATATAAATACCTAGGGTCCTCCATCCATAATCGGTACACAAAATGTCTAATCTCATGAACAAACTTTCCGATAAGCTTTCAGGCAACCACCACGACCAACAAGGTGACGATTACGACGACTTCCAGAGTTCTGGTAGTCGCGGAGGCTCCAATTATGGCCAAACTGGTCAGCGTGGCGGAAGTGGTGGCTACGACCAATATGGTTCACAAGGTGGCCAGAGTGGCCGCGGAGGCCAACAAAATTACGGGGAAAATTACTCCGGTAGCGGGGGAGACAGCAACTTTTCTGACGAATACGACAACCAATTGAACGAGCGGGTGAGGAACAAGATGGGTGACGAGTATACAAACGACGAATGGAGTGGCAACCGTCATGCTCAAGGATTCGACAGCAGCGGCGTGAAAACTAAGGACCAAAAGTGGTGAATTGTTTATTGATGAATTATGAATGTTCTTTTCTTTTTTATGAATACCATCCTTCAAGGTAATCTTTGGTCAGGGTGGAATGCAGTAGAGAACTGGACTGGCGACACCAGTTCTGCAGTAGGAGAAGTTTCTCGGTTGGGGCACAGAGAGATAACGTTTCTGCTGTCCTATTCTTTAATGTTGAAATTAATACCTTGAGGAATGGGATGGAGGAGCGGAGGCAACGAAGTCTCTCAATATTCGCATCTATCGTGTCTATTAATTTTGCAAGTCTATCTTTGAAATCGTCGTTGTTGATGGTAATGTTGAAGCTGATGAGAGAAGAAATAAGGGACTTCAAGGAAAGAAGAATCTTGAAGCATTTTAAGACGTATAGGGGGAGAAGTGGTTGAATTTTCAACAGCTCAAGATCGTCCACCTGCTCGTCAATTAGATAAATAAGTCTTTTGCAAAGCTTTGAAAATTCCAATTGCAAATCAAAAACAAAATCGTCTGCCTCTGCGTTTCGTACACTGTCCAGCGAGGAGCTAAAATTCTGGATTAGATAATAGATATCACTTTCTGCCTCCAGAATGCTTAGGAATTTGTATTTGTCGTTCAAAAGAGACAGTTTGGACTGCTTGGGCAGGCTGTTTGTAGGGTCTGTAGGAGGTAAAAGCAGAAGATTCAGTCCAACGGTCACGTATTCCAATGACTCTGATTCAGAGGCTTTCAAACTCTTTGCATACTCGTGAAGATAAGATTGACTAAACGCTAGACTCGTATTTCTCGGAGTTCCAAACGACAATGCGAAGATGTTGTCCAACACGACCAAGTGCATGAACGCACGGAAAAGCGGAGAGGACGATGGCTCCCTATAGATTTTCCAGTCATTGAATATCGAAAACGAAATCGTAAATCCTATGGAGTACTCGTGACCAGATAAAATCACAGCATAATTGAGTAGCACAAAGGTAAACAGAAACAATGATTTGGAGTGAAGGTTGTTGTTAATGAAGGATTTGGATGCATAAATCAAGGATATCTGCTGGAAGCTTGAAACGATCACATTAAAGTCAAAGTTACTGTCCACAGAGTTGAGAGCTTGAAGTGAGTAATTGAATAGTTCCAGAACAGTAGCATATTCATCCGTCTGAAGTTGCTCGAGACTTTCTTGTATTTGTCGCTTTTCCATCAAAATTGGATATTGAGAATGGAATTTGCTGAAATAGATGTCCAAATTATGATCAATGGACTTCAATAGGTGGGCTGTTTTGAACTGGGGCGCGGGGATCGCTAATCGAGAAAAGTTCTGGTTCAAACTCTGCAAACTATTGTGAGAAGGCACGGGGCTCACTGTACCCTCCTTAGAGCGAGTAGAAACAAGGGGGACTTGGAAACTTGGCCTTGCAAGCCGGGAGGAGTTATTGTTTAGGAACTCATCTTCAGAATCTGATGTCGGCAAATTATCAAGACCAAAACTAGGAGCGAGTTTAGGTGAATTGCCTTGAATAGATGGCCTGGCAGAAAGGGGAAAGGAACCACTGATTGAGGACGAAACGGAATCAACGGAGTCTCTTCTGCCTTCGAATGTTGGCATTTCGTAGGGCACTTTCCAGAACATAGGCTGCTGGCGAGTTGTCTGACCTGCTGAGGTTAGAGATGAGGATCTGCCACGCAAAGGTGGCAAAATATGGGTGTTGAGAGGAGGCAAGATAACCTGGGGACTTTGCGAAGTCTGATAAGCAGGCGTACCGCTCCCAGAGCTTGAATTTGGCGAGAATAACGGAGCATGCTGCTGACCTGGAGAAAGCTGTGCTTGTCCTATTCCTTGCAGCTGCGGGTAGCTGGCATGAGACGGGATACGCGGTTTAGGTGATGTTTTTCCTGCCGATTGGCTGCTGTTATCTCCATTGAATTTTGTATAACCTTTCGAGGGGCCTCGTTTCATGGGCACTCGGGTGAACAAACACACGTCGCCGCTCTTTTCGCAATTTGAGCACATCTTTGTCACATGAATGTTTGTGTGGTCAAGTAAAGCATCACAGCGTATCTTCTTGCGGCGACATTCGTCGCATGCCCGTGAAACCTTCGACCTCTTGCGTGGGGGCACCTCTGTATTAAGGGAACCTTGGCCTTGAGTCTTGTATTCCTGCTCCTGCACTTCGTCCTTCACAGCAGAGCTTCCAGCGACGGATGTTGCCATAGATGATGCGGAAGACGATGATCCACCTTTGCGGGAGTCCTGAGTGGCTGCCTGGACAGGTTCAGACGCACTAGGGCTCCTAGAATTGTCGAGGCCGGCTATGTGAGGAGATTCACGGGGACTTTCCGCTTGCGGAAGAGGTTCCACGGAATCCATTGCTTATAATCTGTGTAAAAGTTACAGGTGGGCCAATATAGACCTCACTAATAAACAGAGTGAACTGTGACGAAACTCAAAACTATTCCAATGTAATTTTTTCTTTGTTTTTCAGGTCATGGGGCTAAGGTTCCCCAGGTTCTCCACATTATGGTGTAAGGGTGTTAGATACAGCGATGCACGCACAAGTTGTGGGGTGTATAGCGGTGGAAAACAGAACGAAACAGGTGAACTAGATCTATGAGCCGTCTGTGGATGAGGTCAGCAAGGGAAGTAGTTGTCAATTGGCTGACTATTTTGGCCCAAGATGGGGCTGCCAAAAATGTGCATTCTGTGCTACCCTGGGAGAGGGAAACCCCGGAATTGCGTGGTTAAGCTGCACTGCCATCACACGGGGAGAAAAAAATTACACTTCCGAAGAAAGACTTGCCGAAGCGTTACATAAGCATGGTTTATGGAGGAGATAGGTCCCCTAATTATCTTTGAGGTTTAATAATTCGGTATTACTGCTCGGTGAATTCCTTTTTGGGACTCAATCACAACGGTTTTCGTACACACTACTGCACGCAAGCAACATCATGGAGGGTGAGAGGCCGGCCAAGAAGAGACGGCGAACTCCATACTCGTGTTTGAGTTGTCGTCGAAGGAAAATCAAGTGCAACAGGGTTCGGCCGATATGTAATCGGTGCACCATTTCCAATCTGAAATGCGAGTACGATGGCCCTGAGGTTTGGGCACCTTCAGGGGTTTCTGAAACTCCTGCAGCGCCATCTAATGGTGTTCCTGTTAGTGTTTTAAATTTCAAATCCGATGTTACGGAAACTCCTGTGATCGATCAATTGCCTCGAGCCCCACAAACTGGCATTTCGGAGCAAGCCTCGTTGATCTATGAGATCGGCGATTTGCGAATGAAACTTGCGTCCATGGAGGCCAGGCTATTTACAATAATGCCTGAGTCGCAAGAGACGGTGAGCTTTATTCAGGCTGAACCAAACCCTAATACGGCCCTGCACATGGCTAAGAAAAATCGTTTTATATGCGGAGGCTCTTTTCAGCGGAATAAAATTTGGCGGGGTGACCCGTTTGCCTGCCAGCTATTCGACGATATGCGTCGCTACAAGGAAGTCATCAAGGCCGAGATGCTGGCGATGTCCAAAACTGAGAGTCCGAACGATTTACAGCGGCAGGTGAGGATGCGCAAGAAGGGCCAGAAACGGTTTATTCTGGAGGAAGGCGAGCAGTTATCACTCAAATCGCAGATGGAGGCTGCATTGCCGGCCAAGGAAACAATTCTACGACATGTGAATTATTACCTGCGGACGATCCACCCGTTGTTCCCCGTGCTCTTGGAAGAAGAGTTTGTGGCCAGCGTCAATCGCATTGTGCAAGAAGAAAAAGGGCGCTGTACGTTGTGTTTTGGCCAAAAATCCGACTATCTTGTTACGGCAGCGTTACTTTTGGTGATGCGCTTTTCCTACCAGTCCTTATTTCTGAAACACCAGGTCGGTGCTCCATTGAACGGGGATGAGCTGGTTCTCATCCAGCAGCCTATAAATGCAGATGTCATAAATATGGTCAACTATGCGCTATTTGAGTCCAATTTTTTGCGCAAAACCAGCATTGAGTCATTGCAGGCGCTCATGCTACTTCGATTCTACCAGATCACATGCCAGGAGGACGGGGACGGTGGTGACGGCACGGACGGCTACAATATAAATGGTCTTATTTGTCAGATTGCTTTGGGAATGGGCATCAACAGACCTCTCAGATGTCCTGTGTGGGATAAGAAGACCTCTAAACTTTATCACCCACAGAACCAACGGTTGCAACTACTCTGGCAAAGACTTTGGTGGACATTACTGGAAATGGACATGGAGCATTCAATTTTGTACGGCAAGATGCCGATTTTACTACTCGAAAACAGCGATCATGGACCTGCCACAGTAAGTGACTCGGATATCATCAGCGATCGCATAAGCAAAATGAAGATCATATTTCCATTTCTGCAAAAATTGCTTGTACAGATCCATCAGGTACGCGAAAAGCCACGTGTGGTGGACCTCATGTCAGCGGTCAGTTTTTTGGACTCGCAACGAGGGCTTTTTCAATATAACGGCTATTTTCAGGATCCTTACATGCCACTTCTCTCAACTGTTTCAAACATGAAGAGCGAGATCCATCTGAACATGCTTGTTTTCATGATTAATTGCTATCTGATGCTTCATTTTGAACGCAACAGAAAAATCGGCAATTATGCTGTCACTTTACAGGCTACTGTTACAGGCTTTTTGCGGAACCTGGCTCTCACATTTAGATCATTCAACCGACTGAAAACCGATTTTGCCTCTCACATAATGTACGTTATTCACCCGATGGCTACGTGCGTCTACAAAAGTATACAATTTCTGGTTTACCTGGGAGTCCGGTTACTCTCAATGCAAACGAAAAACGACGAAACACAACCGCTTGTCACAGAGCTGTTGCAGAAAGTGGTTGCAATCATGCGCAACTGTGTGAAGCTGCTGGCAATTATGGGGGATCAGGATTATCTTTGTTACCGGCTGTATGAAACGTATAGCTATTTGATGCTGATCCTGGAGAATAAAGGAGAGCCAGTGTTTAATCTCAAAAACCCGGCTCTGGAATCTGCTCCAAACCTGCTAGCCTCTATTACCATGCAACGACTCAACGATCTCAACAACCAGCTCTCAGAATTCACGAAATCGCCGCATTTCGTAGCTGTCACAGAATATGCGCTGTTCTGGCCCGCTAACGAGACGGAGGACTCTCTCTTCCAAAAATTTCAAAGATCGGTCGACGCGACTATGCCGTCCTCCGAGCTGGATATCTGGAACGACTGGATTGTGAAAACGAATATCTTCGAGGACTACGAGGGACTATTCGACGACTTGCAGCTGCCTGTCGACCTTAATTACATGTAAGCTAGACTATTTATGTTCTAGGTAACCGCACGCCCTCCTGTTCTTGCGTGTAGCTGCCACTCATCACGCTGTCCTCTATAAGCTGTTGTCGACGAAGTTCCTCCTCGCGACGCACCACGTTCTCAAACTCAAGCACAGCACGCTCGGTACGGAAGGATGCCGCTGCAGCAATCCAAATAGTGTGGTAGAAAATGCGGATCCGCAATCCGAAAGCCCGATAGAATGGAGACCTCCACCTGAGGAGCAATTCCGTGGGAACTGAGATCAACGCTCCGTACATGCCGCCAATAAAAATAGATTTGAGGATGACCGACCGTAATCGGCCAATGCGCTCCTCTGAGTGGTGCGCAAGCTTTCGTTGGGTGGACATAATTGATAATGGAAATAAGTAAAATAAATCAAATACCGAGCGAGGGGTGTGGATCGACGCGTCGGTTTAGTCCAGAGATTTAAGCACCTGGGCCCGAACAATCTCATCGAACTTGTCGCGGTTCTCACGCCAAAGCTTTGCAGCGTCGATGTTGGCGGGTGAGTTTGGGTTCGGTTCAGCCAGCATCGAGCACACACTTAACAGGATCTTCTCCACGCTTTGCAAAGGGCCCCACCTCTCGTCTGCCGACTCATACTGTAGTGGGTCGTCTCCTGGTGGGTGTAAGATGCTGATGCACACGGTGCCGTCTTTATAGATGTTTGGGTGAAGGATCTCGGATGTGAACTTCATCTTGGGCGGGGACAGCGGGTAATCTGCCGGGAAATCCATCTCCGCTTCGAACACACCGTTTTCATAAACTGTACCGGGAGGACCTTCCAAAATACAGCGCCATCTGAAAAGGTTGTCTTCCGTAATGGGACCTGCAACAATGCCATCGGTCGGAGACTTTAGAAGTTCTTGGAATTCCTTCAACAGACGGCGCTGTGCTGTGGAGATCTTGGGTGCCATCTAATATTTATCAGAAAATTACCAGAAGACACAGCCCGGATGTATGTATTTATTTGGCCGAGCAAATTTCTTGTTCCGCATGAAAATTATATCACTAGTATGATTTTGGTGGATGGGGATAAGTATGCCTGCGAACAGTGCATCAGGGGCCACAGATCGTCGCAGTGCCAGCATATAAAACGTCATTTGGTGCTGGTGAGGTCACGTGGGCGTCCTGCCACCGATTCCTCAAAGAGAATAGCCATAATGGGAGAACAGCTTCTACCTGCTGACCCACAGCACGAAAATCACGAACATTGGGGGTGTCCGCAATCCCGCAACCCAGAGAACTCTGTTATTGTACTGAAAGCCAACAAACGACAAGTGTTCAACGTTTCCAAGAAGTCCCTGAGGCTACTGGACCCGGTCATAGAAGTGCCCAACAAAGAGGCCGGCCTCGAACTGATTTCAAAAAGACGCCATGGGCGTGGTAACTGCCGATCAAAAAAATCGAAAACCCAGCCCGAGGAGCAGCCCATGACATACGACATGTTTCTGACAGAGTCATGTACGGTGCCAGGATCTTGCTTGTGCGAGCCCGATGCCTGCACCTGCCACTTCTGTCAAGTACACAACCAGGGAGTACCCCCTGACCCGCCCACAGTCACCTGCGGCAAGGTGGAAGTCCAGCCAGAGCCGACAAGCAGCGCCAACGGCATTTTTGAGGAGGAGTGCTGTTGTGCGGACGACGATTGTGGCTGCTACAACTGCGAAAAGCATGGCATTGTGAATGGTCAGAAGATGGGGTTACAGGAAGCTGCTCTTAGTTTCCTTAATAGTCTGGACATCAGCCAGCTGGACTTTGACTGCTGCTGTCCAGACGACGCGTGCAATTGCACCAATTGTTTCAAACACGGGAGGTTCCAAAATGAGTCTCTATACGGTTCATAGATTATTTAGTATATATTCTGCTTCACGTTTTCCGCTCATCCAAGCTCCGTGCACGGCTCCTGCGCCATCTAGTATTGTATGCTCTCCTGCAAATCTCACGTTTCCAAACCCTCTTTCGAGGTTGATGATTACGTCTGTTGGATCGTCTCCAGGGCGACACGCAGCGTAAGATCCCCGAGCGAACGGGTCTAAGGTCCAGCTTGTGGCAACCACGTTAGTGGGGGCCAAAGGTAAGGGACCGAGCTTTTGCAAAAGTGGCCGGAAATATTCCCACGCAAGGGACGGGTTGCGTTCTAAATGTTCGGTTACTCTCCCTTGAATGAAGCACACCAGAGACGGCACCTTGCTAATGTAGAACATATTGAGAATAAGAACAGGATTGTTCCATACACATTTCTCCGATGTAGTGGTGGGGCTGGAAATGCCCAGAAAGCGATCATATTCTAGGTGCGACCAGAAGGGATATTCGAACTCTAGAACCACCTTCCCCAGCTTCCCGTAGCCCATTTTCCGTAGCGGGTCCGTAATCGTTTTGGGTAATGGCGGGATCCACTCAATGGCACCGGCGTTGGGAACGGATAGCTGCAGGAGACTCTGTGGGACCGTGCAAATCAAGTAGTCGCCTCTATAAATATTTCCGTCAGCTGTTTGGACCACGACGACGCTTGATTTTTCGACCCGAGTTACCACCTGTTTGGTTTTCAGGCACTCTTGAGGGAGTTTATCGGCCATCTTCTGAATCAAATGATCATAACCCGACCTAATCAGACAGTTGCGTCCAACATTGTCAACTAGGGAATATTTTGAGCTCATCTCCTCCCATCCTATACCATGCCATAGCTCCAGGTGTCGAACAAATTGGGGAGCATACTCGGCCTGCTCCGGCGTTAAAAGCTTTCTCTGCTTGTCAATGTATTCCTTCACGACATCTTGCAAACTTTTATCCTCAATGTCAAGACTGCTGAATTGTCGGAGCTCAACGAATTTTGTTATCTCGTTTGCAACCTGCTCGATTTTCAGCCTGTGGAAGTCATCATTGGAGAGATGCTCGCCAACCAGATAAGGCTGCATATCGTCATAGTACAACTCGTAGTCACCGTCTGCTACCATCTCGTCAAATAGCTCGTTCGTCAAAGTGTCGTGGGCCCACGAAGCTCCCATATCGTAAGCCGTCAAACCTGTCCGATCTGTCAGAATCCGGCCTCCCAAACGGTCACGGGCCTCCAAAAGCACAAACTCGATGCCTTGAGAGTGCAAGTCCAACGCGGCCTTGAGGCCCGCTACACCCCCGCCTACAATAACCACACGCATATTCCTACTCTGGAGAATTTCAGTATTTTATTTTCAGCGGTGTCAGGTGTACGAAGTCAGGCTACCGACTCCAGATCATAGCGTTTAATTTCGGAGCCATTGCCCTCGATGACTATCTGGTTACCCTCTCTGAAAGCCACAAGCCGTGAAGCCACACCCACTGATCCGTGTTTATTTTCAAACTCCTTGATGACATCGCCATGATGGTTCACCAGAATCACTTTGGTACGACTGACGTAAGCGTATTTAGGAAAGTCTGGGTCATCAGTGGTTGGCTGCACAACCCGCAGCTTAGACATTCGGCGACGAGTAGATGATTTCGGTTTATCAGTAGGCTCCACAGGCTCCATAGACTCTGAAGTGATTTGTCGTTGAATTCGGACTTTAACTGCTGTGGAGTAGACGGTGAAGCAGCAGATTGAAAAGCCATGGACAACAACCGAAATGACAACAATAAACGTAGTTATTGGCCACATGACTTTCAAAAGAGTTTCATGCGAGGACGGGTCGGAAGACCGGGTTTCCAGCAGGTGCTTGGCCAAAAGGCAGCAGAAAATAGAGCCGACACCACGAGGCCCAAAATGGCCGATAAAGAGCGCGTCTTTCCAATCACGGATGTCTGGAGTGATGTGCTGCAAGAATAACATTGCCGGGATTCTGGAAAGAAACACGAAAACAACGCCTAGGGCCACCAATTTACTGGCATACGGAGAAAACTCGTTCCATGGAAGAATTGAACCCACGTAAACGAAGTATGCAGTGTTGAGAAGCAAATCAACAACACTAGAAAAACGCAAAGGCTCTGAATCTGTATGATCGTCCCCACTGGGCTGTAGTTCAAAATCTATTTGCCCACCCCAGCTATAAGCGCATCCGGCAGCGAAAGAGGCTAACAAGTCGTCGCAGCCCAAAATTGACGCCAGCCCGGTAATTATCAGTGACAGACCAATGTAGAACACCAGCGATGACTCATTGTCAATCCAACGGTGACTGCGAGTGAAAAGATAAGAATATCTGCCCAAGCTCCCAATAACGACACCAAATAATATTCCAAAAGCACACTGGTACAAAATGCCCACGAGAACCCAGTCTTTCACAATTTCACCGGCATGAATATTGTCTGGCCTGTTAAGAATCAAGTTTATTGAAAGTGTCACAAAGGGGAATGCAAGACCGTCATTCGACCCGGACTCGGCCTGGATCAGATTTCTTACGTCAGCCCGGATTCGTTCAGCAAACTTGCTTTTGCCAACTATCGCTGCTGCTAGGACAGGATCAGTTGCCACAAATGTGGATCCCACCAGCAGCGAGTCGCTGAAGTTGAGACCGACGCTCCGGAAGATCAGCCACACAAATAGCGAAAGTATGAGCCAACCATATATCATGGCCCCGAAGAGGACCAAATTGAGCGATCTAATATGTTTCCATATATATTTGGGAGGAAGCTCTGCCCCGGTAGCGAACAACTGGATGACCAGTATGAGCCTAGAGAGCTCGAAAGTGAGATTGTCCACATTATCGGTCCAGCGTGACGGATTAAACCAGTTGAGGACATGTGGACCTACCACAGAGCCAAAGAAAGTCCCCACGATAGCTTCTCCGATGAAAAGCTGTTCTTTGAACACAAGGGAGACGAGAGAAAAAATTACAGAAACCGCTCCGATCAAAACATACGCAATGTGTGCTTGTGTAGGTTCTAGTTGATGCCACATGTACTAATTCGTACCGTATAATTTATGCGAATTATTTTTTTTCATTATCAACTACATCTATTCAACTCGTCGTTTTTTCAATCCATGCTCGTTTTCCGTATGTTCTCCAGAAACATCCCTTTCAAATTCAATGGGCCCAGTGGTGGGCTGGCCTTTTTGATGGCCAAGCGCGGGCCTGTCCAAATCACCCTGAAACTCTGCTCCGCTGCGAGCTCTGTAGATATCGTTGATGGCATCTTGTGCTTCAAATAATGGCTTATCATATAGCTGATCATCACTGTGACGAGCATTACTCGCTGCTCCTTTCAGATAAAGCCTTGCGTCATATAAGTTCTGAGGATTATTAGCCTCTTGCTGTCTCGAGGCCACACCCAAAGCAACGCGCTCGCTAATCTCACGGCCCTCTTCCGAGGCCAGCACTTTGACCTTCGTCTCGGTACCCATTTTTGATCTCCGCAATTCCATTTCGGCGCGCCTTCTCCTCTCTGCTCGAGCTTCCTCCCGCCTGCTGGCTATTTTGCTAACTTCTTCGGGCTCGTCGTCTGCCCATTTGCTGCGTTTGGATGCCCGTGCCTCCTGAGCGAGAGCACGTAGCTTTTCCTGGTTCTCCAGAACTTTTTGCTGTTCTAGCTGGTTTTTCAGCTTGGCACGAAGCTTCAGCTCTTTTTTTGCTTGTTCACTTGCATTTTTCAAAGCATCGCTCAAGTCACCGAACTTATCGCTCATTTCGGTGGAATGAGTCTCACCCACTGACGCTAAACGCTTGTCGATATCTATTGTAAATCCTTTGGTGTTTTTCCAATTAGACACAGCTGGGGGTATATACCACTTTCGTTGATCCTCCTTTGTGAGCTTAACTGTCGTTTCTTCGTGCATTACAGGCACAGGGGCTTCATCAGCACCTTGAGGAGTCTTGTGAATACGCAGGGTAGGCGGCAATGTGGGGTCGAGCTCCTTGTCTTTGATTTTGATTATCCGTTGCTTGCTCTCACCTTCATCAAACACAGACGTTGGAGTGTACTTGACGAAAGTGGGTGACTTTTCTTTAGACGATTTTGTACCGTTCAGTTTAGCCTCAAGAATCTTATGAACCGCCTCCTTGGTCCGGAGGGTGGTCTCATCAAGTGACATGGAAATAAAAAATATATGTATTTTTTTTATTTTATCTAATTTTTTATCGACTCGAGTTTTGGTATGCCGTACTCGTGACTAAGCATCCCGCGCAATTGCTCGTCCTCTTTTCCCACTTGTTCCAAAAACCGGAAGATCTCCCCTCGTGCGAAGTACTTCGGCGTTATTTCGTCCATCTCCATAACCTCTTCATCTACAAGCACAAAACTGATCCCGCTCCCGGGGCATTCATAGTTTGCTGCCAGCAGCACTTTTTCCAAGACCCCCCGTAGACCTCGTGCTCCTGTGCCATTTTCAAGAGCTTTTTCTGCTATTTTCCGTACAGCTGTCCTAGTGAAGGCCAACCTCACCCCGCTCTTCGCAAATGAGTATTCATACTGGCGGACAATTGAGTTTTGCGGCTCCACCAAAATTCTCTCTAGGTCGTCCACTTCAAGTTGTTTAAGAGAAGAGAAAACAGGCATTCGTCCCACAAGCTCGGGGATCAACCCATACTGTTCCAAATCTGAAGGTTGCGCTTTGGATAGGACGTCGGATAGCTTTTTACGACCCAGTCTTTTTTTGATGATTTTGTCCAGTCCCGTGAATGCTCCCATCCCAATAAACAGAATTGTAGAGGTGTCGACAGTGTACTCTGCTGTGCCTCCTCCGAGTCCAGTGTTTTCCATGTGGTTGCTTTTCTTGGCGTGTACCGAAACACTAGTTCCTTCAACCAGTTTCAGGAGCGCTTGCTGCACCCCTTCGCCCCCTATATCCTTCGTGCCAGCGTATACCTGGGGCTTGGCAAGCTTGTCCAGCTCATCCAGAACAACAATACCACGCTGGCAAAGATTCACATCAAAATCAGCTTTGGTCAAAAGCTTTAGGATGCAGCTCTCTACATCCTCGCCCACATAGCCGGCTTGTGTCAGCGAGGTGCAGTCTTGAATAACTATTGGTACCTGAAGCACACGGGCCATCGTGGTTGCCGCCAATGTTTTGCCGGAGCCAGTAGGGCCAAACAAGAGAATATTGGATTTCTCAAGTTCCACGCTAGTATCGGACTTTTTATGTAGCACCGGTGCTCCCAGCAATGTAGAGGAACTATCGTTTGAAGCATCTTGGACCCTAATGTAATGATTGAACACTGCAACTGAAAGAACTTTTTTACAGTGATCCTGCCCGATAATGTATTTGTCAAGATGTGCTTTCAATTGACGAGGTGTAGGGAAAGAGTACTGAGAGTCTGTGCCTGCCAGTTGTTGAAGTTCTCGTATTGCAGGAGACTTCAAAGCATTTATGGAAGCCACCCCACTGGCCACATTCGAATAGCCTCGTCTTGCATATGTCCACATCAGCAAATTTAGGACCAAACAAAATGATAATTTATTTTAGATCCAGCTTTTTATTGGCAATACTTCCCACCATCAATTGAGGTGACAAATTTCGCTGGCACCTGCTTCCATTTAAAACATGAATGCACTGAGCGTTGTCTTTCTTTTAAACCTTTGGTTGTTGACATTGGCGGAGTATGTCAATCTGCAAATGGTAGGTTCTTGGGACCAAACATCATTCAAGATGAATGTCCTCGAGACGTTCAGCGCGCACAACGAAAGCTTGTATCTTCCTTTAGCTCTCAAGCTTATAGGAATTACACACAATGAGGACGAAGTCGAATTGGAGGACGTAGCCCTATCGGATGAGGACTATTTCAAGTACGCCTGTTCGTTGGTGAATACTGACGATCTGGGATTTTTAGAGACAGATCTGGCTCTAAGGACGTATTCACCTCGAATTGTGGCTCATTTTCAGGAAGATGTATTGTCACAATGCGATGGCGCGTGGCTCAAGCAGGAGAATAACGTATATTGCATGCCCGACGACGTATTTGCATTGAAAACGGCGTCCGAAGGCCATGTAGAGCCATTGAAGGCATTTGACCGAGTCATTGGTAACAGTGAGAATGTTTTCATCCTTTATGGTGATTACGAATCTGAAAAGTTCCGTCATTTCTTTGCCAATCTGTACGAGTCTGCAATTTCTGGCAAACTCGGATTTGCATGGAGATACACCCCAAGGGAAGAAATTCAGAAAGAGGTATTGGCAGGCTATGGGATTGACCTGACGCTAAAGAGAACCGACTACATTGCTATAGATGATAGGGGATTCACCGAGGAACAGCAAGCGAAGCTCAAGTTTGAGCCAGGTCAAGAGACCGTGGTCCCTGTCGACGATTTTATTGATCGGCATATGGACGATATCCCGAAATGGTCCCAAGACCATATGAAGGGACTTGTTGGGAAATTGGTTAGTTACATTGCCGAAAAGGGATCTGACTTGAGGCTCTTTAGAAAAATCATGCTGGATTTTCCAAAGTACGCTTCTTATATCTCTCTCCGACCTGAACCTGAAAAATTAGCCCTGGAATCTCCAAATGTTCCAGCAGGTATATATATCAACGGGGCTCCTGCAACTGAAAAGTTCCTTAGTGTTTTTGAGGTACTGAAAAGACTTAAACAGGAGAAGCTGATTGTTGATAACCTGTCCTCAGTGGGAGTGGATAAAAATGAGGTGAGAACTTTGTTATACAGATTTGCAAATGAGTCGATAGTTGCTGCAGCTCACTTACCCCGCTATCAAACGACAGATCACCCAGGAATTATATATTTCAATGATCTTGAAAATGATCCACAATATGCAGATCTCCAAAATGCTAGACTAGCTTACAAGTCAGAATGGAGTGGAAGAAGAATTCCTCCTGCAAGAGAGAACATCCATGATTTAGTGTTTGCCATCAATCCTACTGACCCACTGCAGCTTCAATATTCATTAATGATGATCAATGGTATTCTAAACAATCTCATATCCCAGAGAGTGGGTCTCGTTCCGCTAGTGAAAACTGAGCAGGACCAGGTAGTCACTGAACAGCTGATAAAAATCTACAGGACCTCAGGACCGATAGAGGCTTTGAGATACTTGATTTTGGTGCACGAAGTGATCAATTCTCCCGGAGTCAGCTTCGACACCCTCAGGCAAGTCGAAATTTCAGATAAAGACGAACTGCTCCGTAATTTGGACTCTTTTAAGAATCAATTTGCGCTACGATCCCAACCGCATGTTATAATCAATGGCATATTCATAGAGCTCAATCAAAACTGGCAGTATGCTATGAGTGAGCAAATCACGGCTGATATTCTATACCTGAATTCAGAACAACGTCAAGGAAAAATACCAAAAGAAGTTTCTTTGAAAGATTACCTTCGCCAAGAAGCCTTGGCTAGACGCGATCCCTTCCTAATTCCAGAGACACTAGACAGATTGCATTCCTCCTACGTTCCTGCGCCAACATACGAGACCTACCAATTACTGAAAAAATTCGGTGGAGATGACAAGATAGTACTGAATGCCGTCGGTAAGCTTTCATCGAGGAAATTCAGGAATCAAGTCGCTGAGGCTTTAAAAAGTGGAATCAGCTTACGAATCATTGATGTCTCTAATTCACCTGAGACAGAAACACTTACTCAATCACTCGACGACGTGGACAGCGCATTGGAAATTTTGGATGGAGACTTTGCAACTGAGCCAATCGACAATTCAGCATTTTCAGTGGTTTCCGAATGTTTTGGTATTGACGACTTTGCAGATGATGACGACGTATATCTGATCTTGAATGGACGCCTGATTGATTTGCACGATAGGGAGCCGGTCAAGGCAGTTGACCTCCAGATCTTGTTTAACCGAGAAAAAAGCGTGCGACTGAATTTACTAGATGAGGACACTCAACACTTTGAGTATAAGTCTTGGGTCGTTACGTCCTCGTTTTACAATGATGACGGTGACTTTCTTTTATCCGGATTACTACCCAGATACGACTTTTCTCAATCAAGTTCTTTCATAGAACAAGGCACTGGATATGTCGACGTTGATGTGGTTATTGATCCACTCAGCGAGCAGGCACAGTCCATCCTCGCATTAAGCGAAGTTTTCGAGAAGTTTGACTTTGTACGCTCAAGAATCTGGATCAAGCCTTCGGAGAAAGATGAGCTTCAAATCAAGCGTCTTTATCGTGGTGTTTTCCCAACCTCTGTCAAATTTCATGAAGATGGGACTGAAAAACGTGATTATTCCGCCTTTTTCGATGATGTCCCTAAAAAGACACTGTTCACAGCAGATGTGGATGTAATTCCCTCTTGGATCGTCTCGATTAAAGAAGCTAATACTGATCTGGATAACATCAAACTGGATATTTCCGGATCAGTCGATGGAACCTATGAGCTGAGGTCTATCCTGGTACAGGGTCATGCTCGTGAAGGTATCGATGCCATTGCACCTCTCGGACTGGGGCTACAGCTGCTGGGTCCAAATGGTGCTTCTGTCTCAGATACGAATGTGATGGCCAATTTGGGATATTTCCAACTGAAGGCCAACCCCGGTCTGTGGACGCTAAGCACCAAGAAGATTATACCTGATGTGGAATTTGAGATTGACGCGGTTGATACTAAATATAAAACCAGGATATCACGTCGTCTTCCCGAGAAAATTCCAATATTAGACCTGACTGGTGCTACGGTTTATCCTATAGTTTCCAGGAAGAAACCGTCCAACAACCTTTTTTCGGGGCTCTCAAAGTCGCTCGGCTCTCTTTTCAAACCCAAGCAGGCCGAGATAAACATTTTCACTGTCGCCAGCGGACATCTCTACGAGCGCTTTTTAGGGATAATGACAGCATCTGTGATGGCGCACACAAAACACACGGTCAAATTTTGGCTCATTGAAAACTACATGTCTCCTAAGCTGAAAAAACACCTTCCTTTACTGGCCAAGCATTACGGATTCGATTACGAGCTGGTCACCTATAAGTGGCCCACATGGCTGCGTGGTCAAAGGGAAAAACAACGTACAATTTGGGGATACAAGATTTTGTTTTTGGATGTTTTGTTCCCGCAAGACTTAGAAAAGGTCATTTTCGTTGACTCGGACCAAATTGTGAGGACTGACATGAAGGAACTTGTTGATATGGATCTGAAAGGTGCTGTTTATGGTTTCACTCCGATGTGCGACTCGCGCAAAGAGATGGAAGGCTTTCGGTTCTGGAAACAGGGCTACTGGAAGACCTTGCTAGGAGACAATTTGAAATACCATATCAGTGCTTTGTATGTGGTTGATCTCAAAAAATTCCGTCAAATTGCAGCTGGAGACAGATTGAGACAACACTACCAGTCTCTTTCTGCTGATCCTAACTCCCTAAGCAACTTAGACCAGGACCTTCCCAACAACATGCAACACACCATCCCCATCTATTCACTTCCTCAGGAGTGGTTGTGGTGCGAAACATGGTGTGACGATGAGAGTCTGAAGAAAGCAAAAACAATCGATCTCTGCAATAATCCGTTGACTAAGGAACCGAAACTCGACAGGGCCAGAAGACAAATTCCAGAATGGACCAAGTACGACCAAGAAATAGAGAGCATCATCAGAGGATACCCAGTGACTCACGATGAACTTTGAGTCAGATCATCACTAAGCCACAGGAACTGAACCTAAAATTGACCTCCTTTCACTGGTGATGAGTTTGAGCCTCTACATGACTAGCATATACCTCAGAAAAACTCCTGAGGTGATGACTACTGCAACCGAAGCGGTTTCCTCTATATCAAAAAGGAGTTGAATGTATTGTTACAACCAAAATGCTAAACTTGTAGTCCAGATGCTTCGGCGAGTTCCTCGGTCATCGGACATTTGGATCGGAAATATACATGATTATTCTTTTCGCGCATTGTTAGGAATCGCTAATTTCAGGCTCCCAGCCTTACTTGAAAGAGTATGTGAAATCGATCTCGTTTTCAAGTGAGGCATCTGGCGAGGCGTGCTTGGATTTTGTCGTGCAGCATCCTCCTCCTCCACATTTGCAGGATTTGGATGTGACTTTTCGAATATTAGCCGCGGCCTTTTGAGACTGCCAATAGTAAGCCACTGCAGCAAGCAACACGAATGTCCATCTTCCGCCCGAAACAAGATACAGTGTAGCCACGGCAAGGGCCACTATAAGCGATGAATCCATAGGAAAATTTGAACTACAATTTGAAGCCCGGAAAATTGCACCACAAATTATCACGCCCTCGCACCGGATCGTTTTCGGACTGCTTACATCAGCTTATCTCAAAATCTTGTTATCTCGCAAATTTGTGCAGAATATGTCACTAATGAAACGGCGCAAAAACCTTTCTTTTTCCTGATGCGCGGCACTATCTTCCATCAGAAAAACTGTGGCTTCCAAAGCATGGTTTTATAAAGGGGTCGAAATCAGGATTCTATTTCCAGCCATGTCTGATACCTCCATCCATCTTCACAAGTCCAAGACAAGCAACAACCATGTCGAGATCGAGGAACTCATCCGCGATGAAGAACAAGTCAGAGTGAAGCACTGGTACGATGCTTTTATCAGACTGTTTTATTGGTATCCGAGAGATATCTATTCGCCTAGGGAACGCAAATTTTTAATCAAGCTTGACCTTTGCTTGCTGATCTATACTTGTGTCTCCTATTTCACCAAAGCCCTGGACAAAGCGAATATTACCAATGCCTACGTCAGCGGAATGGAAGAAGACATAAAATTCTACGGTGACGATCTGTCGTATGCCAAGTCTTTGTATTCTGCTGGCTACATTGTTTCCATGGCGATAGGCACTCTTTTGGTGACTCAGAAATGGTCTCGCTTCTTGCTGCCAACGTTCGAGCTCATTTGGGGTGTTTTAACTTTTTGCGGTGCTGCTGCTACTAAACCGCAACATATTTTCTGTCTTAGATTTTTGATTGGTTTCTGTGAAGGAATCGCCTTCCCTTCGTCTGTTTTCATCATTGGAAGCTGGTTCACCAGAGATGAGGTGTTCCGTCGTGTGATGGTGTTTTCTGTGTCGTCCAGTCTGGGAGGCATGTTCTCCGGTTACCTTCAAAGTGCTGCCTACGAAAATTTGAGTGGCACCAGAGGCCTTGCTGGGTGGAAATGGGGGTTTATTATTGACGGAATCTTTACGGTTCCGGTTGCTATATTTGGCCTGTTAATGTTTCCAGGCCCACTTCAAGCAAAGTCCCAAAAGGACACAAAGCCAATCTGGTGGATGACAAAAGACGAGTACGAGATCGCTGTTGAGCGACAGGTGAGATCTGGCATTGACGGTGCTAGACAGTACGATCTTAAGATCCTTAAGAAGACCATTCTTCACTGGCCAGTGCACTTCTTTGCTACCTTCTGGGTGCTCCTTAATATTGTGGCGCTCCCAGACGGCACCGTGATGCCGCTGTGGCTCAAATATGAGGCGAAAGTTCATAACAGATTCACCGTCTCGCAAATCAACAACTATCCGACACTGCAATCTGTCGTGGGTGTGGTTGCACAATTTTTCCTTGCAGGACTCTCGGACTCGTTCCCTATTTATCCGTTCTTGGCATTCACGCAAATTTGCTTCATCATTGCATACGCCTCCTTGGCAGCTTGGAACATCGCTTGGGGTTGGAAATGGGTGTGCATGCTTGCAATAGGACTTGATACCGTCAACCAGGCTATAGTTTCTGGGTGGATCAACAGAGTGTGCCGTCACGACAGTCGTGAGAGAGCATTTGTGATCGGATACTCAGACGCCGTTTCCCAGGCTATGAACATCTGGACTAATATCGTCTTCTATCCTACAAGTCATGCACCCGAGTTCCGCTTGGGACTGATCATCTCTACGATTGCTGCTTTTCTAATGCTGGTCTTACCTATTGTTGAGGTGTACCTCACCAAGCGCGATACCAAGAAGTACGTCGAAAAGAAGGAACGCGAGCTGGTCGAGCGTATTTCCGTCGGCAGCGAAGAGAAAGGAGCAGCTTTGTAACTAATTTAGTACGAATAATTAAGATGTCAAGGTGTGAATAAATGTAAAATACTATGGTTACATCATATCAACGAAAATTTGGATCTAGAAATTTTGTGTCAGATGAACTTGATTGATATTCTAGGGGAGATAGGAATCTGGACAATTTTTTATGCCCAGACGAACATCAAGCTAATATTCTTGCTCAAATTCCTTCGCGCATTCACATATGGAGGAATCAGTGTCATACTAGCTATTTTCTTGCGAGATTGCGGTTTCGCAGCCAGCTCTATCGGCATCTTCATATCTGTCGGAACATTAGGAGACTTGATAAAAACTTCATGTTTGGGATTAATTCTGGATGCCTACGGCAGGCGGAGATTGATGCGGCACTGCTACCTTATGATGATGACAACAAGCTTCATTTTCCAATTGACCACGTTTAAGCCTCTTTTATGGTTTACCGTTTTCGCAGGGATAATATCGGTCGGCGGAGTTGAGGTTTCGATTTATCGTCCGTGTGAGCACGCCATTATTGCACAGAAAGCGCAGCCCTCTGAAAGGTCAGATTTCTTTACATGGTATGCATTCACCGGAAATCTCTCGTCGGCTATGGGAAGCGGTGTGTACGGCCTTCTGATATGGTTTCTGCAAAACAAATTTGGCTGGTCCGAACTCTCGGCTTTCAAATGTGTATTTTTCGCAGTCGGACTCGTATACCTGCTTCTATATTTCCTGGCCAGCTTGCTGGACGACAAGGTCGAGCTAGTGAGCGATCATGAGGAAACTCCAAAAAGTTCGGATTCGGAATTCGAGATCGACGAACAAAAACCGGCTCCCACGTCAACGCTACAACTTATTCATTCTCCTCGCTTTGGAACAATCATGCAGATCATCATGCTTTTTTTCGTTGATGTTCTCTGTAAAGCCATCATTATCGATTCCTGGGTGGCTTATTACATTGTCGAGAGATTCGGCTCCAGCACTAAAACCGTGGGAGATATTTTCCTTGTGACCCACTGCGTCTCTGCTGTGATGTCTCTTTTCGGAACCGTTTTCTGCAAAAGATACGGCCCAATACAAACAATGATTTTGACCCATTTCCCGTGCTCTGTCTTTGTCTTCTTAATTCCGTTTTCCACCAACATGCCTATGATGGTGTTTTTCCTACTGATGAGGGATGTATTCAAGAGTATGGACATGGGCTCCAAGAGCGTTTTCTTGAGCTCTGTCGCGCACGACAATGAAAGAGCTGCCGCTTTAAGTCTACAAAATTCTTTGAGACTTCTTGCTCAAGTGATTGCGCCCATCATCACCGGGTTCATGGCCAACCATGATTTGCAGTGGGCAAGTTTTATTCTGAGTGCGGTGATGAGAGTTGTTGTGTACGAAGGCGGCGTGCTTCTGCTCTTCTGGCGAGATCGGCACAAAATCACGATATAGACATGAATGAGCGCTCTATTTTTTGTGAAGAAAATCCGTGATCGTATGCTGTTTCTTGCTCGGCGACGTTGGAGAGCTTGAATTCTTACGTCGCTTAGCAGGAAAATCATTTATGTTTCTTCCCTCTTTTTTGATAACCGGCTCTTTGTGAGAAAGCTTGAAAGTCTCTGGTGACGCAGAATCTTTTTTCTCCTCATCCTTTATTGACGCTGTGAGCTCACTTTTAATGGGCTTTGTTTCTTCTTTTCTGAAAAACCCCTGTAAGCTCTCCTCCTTGATAGGTTTCACCAGATCCTCTCCGTCATTTTTCACGTTTCCGACTTCTTTCTTCACCTTGTACCACTCAAGGTCTTCCTTTTCATGCACTTTGAGTAATTTGCTCAGTTTACCCCAATTGGAGTCCTTAAGCCCGAGCCAGCTGTTAAACTCATCTGTGCCAGGCTCTAGAACGACCGGCATGCGTGAATGCAACCATTCCAACTGTTTGGGGGCCTCCCTAGTGATGATTGTGTACTCATAGTTGCCATCACTTGTTATTGAGTATAAACCAGCAAGAAACATTAATTTCTGGTCTTTACGACGGATGAACCAGGGTTGCTTGTTTTTTGAAGAGTCAGTTTTCCATTCAAAATAACCTTCGACCGGAATAACACACCTATGATCAAGACAGTGCGACCAAATCTTGCTGTGCTCAATGTTCTCATACCTGGCATTAAATGTGGATAGTTTCTGTGATTTCTGGCTAGCCCACTTAGGTGTTACACCCCATTTCATATAGCGCAACAAAGGTTTAGTACTTTCGTGCTCCACATTGAAGAAATAAACAGGCTCTATGCATTGAGGCCCGACATTATACCGTTTGGCGGACCACGAGTCAGCACCCTCAATACGGTCAATATTAAGATTTTGCTGTGCAAATTGGGCAGGCAGTTCGCCCGGCGCAAAAGACATAGAATATCTCCCGCACATTAAAAAAAATCCTTTATTTTTTAATTTAAATGTTAAAAACAACAAGACCGTGTGGTTGGAGGCGAGCGTGCAAATTCCCGACCTTGAATGCTTTCCAGACACTGAGATCCATCAGTCAACAGGATATCAGTAAGACACCATCACTGAACCAATTTCAAGATCCTAACAAACCCCCTCCTCAATCGGTGGTTCCTCCGTCTTTCAAGCCTCCAAATGTCCCTCCTCCTCCATTGGCAAGTAAGCCTCGCTCGAACATGAACTTGATTCTTACAATCTGTGCAATGGCTGGCCTCATATACTTGGGAATCAAGGTCTATGAGGACTATGAAGACACCACTTATAGTAACGAATTTGGTAAGGTTTTAAGCGAGGCACTTGTTGCGGAGAATGAGGGCGATTTTGCAAAAGCCTTGAAACTCTATCGAAGATGTCTGGTCACATGTGATAAGGAAATGACTTCGGAACTTGACCAGCATTATACAGGTGCGGTTTTGAAAGTGGCGGAAATGTTTGAAAAACTGGAAGATTTCGATCACGCTCTTGCTGTTTACAAGACACTAAGTGAATTTATGGTGTCAGAGATTGGAAGGCCAGATTCTAACCTGTCGAAGAAAAAATTCGACATGCTGTTACAGCAATCTATGGTTGCCGCAATGAGATACGCCAATCTTCTGAGGCCTGAAGAAAGGTACAAAGTCAAGAAATTGTTACTGGACAATATAGTTTTGGCTCAAAGACGTCTGGCGGAACACTACCCTCCATTCCTGGTTCTACTTTACGACCAAATGAACAGAAGCATTGTTGACTTCCTTACAGCAGCGGATCCGAGAGTTCCAAAGTTACCTAACGAGCTGAGAAGCATCGTGAAGGAAGGGTTGGTAGCCCAACTAGCACCCCAGCCAGGTCCAGACATGGCCAAACTACCAAAGGAAATTAAACTTTTGATTACTGCCGGTGACGCATGGCTACCGTTTGTGAAAGAACTGGTTTCTTTGAGAGACCAATTTGCAGACATTTGCATTTCAGAAGGAAGTTTAGACGAAGCTTCGTTCTACCTTCGTACCAATCTGTTGCTCATGCAGAGCTCGATCGACGAGCCAGGAAAGTTGACCCTTACACTGACAAAGATGGGCGTTATTTTGTATCTCATGAGTGAGGAATACGAGAAACATGCAAAACTTCTGGAAAACACAGACCAGATTGCCATTATAGACCAACTAAGCACGCTCGGTTTCAAGCCCAAGCCAAACTCACCCCAAGGTAAATTCGGAAACGTTCTCAATAAAATCAGAGAAACAAGCTACAAAGAGTCAGAGGCGTCTTTTCAGCAGGTGCTTGAACTTACTGGGATGATTAGGTCTGCTTCTTTTGGCACAGACACCCAGCTGCCTGAATTTGTTACCGTCGGCATGCATCTTGCAGAGATGATATCCTCCACAGGTCTGGCAATGCACATGTTGAGGGAGAAAAAGTATGCTGAGAGCAAGAAGCATTTTCTGCGTGCCCGTGTGCTTGCTCTTAAGTACGACGTGGACGATTATCTCAAGGACATTGACTTTCATCTTGAGGAGCTCAATTCCAAGATGCCATAAGTGCTTACGTCATCAAATATCACTCACATTTCATCCTGTTCATACTAAAAAATTTTGTAAGATAGACAAGAAAATTATTTTATTTTCAAACCATGTCCTCTACCCTTGAACGTGTCCCTCACGTGCGACATGCGACTCTTCCAGCACAGACGACTGCCGAACAGAGATACTGGCGTGGGTTCACGAGCTCTCAGCTGGTCAAAGAACACAACTCTGTGACGCATATCCACTTTGATCCCAACTCGCCTCATGATTTCGCCGTGACGTCTTCTACGAGAGTCCAAGTTTTCTCTTCCAAGACCCGCAAAGTGTCAAAGACATTTTCCAGATTCAAGGATACCGTTTACTCTGGTGAGTTCCGGCACGATGGAAAACTTTTGGTTGCAGGAGATGCCTCTGGATTGGTCCAGATTTTTGATGCAATGCACCCGCGAACCCTCCTTGTGTCGTTAACTCCATCCTCACATCCTACACACGTGACTAAATTCAGTCCGTCCAACACTACACAGCTATTGACATGTTCTGATGACAGAATCGCCAGACTATACGACATTTCCGACACACAGCGCCCGATCATTAGTTTTGGAGACCACGAGGACTACGTCAGGAGTGCCCATTTCATCAATGGTGTATCGACAAATCTCGTTGTGACCGGGTGCTATGACGATTACATTCGTGTCTTTGATGCTCGTGCTGGTTCGCAGCCAGTTATTAAGTTCAATCACCACGATCCTGTGGAAGATGTTCTGTCGCTGAATCCTACGAATTTGGTTTCCTGTGGTGGCTACAGCGTGAAAACCTGGGACTTGACGGCTGGCAAAAACACCAGAACGCTTTCAAATTTCAGTAAGACGGTCACATGCCTCAGCGATGCTGGCGAGCGTGGTGTTCTTGCTGGTTCTGTGGATGGGCACTTGAAAGTGTTCGACTCGCAGTCTATAAATTGGGACGTCAAGTTTGGCTGGAAGTTTGGCAGCGGCGTGCTGAGCTGTGGTGTTTCGCCCAACCACAAGCATCTGGTTGTTGGACTCAACTCGGGACTCCTGACGATCAGAACGAGAAAGACTGAACCTCGGGTTGCTCAAGGTAACAAGCAAAGCAAGTCTGCTGCGTTTTCAAGGATGATGCGTGGCTCTGAATATCACGGAGAGAGCGAATTTCGCGTGGTGGACGATAAGAATGAAAACAGCAAGAAGTTGAAGCCGTTTGAAAAAGATTTGAACAACTTCAAATGGTCTGAGGCCCTTGATCATGCGCTAGTCTCGGGAATGTCTAAAGAGCTCACTCTCACATGCATGGAAGAGCTGAGAAAACGTGGAAAGGTGAGAACTGCGCTTTTGGATAGAGACGAGAACTCTTTGGAACCGCTGCTCACATGGTGTCTGAAAAATATCAGCGACCCAAGAAACGTCAGTGTTATTGCAGATTACACCACATGCATATTAGAGCTGTATGGCGATCTCATAGAAAAACAGCCTGTGCTCGAGGAATTGATATGGGGATTACAAAAACGCGTGGAACAGGAAATTCTGAAGTGCGAGGAAGCTTACAAAATTGGTGGTATGTTGCAGTTGCTGGCCGCGTGATTGTATAATATAATACAATATATCATAGACATGAACTACCGTCTTCTTTTGAACCGTCCACCTGTCTTCCTATGTATTTTCATGCGCACAAAATTGTTTGATAGTGGGTGTTTCCCTGACGTGGATTTTTTGTCTTCTTCGGTCGCTTTTTTGCGCACATATTCCTCTTCTTCGCTTTCGGGCTGACTTAGATCTTCATCCTCGCTGATCGTCTTGGTCTCGCTGTTTTGCCGCAATTTTTTTATTTCCTCGTGTATATCCAAGGATTCCAGCATATCTTCTTCATCTTGAAGCCCAAGAGTGCGCAACCTCACTCGTCTGGTGGTTCTCTTGGCTGTTTTCTTACGAATGATAACGTCTTCTTGTTTGATTTCGTCCTCTGGGAGCTCCTCATGAACAGCCTCCACAATCTCCTCTCCATCCTGACTTTTTTGTCTCTGCAACTCCTTAATCTCGTTGTTCAGCTCATACAGTGTACGCCTGCCTGCCCGGCGAATGATCGGACTGGGCTCGACAACTTTACTCGGAGACACATCCATCACTTGAGGACTCTTTTTCTCAGGCGTCAGGTTGCCGAAAAACATTGCGCTCGATGTATTTGATTCTGTTCGTAGGTATTGTGGAGTTTCCTGCAAAAGCGCGGTTCTCTCACGACGGGGTGTCTCCTGAAATAGAAGCTTGCGTTCAACTTTTTTCGTGGGAGTCTTGAAGTTGTCCGGACTTGCGACTTCCATGACTGGATTTGCCTGTTTCGTGGGAGTTTGGCGGGCGGGGGACTCCTTGATCTCGATATCAAATATCCCTAGAACTCTTCCATCGAGCTGCGGCGTAGGTCCAATCTCCTTCTCGCTCTCTGGCGACGAAGGAGGAGGAGAACGCGGAAGATTTTGCTCCTGATTCTGTGGCGGTCGCTCCTGATTCTTCCACTGCTCGACGGTTAATGCTCCTGACTGCAGTTTTCCCAAGATCTTCTTGTATTTGTGATATTTTTTATATCTTGCCGAGACGGCTAAGTCAGCCTTGATCACATCGGTAGTAGGCATTTTACCGTTCTTTGCTTCATACGCATGCTCCCAGTGCTTTATTTCGCGCTTCAAGGAGCTCACATACCGCTCCAATTTGTTGATCTCCATCGAAACGCGTCAAAATAGTGTGAATAAAATTGATAGATGGAGTTACGCGCAGATCACATGACAAGCGCGAATATTGAAAATCGTTTAAATTCTTTGTAGGGCAGTTACTAGCATAGAGACACTGAGCGGATGGGCTTGCGCCATATAGGCATATCTCGAAGCCAGCAATACGCCGTTTGCCGATAAATGCATGTCTTACAGATTAAATATTATTATTATATTACCCAGAAAAGTCTATCTGTTGTTACTCAACAGCAACATCATCCGGTGTCTCAACTTTTTCGGCCTTCTCTGGAGATTCAACAAGGTCGGGTGGAGGGGACTTGTTGTGATCACTAAAAATGCGTCTTGAAGATTCAGCAAGGAATTGTAGCTGGTCCTGGATGAACCTGTCACACAGGGAGTTCCAATCTGCGTTTTCGAAGTGCTTGAAATTGATTTTTTTCTCGCACACATAGTGGTTAATGACGTTCCAGATGAAGTTTTCCAAATCAAAATCAAACTCTGGGAAATCTTCACCCAAGTTTCTGATGCGGTTCCCATCAAGATCGAATGTGTACCTATTATTGACAATGTTGAATGGATCCATTTTCGGATCATGCACATGGTAGAATAACACCTTCGAGTTTGACGGAAGGAAAAACTGGGTAAAGAACTTTTCGTAGTCGTACTTGAAGTCTTCTCCTTCCAACTCGATAGCCTTGCGAATATTCTGCTTGACCTGCTGCAAATTAGAATAATCCGTCAGGGGATCGTATTGAACGATACTCGAGTGTTCGTAATTCTGTTCATGGTTGTACCATCCGTATGCTCTGTCAGGGAGTTTGTAGACTTGATAGTACTTCAGACCATAGTAGTTGGCTGCAGCAACAAAGGTCTCTTTGTCACCCTCTCCGGCTCCACCTTGGGACAAAAGGGGATAGTATCCATATGGGCCATCGAAATTGTAGTACAATGCCAATAACAGGGTCTGGAAGTGAAGAGTCTTGTTGATAAGCATTTCACCTGCTTCTGTCGTCCAATCGGGTATGGTTCCCTCTCTGTCGTGGAACGGGATGTTGTGGTACGGATCAGCATTGAGCTCAGATTCGTAATACTTTGGATCAGTAAACATGTCGTTTAGATGTCTCACTTGTTTCGGTCCGATTTCCTGGCCTGTAATCTGATAGAAGTATGGAGATGTTGTTCTTCTCCAAAAGTCCGGCCACGTAATCATTTGGTACTCTTTATAAAGATCAGACTCAAAAAGTGGATCAGGATTTGCAACCGGGTATGCATCAGAGTCGAGGAAAAAGGCGTTTTCGAAAGTAGATGCGAAGAGGGCAAACGCTTTGAATTGATAACCGTTAACATCAAACTTTCTTAGGGTGGTTTTCCCAAACACTCTGGGCATCTCAACACATCTTGCGTTCAATGCAGGAAGAATCTGATCACAATATTCGAATTCGTATTCGTCATCGCTAGGAAGAATGACCTCGACAGGAAGCGTAGATCCCACCTTACGCAATGTCTCGATTCCAAGCAAAGCAAACCACGAGTACTTGCCACCGCCAACAATCACGTAACCATTGCCTTTGTAAAATCTAGGAGTGATCTTAGGCAGGTTGCTAACCACGGTTTCATGCTTGAGAGTCAGATCATTGATAAACTGAGGTGGGAAATTGACAAATTGCAAACAGTCTTCCTCACTAAGTCTATCCCATGGCTGAGCAAAAAACAAAACGTTTTCAATAAATGGCTTTCCGTCCTTGAGGGTCTGTCTTTCCGCTAGCGGGTAGCTCAACTGATTTTTTCTCATCAGCTCAAAAATCTCTATAAAAAAGTTTTGGAAAGTAACATCGCCGCGAACGATGTCTTCAGGGGTAATTTTGTTAAGAGCTTCTTCTGTTGGTGACTGGTTTTCTGTAAGAGGTATCGACCGGTCGTCTGTTCGTTGTCCCTTCGATTCGTCTATTGAGGACACTTTCCAGCCTTTCGTATTTCCTGACGATCCTCCAGGGATCACTCCGCCTTGTTCAGGGCTGAAATATAAATTTCTTAGATTTTCCGCGTCTTCCGGGGTTGAGCTTGGTGCTGCAGACCCCGAGGGCTCCTCTTTCGCTTCGGAGGCTGCATATATCGAGTAGGAGCTGGAAGTAGGCAGTTTAAATTTCGACAGGTGTTCTGTACCGGCGGACGAAGAAAGGACCAGTACCGTGATCAGAATCGACACCACCAAGATCAACGTCTTGGCTCTTCTGTTTCTTGCAAACAACATAGACATCAACAATATCTTGCGAGCTGCTGCCTGGTTTGGATTGTTTATTTTCCCTTGTTATGCCTTTTGCGTAGTCGTCGCAGAAAACTTCCCAGCCTGTCGTCTGTGCAGAATAGAAGTACAAGTCCAAAAAATCTTAAAACTAGTGATTGATATAGCAGACACACGTAGGCTGTGGGAGAATCAGCGCACCACCAGTTGATGGAGTGTTTTTTTTAAGTTAAAATGTATTGAAATTGCACTTTTTTTTCCTTCTCTATTATCTAGCCACAACAGCATCAGCCACAGGGCCTTCTTATTCGGTTGGTCTGATACCCAAAAGGGAAATACGGATCTTTTTTCAGGCGGTTACGTAAGCGACTTTGGTGCTCGTCAGAGGGAAAATAAAACTCGGTTACCGGTTTCCGCCACCCGATAGCGGATTTTTTACACGTGGCGGGGAGCCCGCGAGCGCGTTCTCCTTGCAACGTTTCCGGTTATCTGCAGTTTTTTTTTCCGTTTTTTCGCAATCCAGAATCGGTGCAGAGATGAAAGTTTGAACAGGTCAGGAAAAAAACACAATCTACTTGCATTTTCATCGTCGCGTTCCAATCTTTCTGTCTGATCAGCATCTTGGCGAAGAGGTGATGTACAAGAAACTTGAGAGCATGAATATCGGAGCTAATAATAATAGCTCTCTCGGCAGTGCGGTGGCCAAACTATGGAACAGCTATAAGTACCTTGCGATCTCTACATTATCTGTGTTTCTCATTTTGAACTTGGTGGTCTCAGATTCGGGCTCCAATCAGTCTTTCAGTCTCAGCCAAAGCTATACACAGGATGTTGGCTCGGCTAGCCATAACGCTACGACTGTTGTGTCTAAGCCACCAAGAAAAAACGTGAAGGACATGTACACGATTGAGGCGAGGCTGATCGCCAACTTCCCTTACAATGCAAACGAGAATATCGAAGAACAAATCTGGCAGTTGTGGAACGTTCGCGCAGATGATAAAAACTTTCCTGATGAGTGCAAGCCTCACATCGAGAGATGGAGAACCGTCAACGACAATTACAATCACAACCTCATTACCTTGTCTGACGCTGAGGACACTGTTGTGGATTATCTCCGTCCCAGCGTGCCGGAGGTTGTGGATGCCCTTAGATTTCTTCCTCATGACCGTCTCAAGTACGAGTTCCTAAAGTATCTGCTTTTGTACATCAAAGGTGGACTTTATGCAGACATCGACACTACAGACATCAAGCCGTTAAAATTTTGGTATGACTCCAAGGTAATTGGTGCCAGATTGATGGTTGGAATCTCAGCTGATTACAACGACCAAAACTGGGAAAAGCTCTACAATAGGCGTCTCTCCTTTGGGAACTCGATCTTCCGTGCCAAGTCGCACCACCCATTCCTGGCGAAGCTGATAGCGAGAATCACGTATATTTGCTTCACTCAACAGGAACTAGTGAAGAGCACTAACTGGGACGAGGTTTTTGAAAATGTCGATGCAAACGGCGAGCCTCTTATCCAGTTCACCGGCCCTTCCATCTTCACAGACACGCTCTTTGAGTATATGAACGAACTGAATGATGCTGTGTTTATTCGCGTCGCCAAAAACGAGAGAGACAAGGATTTGAAACCGATTGTGGGACCTAAGGTTCCTGAAAACCAACGATTCTCGTACAGATCATTTAGCGGTGCCATTGCACCTACCCAGGTGGACGATATCATTGTCATGCCACACATCACCTTCAATGGGCCGGAAAATGCGCAAAGGGACGAATACGACGATAACGACGAGAAGCAGGGCTACGAAAAGTACTACTACGCTCGCTCGCTGTCGCTCACCAATTGGAGCAATAGAAAACAGAAAATTCAGTCCACCTGACAGCGTCACATAAGCAGACTTTTATAGACTCTGATACGAGGTAATTAATTTGTAGAGGTGTACGAATTGCAGATATCCTGCCTGCATGTTATTTAGCCACCGACGCTCTATCCGAACTGCTATTGATGCCGGCGGTATCCAAACGCACTGTTTCTTGATTCAAACTTTTGCAAACAGACCATTCTTCCGTATGCGGAGTGGCTGCTATTTTTTTTTTTTATTCTATGCACATCTTATTGTTGGTCACAATAGCCAATTAAACACAGCTCAAGCAAGACCCGTTCTGGGCTTCCTGGCCAGATTATCGAAATCAGACAGTGCTACGTACAATTTGTCTCGTATGCTTCATATTCCAAGAAGACTGGTGCGTTTAGGACTTCTCGTGCTCCTGCTACTTGTCATAGTACTGGAAGCCATTAGCGGGGGCGTCCCCACAGATAGAGAGTCCTTGATCTACAAGATCCAAAATCCCGGGCTAGTGAAATTATTTTCCCACTCTCAGGCAGCCTCCTGGACTTGGAACGAGATATCCCAGGCTCTCATTTTTCACTCTCCTGTTTACGACCATTCTGCCCCAACAGCTTATGTTCGGAAAGACTCGCACAAGTTCTACAAAAGCCTATACAAGCAGAAGATCCCGCCTGAGCCGCAGGAAATGGTTCTGACAACCAAAGACGATCAAAAACCCTACATTAGAGCCAATGGAACGTTTGTGTCTATTGTGCAGGAAGGAGATATGGAGAAGCTTCTGAACACAGTGCACCAAGTTGAAGAAACTTGGAATCACAATTACCATTACCCTTATGTCTTTTTGAGCTCTCAAAACATCTCAACAGAGTTCCAACACAAATTGAGAGAGAAATGTTCGGGCGACGTTGTATTTGATAGAATACCTCAGTCTCTCTGGACTGTCCCTAGTACCACGGACGCTCGGCGTGTGAAAGAAAGCATGAAGAAGCTAGCTGCAAAGGGAGTCCAGCTTGCAAACGACATAGAGCACCGAAACAAAATGCGGTTCAAGGCTGGATATTTCTTCAATACAGGAATCATGCGACATTATAAGTACTACTGGAACCTGGAAGCCGGTAGTGACTACTTCTGCAATATCGACTACGACATATTCAAGTTCATGGAGCAGAACAACTTGGTGCATGGCTTTGCTATCTCTTTGTACGACAATCCTCACGCCGTGGAGACTCTTTGGCCCAGAACATTGGAATTTGTCCAACAGCATCCCGCCTATGTGGACAACAACGCTTCCTTCACTTGGCTTACGGAGTCTTTACAAAATCCCGAACACACGAAAATAGCCAACGGTTACTCAACATGCTACTTCTCTTCTGCATTCGAGATAGGCGACATGGACTTCTACAGATCAGAGATATATGCCGATTATTTCAGACATTTGGAAGACTCGGGGGGCTTCTACTACGAAAGGTGGGGAGATGCTCCTGTCAGAAGCATTGCTCTCACTCTTTTTGGCGACAAAACCAAAATCTGGTGGTTCAGAGACATGGGAGTAGCGCAAGATCCGTACCACAACCGACCACTGAGCGATAAGTGTTCTAGCACCAAAGACCCCGCAGGGTACTTTGGTGAAAGCGAGGTCCAGCACGAGAACTGCCTGCCAAATTGGATCAGGTACGAGCTGCCCGAGAAGAACAAACAAGCATATACGATCCAAAATTAATATTATGACATTTTCGAATTTGCACGCAAGATTCGATTGATAAATGTTCCAAAAATTCCTCTAGCGGTCAGAACATGGTTCCGTCCACTAGAGAGCGGTCAGTTGATAGTTTTCAACTAGCAAAAACATGATCTCGGACGAATCCTCACTGATACACGTAATGCCCTTGCATAAGGATAAATTCTAATAGTGCAATTTTTTCGCCTTATATAGTTTGTATACACGGTTATGAGCACAGGAAAAAAATATTTACAACTTGACTCCGATGTGAATAGCAGCCACGCCGAAGGTGAGATTTTCGTAGCCCCTGCCTGGGACGTAGAAGCCGGCCTCTCTAATCATATTAGCGAAGGTTTCCTGGTTAGGAAATTTGCGAATACTCTCGACCAAGTATTGGTACGAATCTCTATCGTTGGCAATTAACTGACCCATCAGTGGTAGCAGTGAAAACGAGTACGCCTGGTAAATGTAATCAAGCACTTGATTATCCACTTGCGAAAATTCCAAACATGCAAAAATTCCGCCAGGCTTTAACACTCTGTATGCCGTCTTCAATCCCGCCTGGATATCTGTAAAATTCCGGATTCCAAACGCAATAGTGTACACATCTTTGGAATTGTCCTCTATCGCGTCCATTTTTTCACCATTCTGTTCTAGAAACTGAATTCTTGGAGAGTTCGCATATGCTGTGGAAAGACATCTCTTGGCACCTTCTTTGAGCATGTCGGGGTTGATGTCGGCAACAACCATAGTGGACTTATTGTCTCCATACTTGAGTCTTGCGTGGTCAAGTAGTCCAAAAGCAATATCTCCTGTACCTCCCGCGACATCCAAGAAATGAAGCGGCTCCGACGAGTTTGGCCTCATTCCACAGTCTAATTTCTCAATCAGATGCTTTTTCCATAACCTGTGTATTCCCATTGACATCACATCATTCATAATGTCGTAGTTCGACGCAACAGAAGAAAACACACCTTTGACAAGCTGCTCCTTTTGCTCTTGCGGAACAGTCTTAAACCCAAAGTGAGTCATACTATCCTTCAAGACCGTGCTACTGGTCGCAAAGTTTCTGGAGAAAGCATTGACAAGACGCATATTGGCTCTCCAAATTCCCGTCATCTTGCTTGTATCAAATATTTCCGAACCTTGTTTTTTTACCCTTTCACCGCCACGAATGGGCGCGCCTATTCTACCGCGCACACATTTGAGGAGATTTATTTCTCCCTTTTATCACAGCGTCTTCTTTATTATGCGATTTGCAAAGCAGACCTTTGTGCTTTTGCTCTTTGGTGTTCACGTTTTTGGTGGACTTATCCCGCCAAAAGTCATGAAACCTTTTAATCACAAGGTGAGGCCCCAAAATAAAATTAGTGCAACCGAATTTCTCAATGAGCACCAGGACATTCCTCAATTTAACATTTATAGCTCTGAGATGAGTCACTACTCAAACTCGTTTGACAAGGCCAAGTCTAGTGGCATTCTAATCACTAAAGAAACAATGAATCAAGAACATTTCCGTAAATTCGGACTCAAAAAAGTAGCCGACGTTGCGCGCAGCTTTGATGTTGGTGGATTGTATCCCGATAGCGAAGTACAGCCTGTTGCGTTCCCACCAGATACTCGAGCACTGTTTCTACTCAATACTCAAGCTGAAAAGCAGAATACAGATGGTTCAAACTTGCTTTTTAGTGTTCCCTTTGATATACATAAAGGTTATCAGCTGGTAGACTACAGTTTATTGCTCCCATTTAAATATCTCAAGTTGAGAAACGATCTTGCTAGTTTTTTGGGAACTTCGGCAAAAGAACAAAAGCAGGGCGTTTTATATTACAACGGAAACACAAAACTGGAAATCAGTCGACCTGTTTTCATTATGGTTTTTGCAGAGAACCCAGAACAGTCGAAATCGACCTTCTTTGATATTTTTGCAAAGGGATGGATCAAATTCCTAGGCTCTTTCGACCTGACTCATTCTGTCTTCTGTTCCGTGAAAGACCAGATCTCAAACACCTGTGTGAGCATCAACAACGATGGAAATGCGATAAACGTCCAGCCCACGTTCTCCAATTCGCAAATCGGATTCAATCATCTTTTCTCCACTCTCCAGAGAACGCAGAAACGAGATGTCAAAAAGTCCGCACTCCAACCCCAGTTCCGTCAATTTGCAACATTTGCAAACTTCTCAAGACTTAACACCAATAACCCCGACGACCCGTTCAAAGCAGTTAAAATACAGGTGTCTGATCCTGGACTCCAAAGTAACAAAGAAAATTATAAGAACGGGTCTTCTTGCAATTCGATAGATCAGAATGGTAATGAAGTTAACAATTCCACCAAGCTACCAGACGTTTCAATGAAGGACCTTTACCCTTCAGTGAGCCCAAAGTCCAACCAGCCACGCTCCGCTCAGTATTCACAGGTTATATTCCCTCACTTGAGCAAGTATAGCAAGAGGAGCCTGGAACACTATTTCCCAACTTTGGGTTGATGGCTGCTATACTTAGTCCAGTAATTGAGTCGTGTAGAATCTGGAAAAAAAAAACCTAGATCGAAGACTCTTTCCGGGGTAATTTTATATTTCTGAATTATGGCACACTTGTCATCTTTGGAACATCACTTGACGTTACACATACGACGTTTTCTAACTAAACACTTCAAGAATGAAACCATAAGATTCTACTCCTTCCTTGTTGCGCTTTTTTCTTGCCTCCTGGTTGCCTCGGTGGTAACATTCTCTATTTTTACACCTAAGTTCATGGACAATCTAGATTACAACCAGTTCAGCATAAACATTGTGGGAGCGTGCATGGTGATGGGACTCTATATGACTCTACCAGTTTTGGGATATCTCAGTGACTCTCATGGACCTGTTCTGCTAGCTATGATCAGTTTGATCCTTTGTCCTGGATACTTTATTGCTTCGGCAGCATATGAGTACCGATTAAATTACTCATGGATGTGCCTAGCGTTTTTCCTGATTGGATGCGGAACATCGTCAGCATACTTCTGCTCGCTGCTTACGTGTGCGAAAATCTATCCTGAACGAAAGGGCCTTAGCATATCATTACCTGTGACATTTTATGGACTGTCTTCGCTTGTTCTGGCCAATTTGTTTAAACTGCCATTTTTCAAAACTACTACAGGAGAAGTGGACATTCGCAGAGTTTTCACAACACTGGCATTATTGTACTTGCTTTTGGGTATTTTCAATTGGATCTCTTCGATAATAGTCACCATAGAAAAAGAAGTGGTCTATCAGAAAATTCAAGGAGAATCCGAGCAGCGCGATGAGGACATAGAAAATGATGAAAGAACACCGTTACTTAATAGTCAGCTTCTAGAACCTGAGGCACAGGGAACCAAGTTCAGACAGTTCTTGTCTAGCCCCTCCACAAAGCTTCTCTACATTGCGCTCTTCTTCCTGGCAGGACCATTGGAAATATTTGTTACAAACTTGGGATCGCTCACTGCAATGGTTGGTGATCTTTCCAAAAAGGATGTTGCCACGCAAGTGAACTATTTCAGTATGTTTTCGACCATGACGCGACTTTTAATGGGTGCCGCAACCGACTTGATGGGAACGGTCAAATCCACCACGCTATTACTGGTGTCCGGCATTGCTGTGGCTACGCTATCGTTTTTCTTGATTGCAATAGATTACAGTCACTTTTCTGTGATTACCAGTCTTGTTGGCATTGGATATGGGTCTGCATTTACCCTCTTCCCAACTCTTATCGCCACTGTGTGGGGAGTTGAAATTCTTGGGTCTACTTGGGGTTTATTTCTAAGTGCCCCTGCATTTGGATCGCTGGTATTCGGTATGTTCTATGCGTTCGAATTTGACAAGTATTGCGACATCAGGATTTCCAGCTGGAACGTGTACTGCCTAACGTTCCCCTTTGTCTTGTTTGCTGCAGGATTCGCCCTGAGTGGTGTTCTCGTGTACCTCTGCTGGAGACTATACTGGCACACCTCGCACCTCACATTAGAAAATAACTAAATCTGAAGAAACACTAAAAACGAGTAATGAAAAATATAATAAGTGGCTCCGCTCGGGTTCCACAGTGGACATCTATGCTGCGAGCCGGTAGACGACAGAGCACTCGTCTTACGGGATTGGCCCGCGGACTTTCACAGCGGAGATTCCAATCTCACAATGTAGAGGAAGAATATATGATGGATGTGAGCAATTTGCCAGCCCGATGGAACAACCTCCCCGGAGACACACAGCAAGACATTATCAACTATCTGAGGGTAAAACAAGAGTTTGGATGGACGTACCTCACCCCAGACGAGAAACGAGCCATATACTACATCAGCTATGGTGAATGGGGCCCTCGTGATGCGAAAAGCATGGGGGTTCCCGACCTAGTGTTCAAGATCATGTCCAGTTCCATTCTGTTTGGAGTCGTTGGCTTCACGCTGATCAACTACGCACGCGATCAAACTGATGAGGAATGATTATGTCAGCCTGGGAGGCAGAGAAAGCGTTGTATATATGCATTGCTAAAAATAACTATCAGAACCACGTTACTACAGTGCTATGTAATGTGCTAAATCGAAATCCTCACTAAAACGACATTGAGACCGGGGCGCGATCTGTACAGCGTAAACAATCACTGATCGTCTATTGTTATGGCCATGCTGTACCTTTCTGCGACGCCTCGTTGGATGCGAGGGTGATTTTTTCTAAAATTCTTCGACGCGCACGACTGTAAAAAAGTAGGCACAAGAAAGCAGAATAAAATACAAACAGTTTTTTAGGTCTAGTAAAGGACATTTAAGGACATTTTTATTTCACTGATAGAGTATCAAAAGATGGCGGCCCGTAACCTGACCTCCAGGTCCCCGCACATGGAGTCGAACTCCAGTGGGGGTTCCAGCACTGATCCGTTCAACCAGGAATACGAGCCACAGAGTTACGATGAGTCCTCATCCAATTCCAATGGTTCCAAATCACCGGAGGAACGTAGGCAGTTCCTTGACTATAACAACAGCTACCGCGACTCGACATCATCCATAGTAAATCCATTTGGGTCCAACAACAACTTGAACTCACAGCCTCTTGACTATGACAGATATCCGCAAGGACTAACCGGTTCTCGTGCTGTTTCGATGGGCTCTGCTGGCTCCCAGCTAGAAGATGTCCGCGCAAACCGTTACAGTGACGGTTCCTCCCAGCTGTCAGAAAAGTCCTCGAATCCATTTTTGGTGGACACGGATTTTTCTCCGTTTGGAGGGTATCCGGCTTCCTCTTTTCCCCTGCACATAGACGAGAAAGAGGAAGATGATTATCTACATAACCCAGATCCTATCGCCGATGCAGAGTATGACAAGCACAGATTCAGAAATGATTTGAAAAACATGGACAAGCGTTCTTTGAGTGCTCTTATAGGATGCATTCTCCTTGCTCTTGGCGCATTGTGTTTATTTGTTGTTTGGCCAGCTCTGACATTCACAGGTGTTACAGACCACTTGGACTCTAAACCATACCATGACACCTATGTGCTTTTGACCGATTACGTTTATCCACAACTTAGTGCAATCAGAACTTCTTTAGTCGATGAAGACACTCCGGAAAGTGCGAAAACGAGAACTGCAAAGGATGGCAGTTTGTGGAAGCTGGTGTTCAGTGACGAGTTTGCTGCAGAGGGCCGCACGTTCTACGACGGTGATGACCAATTTTGGTATGCTCCAGACTTCCATTATGATGCTACGAAGGATCTGGAATGGTACGACCCGGATGCGGTCACTACCAAAAACGGAACTCTCCAGCTTCGAATGGACGCTTACAAGAACCACAATTTGTTTTACAGATCGGGTATGTTGCATTCTTGGAACAGGATGTGCTTCACGCAAGGTGTTATGGAGGTTTCTGCCAAATTCCCCAATTATGGTAACGTTTCGGGTCTGTGGCCTGGTATGTGGTCTTTGGGAAATCTTGCTCGCCCTGGATACCAAGCAACAAGTGAAGGCGTGTGGCCTTTCTCTTATGAGGCGTGCGATGCTGGAATTACTGCTAATCAATCTTCCTCAGATGGAATATCCTATCTTGCAGGTCAGAAGCTAAACAGTTGTACTTGTGATGGAGAAGACCACCCTAACCAGGGGACAGGCAGAGGAGCTCCTGAAATCGATATTATTGAAGGCGAAGTTGACACTGGTATTCGTAACGGTGTGGCATCTCAATCGTTCCAGACCGCTCCTATGGATATTTGGTACATGCCAGATTACAATTTCATCGAAATCCATAATGCTTCGGTTACTACTGTTAACACCTATTGCGGTGGTCCGTTCCAACAAGCCGTGTCCACAACCACCACATTAAATACCGATTGGTACGAGCTGGGTGAAGGAACAAGATACTTCCAGAAATACGCATATGAGTACCTCAATGACAACGACAGTGGATACATCAGATGGTTCGTTGGTGACAACCCAACTGCTACCCTTCACGCTTATGCTCTTGCTCCAAATGGTAATATTGATTGGAGACGAATTCCTAAGGAACCGATGTCTATGATTTTGAACTTTGGTATTTCGAACAATTGGGCGTACATCGATTGGCCGTCAATTCATTTCCCTGCCATTATGGAGATTGATTATGTGAGAATCTACCAACCTAATGACTCTGTGAGTCTCACGTGCGATCCTGAAGATTATCCAACTTACGACTACATCAATAGCCACCCCACCGCATATGAAAATTGGAACCACACAACTTGGAAGAGTGCTGGTTACTCTTTTCCAAAGAACAAACTTACTGGCTGTTAAAGAATACGTGTTATTATAAATTAGCTAGAAATTGTTCTAGTGCCGTGGATTGTTGTTGTTGGTCTAGGAAGTTGAACTCCACGATTTCCCGGTTGATATTAAAGTTTGATTCGCGGAGAGCATCAAGCAGGTTTTGAGGCCTTTTGCTTTCCAGCTTACGAGCAAGAACTATAAGTTTCCCGCTTTTTCTAAGCGCGTGAAGCACAAACGCTATATGGTCGCTTTTTCGGAACTCGATGTATTTGTTGAAAATTTTGTTGCGCAACTTGTCTGATTCCAACCCCCGAAATTGAGGGGATTGTCTGAATTTGCGCTTAAACTCCAGATAATTATTCAATTTGACGTCGTTGTCGATGAGCAATTTGCAGAATTCGATCACCGCCCTCGTGTAGGGATCACTGTTGCTATTCGACCGAGCGACTTGTGTACACCATTGGTCAAATAGTGACCTTCGTTTTTCATCATCATCTATTTCAAAATAAATTGGATCGTTCATAAATTTATCGCACTCTAAATCGTAGGAGGAATAAGGGTCCACCTCGTAGCGGGTTAACATGTTGTAGAATCGTTCCGCTACTTCTGAAGAATTTTCCTCATAATCATCCAAATCTGAAAGGTTTAGGCCTGCGGACGAGTCTTCCTCCGATGACGACTCAGCTGACTTCTGATCGGATAAATTGGAAATCTGATTCTGAACGTCTGACAGTTGGCATTGAATTTCTGGACTCTGTTCCCTCTTTTCGGATTGTGACTCTTCCAATTCACTACCGTCCTCAGTGTCAGACTCATAACCAAGCATTATTCCTGTGCTGTCTGATTTTTGTCGTTGAAGCGGCGACACCTCTTCCTTGTCATCTATTTTCATGGATTCACCGTCTTCATCTTCAGAGCTGACAAGCTCGATTTGTTTAACCGGGTGTCTTGCGCCATGAAGTAGCTCATTCAAGTCTTCAGCTTCCTTGTCTGTAATTTGTGCGCCCCTAGCAACTCCAAGTAATAAAAGTACCTGCTTTCTTTTATTCTTTAGTTCTTGCATCTCCCTGACACACTCATTTGGCAATTCCCAAAGGGATGCCAAATGGTCCTTGTCAAAGTAGAACTTGAATCCACGATCAGTGATGACTAGTAACCATCTTTCAGACAACGGCAGTTGGTATAAAGGTTTCCCGTAGTTCATAACCTGTCATAATTAAATAATTTTTTTTATCTATATACATTATTTCCATTCCAAGTATTCGCTACCATACTCGTTCGGCTTGGTTTTTCTGTCCAGAACATGCTTCACCTTGTAGAGCACTCCATTTCTGTGTCCATATCTGTGCAAGAAGTATTTGCCCGCTTCCTTGCCCGTGACAGAATACTTTCTGTTGGAACCGTCCTCGCCTTTCACGTATTTTTCAATCTCAGCTTGAGTAGGGAGTCCCATCTGCCATGGATATTCCGCATAGTTAGGAATCAAGTCCGGGCATTCAGGGAATTTGGACACCTTGACAGCTTCAAGTGCTTCGATAGTTTCTTCCACAGGTAGCGCAGTGCCCTCTTGAGGCTCAAATGCATCCAACGAAAGTAATCCTTGGACCAGCTTATTTGGGACATCATTGACAGATGTGAATTTTGGCTTGACCTCTCTGTCCTCTGGATTTTCGGACTTTCTGTTGATAAGATTCTTCAAGATGTACTCGTTGAAATCGTTAGGTCTGTAATCAAGCATCATTTTGGATGCAGTTTTGAGCTCGTTGGTGAGCGCGTCATGGATGGTGGCTTGGCTGTTCGCAACCAGCATGCTCCACGTCAATTTGAGCGAGATCTTCGATTTGGTCTTAAGTTTCTCAACAGTATTCAATGCAAATTCACTAGCGTCGTTGACAAGGGCCTCAATCACCTCTTCTACAGACTTGTGAGCTTGAGGGTCAAAGCAGGACTCAATCGTATCCAGTTCTTCAGCAGTATACTTGAACTTGTGTTGCGATGGGATTTGAACGGTAAACTCCTCAATGGCCTCGCTGATTAACTTGTAAATGTCTTGTCTGGCAAAAACATTGCGTTTTTGGTCGTCTGCAAGTTCTGGAAGCTCCAACGTAGTTAGCCTATCAAGAAGTTCCTCGTGTCTGTGAGCAGGAACATAGTGGGTACCGTAGCCGGCAATCAGCGTGTCAATTCCAAAAAGCTCGTCTCCAGTCAATGAAAGGTAGTATCCCAAATTTCCGTCCAGTTTCGGTAACCAGAAAGAGGTTCCTACATCGCTGAAGAAGCCAATGTTGGTTTCTGGCATTGCAAATCTGGTGCTCTCGCAAACAACTCTGAATGGGCCGTGAACAGACAGCCCTACTCCTCCTCCCATAACGATGCCTTTGACCAAAGACACCACAGGCTTGTTGTACACGGAGAGCAAATAGTTGAGGCTATACTCCTTCTCAAAGAATTCGACTGATTTCAAGGGCTCCTTGTTCAAGTTGTATTTGGCACATTGAACAACGTCGCCTCCAGAACAGAAAGCCTTGTCAGACTTGGAGTTGAGGATGATCATGTTGTTGGAGCCGGATCTGGAGAATTCGACCATTCGCGCAACAATCTCCTCACACATGTTCGTGCTGAGGGCATTGAGCTTCTGAGGTCTGTTCAATGAGATGATCCGAGCCGTGTTCTTCACTTTGAATTCCACCTCCGGTGTCGCTGTCGAGTTCATTCTGCTAGCTAAAAGATGAGAATTGAGTGCCGTTAGACGAGGCACTTGTGATACCATTGCTGAGCGATGCAGTCGTTTAAGGGAGAGCATACTGGAGAGGGGAACCGCGCAGGTAAGTCGGGTAATGTGTCGAGTAAATTTTTTTAATTTGTCGGTAGGGTAAACCCAATCTGGAGCTACGATACAGGGAAACGAAGAAGCGTGGGCAGATTTGTGCTAGACGTAGTAGCTACATTTATTCAAAGTTCTGCACGGTGCTACGAGAGTACTATTTGGAGCTGTTTGTTGCCCATTTCTGCAACTCTAGTCTACTCTCATATGCTGCGCCTGATTCTGCGCATACATTTCCCGAGAACCCTACAGACTGCTCCGATTTTTTTTATTTTTTGCTGTCTTGGGCACCCCTCGCACCTCATCGTATATCGTTTGAGAAATCGGCTGAGATATTCGTGTAGATCTGTCTTTCCCTAGCGATCGTCATGTCTGAAATAACTCATAGACTGGCAAAAACAACACACAAAACAACCCCTCCAGTGATCGACACCTTGAATATTAGCCAGACGCTCGATTTTTACTGGACCAACGCGAAAGATCCGCACTCGATTAGGCGAAAACTCATCCTTCAAAAATACCCTCAGGTCACCAAATTATGTGGACATGAACCACTCACAAAATACCTTTCGATGCTTGTTGTCTTGCTTCAGTTCAGCATTGCCTACTATCTCAAGGACACCAGTCCCCTGAGCTACAAGTTTTTGGCTCTTGCGTACGTTATCGGTGGGACTTGCAACCAGAACTGTTTCCTTTGCATCCACGAGCTATCTCACAACTTGGGATTCAAGAAACCACTACATAACAGGCTCTTTTCCATAGTGACGAATCTGCCAATCGGAATCCCCTACAGCGCTTCTTTCCAGCCTTACCACCAGCTCCACCATAAATTTCTCGGAGATGAGGTTTATGACACAGATATCCCTACTCGGCTGGAGGCCATTGTTCTGTCCAATATTCTTGGCAAGGCATTCTTTGCTACATTCCAAATTCTCTTCTACGCTTTGAGACCGATGTTCATCACCCAGGTGAAATTCACTCTAGTCCACCTGCTGAATGTCATCGTGCAGGTATTTGTTGATTTCCTAGTGGTGAAATACTGGTCTGCAAACTCATTATGGTACTTTATTATGTCTTCGTTCTTTGCCGGATCGCTGCACCCAACAGCTGGACACTTCGTGTCGGAGCACTACATTTTTGACCCACCTAAAAACTACAAAAAATACGTTGATGTCCCCCCTCTAGAAACATATTCCTACTACGGGCTCCTCAACTTGGTGACCTGGAACGTCGGCTATCACAACGAGCACCACGACTTCCCCTTTGTTGCGTGGAGTAGGCTCCCGCAGCTGAAAAAAATAGCCGTCGAGTTTTATGAGCCGCTTCCTCATCACAAATCATGGACGTGGACAATCGTGGACTTCATCTTCAATTACGACGTGACAATGTTCAATAGGGTCAAAAGAGATACCGCTGGAATTTCAGAAAGACGCAAAATTGACTACAACGACAATTCCAAATAGCTATACTCTATAGATTTATATATACACAGCCCAGAAAAAACTATAAACATGTCTTCACTAAAAGACCTTCTGAAGTCTGTTTCACAGGAAGAGCAATTGCAGAAACAGCTTTTAATTGTCGGTGGTCAAGAAGTGGGCCATATCCAGCTTTTGAATGCATTTGGAATCAGAGACGTCAGTATCATACCGTACGGATTTCATCTGGCAGAACGCGCAGATCTTCAACTTTGTTTCCACTCTTTTGCTGGCGAATATGGTGCGGTATATCAAACAATAATTGACAGGCTTCTTGCGAGTTCGCTAGTTGTCTATATTCTAGATGCTCTGGATCTATTGAAGGATGAACCGACACAAGAAACAATTTTCGAGCGTGTTTCTGGATCTCTCAAACCATGGATTGATGCCTGCTCTAAGGCCGTCAGCTGTTGTGTATTAGTCCAGAATGTGTCTCGTGTTGACTACAATGTCAAAAGCGTGTCGAACATGGATTATCTACAGCAATTAGTGCGACTCATCATGATGGATAAAAATGGTGCCGTACTGTTCTTTCAGGAAACAGATACCCCTCAGGACATTATCCAGCTATTGAAAGGCACGGCTGAACTGCGGATCAAAGATTATGACAACGTGTTTGTGCCCAGCGGAAGTGATAGCTACGGGAAGATCAAAGTACTTAATGAAGACTTTGCATGTGAGGAGACGCTTGAAAAATGGCATAGTGTGGAAACAGTCGCCAAAGAAGTGCCTACCAATGCAACATCGACCAACTCTGAGAACTTGAGGCAAAAGTATCAGGACTTTCTAAGACAGATCCATTTGGCTGTGTAAAGGTGTGATTCAGCATGAAAAATTATTAGCCAATTTTTGTGTGTCATGGTCGATGCTGGAGTGAGCAGCGACATAGGCAACGTATCGGTTGAGGCAGATGGACAGAACGCGATAGGTGATGTGCTTGAGGAAGGCATTTCAGTGAAGCCTATCGTGGAACATACCAAGAGAAGGCGGTCGTCGCACCAGTCCATCAAACCGCGTTTCAAAAAATCCGCACGCAAGACTCCAATATTCAAGCTAAAGTTTGATTCCAAACGCAAAAATCCATTGAAATATGTCAATATCAGAGAGCTTGTTTTGTACGCGCTCACAGACGTGAACAAGTTGAATTTTGGAGAGCTCGAGAATAGGAAATCTATAAACAAGGTGGTTCTGGTCCTTGCCGATGGACTCACTGCGGCTGATTTCGGATACGAAAGCTTGGCTGGTCTCGTTGAAGAGCAGGAAATAAAGAATACAGAGAAGTACCCATTCATCTCCCAGGAATTTACAAAATTCATTCCCTTACTTTCTCCTGGAGCCAACAGAAACCTATTTTCATGTGCCACCACTCTATCTTCTTCGACAGTGCCCGAAAAACATCGTCCGGCTCTGATCAAAGAGCTTGAACTCAAAGGTGTCCAATTGTCTGAGTTGACACTCGACTATACCCAAATGGTGGCCAATGGCTACCCTATTCACCCTGACGTTCCTGGTGCTACCAAGGAATCTATAGCGCAATATTCTGCATTTCTTGCCACGAGAGATCTGAAATCGAAGCCCAGAATATTTGCACTGGATTGCGAGATGTGCTTGACTGCCTCCGGGAGCGTGGTCACCAGAGTGGCGCTGACTGATGAGGATCACAAGCTAGTAATCGGAGATTTTGTCAAACCAGACGAGGAGATCACAGATTACAAAACACAGTACTCAGGTGTTGATGAAAATAGTCTCAAAGGAGTCACTACCACTTTGCATGATATTCAGCAAAAATTGCTGGCGACAATCTCCAGTAAAGACTACTTGGTTGGACATTCGCTAGAGTCAGATCTTTGCGCGCTCAGAATCACACACCCAACAATTATCGACACATCTATATGTTATGATCACGTTAAAGGCCCGCCTCTCAAACCTTCTTTGCGCCATCTCGCTTCCGAGATATTAGGCAGAAGTATTCAACAATCTGCCCACGGTCATGACCCAATTGAGGACTGTGTTGCATGCATGGAGTTGGTCCAGCTCAAACTTAAAAAGGGCCCTGCATTTGGCAAACTGATCACCGAAGAGTCGATCTTTCGCCGTCTTTCGCATACAAACAAGCAAGTCCTTATTGACGGCAAGAAAGTCCCCAAATCGGGAGTAGCTATCAATTTTGGAGGTAATAAATTTTTCGACGAACAACGCTTAGACGTCCCCACGGATGAAGAAGCCGTTCAAAAGCTGGCGGAAAATCTGTCCAACCATGACTTGGCAATGATCAAGCTTCGCGAGCCGGACAAATTTGATCTTAGCATCAAATATATCTATGAAACGATGCCAAGCAATTCTCTTTTGATCGTCTGTGCTGGTCACGGCGACAGAAAACGGATCGACGAATTAATCACCTTGCAGAGGAATATTTCAGGACCTCTATCTCCAGAAGATCACCAGGAACTCATTTCGTGTGTTGCGAAAGCCAGAGAATCTCTTGCCCTGATAAAGATTAAACCATAGTTACTGGCTTATGTAATCTAGTTTACGCGTAGATCAAAATAAATACAAAAGAAAACAAAAATCACAGATTTCATGACTACTCTGCGAGACAAAAAGAGAAGTTTGAATGAGAAGGAGCGAGCCGAAGTCCCGATACAGCCTCGTCTAAAGCTTCATAAGCGGCTTGTCTTACGCAGACCTCCTCAGTTGGGCAACGTATCTCGTCCAAGCCCTCCGATTTCTCGCACAGCAAGCGATCAACCTCAAAATGAGGTCAAGGAGAAAGCTGTCACAAAGCCAGAGCATGATGCCAATCCTTCCCCCAAAAGGGAACTAGAATGTCAAGACACATTGCTGGCAAACGAGGAGAAACGAGTCCAATCGACCTCAGACGATCTGGAAAACGCACAAAAGAAGGTCACCGAAGCCGCAACAAAAAACCCAGAGATCCAGAGAATAGAGTTTGCTCTCGAGGAAGATGGCGAAGCTGAGGACTCTGAAGAGGAAGATTCAGTGTCTATGGAGATTAGACAGGAATTATTTTCTCTAGTCAAGTCGTTCCCTGGACTGTCTAACAAATACAAGCTAATAGACAAGATTGGTGAGGGAACGTTCTCCACCGTTTACAAAGCATACGACCTACAGCGCATATCTGAAACCAGCATGGGAAAGGCGGTTTGGAGTTCCCCACCAAAGAGTCGTACGAATGAGTCCACGCAATCATCTGACGTCCCAATTGTTGCATTGAAAAGAATTTATGTCACGTCTTCCCCTTCGAGAATATACAATGAGCTTCAGCTTTTGCATAGTCTAGTGGGATGCCCGAATGTGGCTCCTCTAATAGATGCTGTTCGCTATGAAGATCAAGTCATTGCCGTGTTGCCCTTTTATAAGCACGCAGATTTCCGCGATTTCTACAGAGACTTACCTCTGTCTGGAATAAAGATATACATGCACGAGCTTTTTACTGCCCTGAGTTTTGTGCACGAAAAAAGAATCATTCATAGAGATATCAAGCCTACCAACTTTCTATATAACCCGTTGACCAGGCGAGGAGTTTTGGTCGACTTTGGGCTTGCCGAAAAAGAAGCAGAAATTGATTACGCAGCTTGTCCTTGTTTCCAAGGAGGGCCGGCAGCAGATGAGATTGCGCCTATGAATGCATTTCCTACCAAAGGATACCCGAAAGATGACCGCAGGCCAGGAAGGCGTGCCAATCGAGCAGGAACTCGTGGATTCAGAGCACCTGAGGTGCTGTTGAAGTGTGCAAATCAAACTGTCAAGGTTGACATATGGTCTGCCGGGGTCATGTTGCTCACACTTCTATCGCGAAGGTTCCCATTTTTCAACTCTACAGATGACACCGCTGCCCTCATCGAAATAACGAATATATTTGGGCTTTCTCAGATGCGCAAATGCGCCCAGCTGCATGGTTTAGGTCTGGAAAGTAACCTCCCCAAAATCGAGTCGGCACAATCGCTAGGTGCTTTGCTATACACATCGATTTTTCTGGAAGCCAAACAGGGCGACACGCTAGCAGAGGACTCTCCTGCTTGGGAGCTCTTGTCCGCATTGGATAAGAAAGGACGTCCTTCCGACACTAAGCTTGGAAGTGACTATGCTGAGGCCCTGGAAGTACTCGAACTATGTCTAAGACTAAATCACAACGAGAGGATTACCGCAGATGATGCTCTGAAGCTCCCCTTTTTCCGGTCAGGGTCTAATGACGTCGACGATATCATTTTAGATTAGAGTGCACTGATTAATAAAGTTAATGATGGCTAAACCGAAACGTCTATAATATACTACTGCAGGCTTGGATTGATGGCCTTTTCAAACCGTTTTTCGACAATTCTCTTGATTTGAGGGGAGGTCTCAAACGGCCCATAATTTCTGAATTTCTTGTAGGCCTTCGCAAACTCCATTTCGTCCAAGTCAGCATGCTGTTCTTGGAAAAATTTCTGCTGGGCCATGATTAGGTCCAGAGTCAAGAAGAACTTGTCTTGCTCCTCAAGGTCCTTGAGGGTTAACTTGCCCTTAGTGTCCAGTGGTGTGTTGAAACCTTCTCCTTCTTCCAGAGTAATTGTGGTGCGTGAAAGCTTACTCAGGGTTCCCTCTTTATGGGCTGCCATCAAGCCACCAAGCTTCTCAATACGATAGTTTCTGTAATCCTCCCTGAAAGCTTCCAATGTTGCCTTTCTGGATCCAGTCCATCCAATCCTGATCAGATCTTCTTTTGTGACTGCTGGAGGTTTGCCGGTGAATGAATAAGGATTGACAACGCCAAAGTTCAGAGATCCGAAAATGATGAGCACCTTGAGTACATGGAAGAAGAAGAATACGCATTGAAGAACTTTTCCCGATTCAGAAAGCAGTTCCCCACGTAAATGTTCAGCAAACCCAGCATCGTGGTATTTTTCCACCAAGTAACAAATCGCCTTGCACACCCAAGTTGTCAACGCAATTCCGGGAGTTGGCGAAATAAAGTCTGGCAGATCAGTATACAACCAAGTCAGAAGAGCGGCATAAACGGAGTAAGTGAGGAAAGTTTTCTCCTCCCAAATAGGAAGCAACAATTGGCCCGGCCAAACCTTGGACACAACCAAATCATCGTTAGAGACCCGCGTAAGCCATTTGGCTTTGTCTGCCTCATGACCAAACAAAACTCCACCCTCGGCTGTTAACTCCCCAGGACATCTGGAAACCATAAATCCTTTCGGAACCCTATTGTAAAATATCGATGGACACAGTGCCAAAGGCAGTGTTTCGAAAATCTGAAACAAATCCCTGAAGGTCTGGTTTTTCTTGACTTCAAAGCAGTAGTCCTTTTCGTCGTCCAGGTTCATACGGATGTAGACATCCAAAGCGTACTCTTGTTCCTCAGACATGATAAAATACGTACAATATTCACGCCCCGCAGAAAAATTATCGTGTGTTCGGGGTACCGTGACGTAACAAAAGCCCGGCTTTAAATAGTTTGGTTACGTAAGCCCATTGGGAAGTGGTTAAGCGACCTTTGCTTTTGAAGATCAAGTCACCAAATGCTACAGACATGTCAGTCTTTCTGATATCTGATATTAATTTCTAAATTAGTTCTGGACAGCAGAGAGAATGTCGGAGTCACCAGCATCAAGAATGGCAAGGGTTCCGACTCTGAAAAGTTTACCACAAGCAGTACCAAGCTCGTTGTTTCCACCTTGGAAATAGTAGATGGCAGTCTTGGACAACATGGCGTAGTACTCCAACTCAGACTTTCTCAAGACTGGGGTGTTGGCAGCAATAATGATCAGCTTAGCCTTGCCTTGTCTAAGAGACTTGACAACGGACTTGTAGCCGAGGGTGAACTTACCTGACTTCATAGCCAGGGCCAACTTGGCGTTCATGTTCTCTGAGTTCTTCTTGGATTTAGGTGCCTAGCATGGTTAGTTACGGAGAGAGATAAAGGATACTGACCATCTCTGTGTTTTCACTCCGGTCTTAAGCTTGGTGATGAAATTTTTTCTACTGGGAATTGAAAATTATCTACGTTGAAAGACAGTCACACTGATTTTCCGTATTGGGCTTCTAAAATTTTTCGACCCTCACGCTCTCTAGATTTTTTTCTCAGCAATAATCTTTTCTCATCAAGATGAAGGTTGAAGTTGACTCGTTCTCCGGCTCGAAGATCTACCCGGGCAGAGGTACTCTGTTTGTGAGAGGTGACTCGAAGGTGTTCAGATTCCAAAATTCCAAGAGCGCCTCCCTTTTCCACCAAAGAAAGAACCCAAGAAGAATTTCTTGGACTGTTTTGTTCAGAAGACACCACAAAAAGGGTATTACTGAGGAAGTCTCCAAGAAGAGAACCAGAAAGGCTGTCAAGCACCAAAGAGCTGTTGTCGGTGCTTCTCTCGATTTGATCAAAGAAAGACGTGCCTTGAAGCCTGAACAAAGAAAGGCCACCAGAGAAGTGGCTGCTATCAAGGAGAAGGAAAAGAAGAAAGCTAGAAAGGAGAAGAAGAAGGCCGAGAAGGCTGCACAGGTTGCTACTGGTGCCAAGATCTCTAAACAGCAAGCCAAGGGTGCTTTCCAGAAAGTCCATGCTACCTCCCGTTAGTATCTGATAATGAAGATCAAGTAAGGTGTACAAAAGTCGTAATTCACCGCTGTTCGTATATTTCGTCTAGCCGTTCGATTGGCAGACCTTTAGTTTCTGGAACCAGCCAGTACACCAATGCAAATCCGGTAACGTTGAAAAAGAAGAACACGAATCCGATGCCAAAGCCAAAGGCCTCTGTTAGCGGCGGCGTAATTAATGTCATCACGAAGGTCACTAGCCAACTCATCGACCCGCAGATCGACATGGCTTTCACTTTGATGGCTATCGGATACAGTTCGGAAACAACCACTCCGCTCAACGGTCCCCATGTAGTAGCGAAAACCCCTATAAATCCACATGAAAGCGACACCATAACGACTCCCATGGCTACGTTCATGTTGGCTTTCGACAACATGCTTACTATGGTGAATAGCAGCATGAAACAGGCGAGTAATGCGGACCCTATCATCAGCAAGCTGGTCCGCTTGTAGCGATCGACGATGAACAGCGACGCCACTGAAAATACCAGGTTCACAAACCCAAAGAAAATTGGTACCAGATATGGGTTTGTGAGGCCGATTGTAGCAAAAATCGTGGTGCCAAAGAAAAAGAAATAGTTGATGCCTGTAAGCTGCTGGCAGCAGAGCACACTAATACCGGTCAGCGTGCGCAGCAGGTACTTGGGCTCTCCTTTTCTGATTGAGCTCTTTTCTTTAAGATTTGCATCCTCGTCCTCGTAGCTGTGGTTGTTAAACATGATAGCTACGATCCGGAGCACTCCTGGGTCATTAACCTCTAAAGAACGTGCTCGAGCTACCGACATTTTAGATTTTTCGACCAGTTTGCGACTTGTGAGATACCAGTAGGGGGATTCGGGTACAAACCAAATGAGAACACAGACTGCAATGGCCCAAAAAAGCCCTTGGATCAAGGGCACTTTGAATTGAAATGTGTTTGTGTTGTCGAAGAGTGACTGGCTAAAATACATGGTGATGGCCCCAATCTGAATACCAACGGTAGTGAGCAGTTGCTGAATGCATATCATTCCACCTCGCATACTGGCAGGCGCCAGCTCGCTGATCAACATGGGACAGGTCACGCATATAATGCCATTGGCCATTCCGTTGAATGCCCGGCCAAACATCACCTGGATCCACACGGACGCGGTAGCAGTCACCAGATTTCCAACGGCATAAATGACGCCTGCTGAGAAAATTGTCGCTCTAAGCCCAAATGGTGTTATTAATAAAATGCTGAGGATGCCACCAACAAACCCGCCTAGACTGGAAATCCCAATTAATGCTCCTTTAGTGATACTGAGGAAGGCGGTTTCACCGCCAGTTCTGTGATCACCAAACGTATGGATGAAAGCAGGCATGTCGATCATACCTCCTATAGTGCCGATGTCATATCCAAAAATCAGTCCTCCGGTGGCTATAATGGAGCTGAAAATGATGATCGGCCAGGTAGACCCCATGTCATCCTGATCTGGAGAATATTCCGGCTCGTCAGCTTTTCTTTGTGATTGCTCGGGCAACCTAGCAGGATCACACGATATCTCGCTCATGAAGAGTACTCAAGTCCGCGGTAGGGATATATTTTGCTCCTTAGCGCGAGGGTCCTGGAGAAAACATCCGTACACCGACAACATGGAGAACCAAACCAAAGAGGCTGGGTTCCGGGTTCCTTAATGAGGACTTACATTAAGATGGTCTTGCTTGGAAGTGGACAGGTGACCGCAAGTTCAGAGATCTCATTTGAGTTATTTGTCGGCAAAGGTATGATTGCGGTCCCAGAGTATTAATTGTAGTCTAAAATTAATTTTCCGAAACAGAAGCCTAAAGAAATAAAAAAATAGACACTTCTCTTTTGTGGACATAATATTCAACAACCCCTGTTAGAAGGTATTCATGAGAGGCGTCAATGGTGTTTCAGAAAGCAATATTATGGAACTACTAGTTTTCGGAAGAACTAGTCCTGCCACTTTATACCACAAGCTGCCCATTTTCCCAATTAGGAAGCCAGCCATCTCTTTATGGCATAAGCTAAGATTTTAGTTGCATATAAAACAATAGGCGATAGGATGGCTAGCGGTGCTACCAGCTTTTTTGGGTAGCAGCATTAAGGTTTGAATGGTAAGGATGTAAAAGGTGTCTTTGTTGCCGGTGAATATTTCCTCTAAGCGATGGCTTGACAATAGCGGTCTGGATACCTTATAAATAGTCTGCTCCCAGATCCCGAATCTCGCGCACACTCACTTATACACTCTTTACTATATGCGTTTTTCAGTCGCTCTTTTAACCTTTCTTGCTGCTTTGCAGGCTGCACCGGTGCCAATGGCCAAGGTGATCACCAGAATGCACACAGCAGATGCCGTGACCACTACACAGAATAACTACTATACGGTGACGTCCACCATCCCAATCGTTGAGGTTCTTATTTCCAACGGTGTGACCTACACCAAGACTCTTCTCACCATTGCTTCCGGAAGCGATATCGATGCTGTTCAGCCAACTACCACTGTGGTTGCCAAAGACCCAACGACGGTTGCCAGCCTGACTAGCGACTCAGTGGCTAGTGAGACACAGACCAGTAATCCGGTGCCGACTGACACCAGCATTTCTAGCACCTCTACGAGTTCGAGCCAGGATTCATCTGTGTCTGTGTCCCTCACCTCTGTATCATCTAGCAGCTCGTCAGCCCCAGCTACCACTGAAGCTACCACTGAGGCATCCAGCACTACCACTTCCGAGGAGCTCGATCTTGTTGGATCTGTCAATGTCGAAAACACATCTACCAGCTCGAGCTCGACTAGCTCAAGCTCCTCTGTGACCACCACCGATGACTCTAGCGCCACGTCTCCATCTCCAGCAGCCGAGGCCTCCAGCTCGACCACCCAGGCCTCGTTGAGTGAAACTTCATCTTCCACTCAGCAGACCTCCTCCTCGACCGAAGCTGCCAGCTCAACCACCGAGTCATCGTCTTCGTCGTCTTCTTCGTCTACGACAACTTCATCCTCAAGCTCGACAGCAAGCTCGACAGCAAGTTCGACAACCTCGTCCGTTTCATCTTCGACTTCTTCATCGTCGGCAGCTTCTACCGTGACTCCTTCTGCAATTGTCTATTCTCCATACACCGACTCAGGATCCTGCAAAGACTACGATACCGTTGAAAGCGACCTGTCTCTGATCCAGTCCAAGGGAATTGGCGAGGTCAGAATTTACGGAAACGATTGCAACTATCTCACAACTGTGCTCCCCATCTGCGCAAAGAAAGGAATCAAAGTCGACCAGGGCTTCTACATCAGCTCCGCCGGCGTGGACTCCATTGACGATGCTGTTACAGAGCTAATCCAAGCCGTCCAGGACTCTTCGTCTGGATTTGACTGGGATCTTTTCTCTTTCTTCAGCGTTGGTAACGAGGTTATCAGCAACGGCTACGCTACCGTCAACGACCTGATTGACAAAATCAACTCTGTCAAATCACAGCTGCAAAGTGGTGGATACACGGGAAAGGTCACAACCGCCGAGCCACCTAGCACGTACGAAAGCTACCCTGACCTGTGCACAAGCTCCAACATCGACTTTGTCGGTATCAACGCTCACGCCTACTTCGATCAGTACATCAGTGCAGCAGACGCTGGAACATTCCTTACCGACCAGGTTAAAGTGACTCAAAAGGCTTGTCCAAACATGGATGTCAAGGTTGTGGAAACCGGTTATCCAAGTCAAGGAAAACAAAATGGAGGCAACATACCTTCTCCAGAAAACCAGAAGACAGCCATCAAGAAGATCCTCGAGGATTTCGGTCCCGATGTGACTATCCTGACCACCTACAACGATTTCTGGAAAGACCCAGGCCCTTATGGAATTGAACAATACTTCGGAGTGATCGATATTCTGGAGTAATTAATTATGCGCAATTAAAGTAGGATATTTCGAATTTTTAAAGCTAAAAATCAATAACTTTTTTCGGGAAAAACTCATCAATCAGTTCGAGATAGTAGTCTTTGACCTCGTCGATGTCGCATTTCTTGTCCGTCTTTGAGTAAAGGTCGTAAGGATTGAATTCTTTGACAGCCCGGAGCATCTCTTCGTCATGCTCGTTCATTAAGTATTTGTACGCACCTTCCTGGTGCCATGGATAGAAAGAGTGATATCTGATCATCGCAAGCGCTTGTGGGGGCAGACAGCTCTGTTCCTTGGCTAGATGATACATGTACTCATCGTGTCCCCAGCTTAGCATGACATTCTCAAGACCACAATGAGGAGAATAAATACCGTATTTTGTGTTGTAGAGCGGATTGTTGTAATCTGGATTCGCTTTGAAGAACTCGTAGTGTATTATCTTGGTCGAAAATCGACATCCAACAGGGAACGTGTCACCCACCACGTCCCACTGGCCTTTCGAGTCATAGAAATACAGCAGTTTCCCAAGATCGTGGATTAGGCCGACGAGTTGGAACCATCGCGGTTTATTGTCTTTTCTTATCGCCTCTGCTGTCTGAAGCGCGTGTTCTATTTGTGATAACTCGGTATCGGGATCGCTCTCGTCCAACAAGTGGTTGAGTTTTAGCAGGGCGTCCCATATGGTCATCCTGTCTCGTATCTTGGTTTTGAAGTTAATTCGAGCCTGTATATTGTACGCTACCGTTTGGAACTCATGCTGCTCTTTGTAGAACTGCTTCACACGATCATATGCGAGGTCGTATTGACGATATTCTCTGTATGTTGCATTCACAAGCACATTTGGCACTTGAGTCGCTGCCTTCTCCAACTCTTGTAGTTGCTGTTCCTTATTCTCTTTTTTCTCTTCCAGCTGTTTGATCTTCTGCTTCAACTGGTTGAGCTCCTGTATATCCTCATCCAACTGCTCCAAGAGACGAGATTTGTCCAAGTTTTGGTATTGGACCTTCGGTTTTTCTATTTTGGACATGAAAAAGAAATCATCACGAGACAAATTTCTTGTACGATGCTCAGGTTTAGAAAGTGGGGCGAGGACTGAAAACGGTTTTTTTCCGCTTCTACTTTACGGTTATATACACACTATTTCGACTTGTATACAACGCTCAACAATAATAGCATTGCAGTATCACATGTGATTGGGTCGACGCGACCGAAAAAAAAATTATTTCTAAATATTCGATAAGCAGTTATAGAAAAAACATGGCCGGACGCAAAACGCCGAAGGAGACCAAAGAGTCAGCGTCCCCTTCTACTGCGGCAGCAGAGGAGAAGCCGACAATTGTCGTCAACGAAAAAGAACGCAAGAAACAAGCGTTTGTTGTGAGAACTATCTGGACTCTTGTTATGATTTTCGGTATGTTTTTCATAATCTGTGCAGGCCACTTCTGGACAATCATGTTGGTGCTAGTTCTCCAGGTTCTGGTTTTCAAAGAACTCATCTCCATAACGAGTGAGAGAGCAAAGAACCAGGACCTCAAATACACAGGATATCTTAATTGGTACCTATTAATCACCACTATTGCCTACTTGGAAGGCAAATCGCTCATCACATACACCATCAACTTTTTGATCGACTCAAACTACGTTTCTGTTCTGGCAATGAAGTTCATTATCCATCAGAAATTTGTCTCGTACTGTTCGTACGTCTTTGCCTTTGTTTTCTTTGTTTCTACTTTGAAGAAAGGCTATTTGAAGTTCCAATTTGCACAATTGTGCATCACCCATATGATCCTACTCTTGGTGATCTTTCAGGGCCATTGTATTGTCAACAATATCCTTCACGGTATGATTTGGTTCTTGCTGCCGGTTGGACTTGTCATTACCAACGATATTTTTGCGTACATTTGCGGTATCACTTTTGGCAGAACTCAGCTCATCTCGATTTCGCCCAAAAAGACTGTTGAAGGGTTTATTGGAGCATGGATCTGCACCACTTTTGCATCGGTTGTTCTCACGTACTACTTATGCAATTCCAATTACTTCATCTGCCCAATTGAGAATTACAACGATTTGCAGGTTAACTGTTTGACTGGCGTCTCCTGTGAACCAAATCCTGTGTTTATTCATCAAATTTACAAGATTCCAGCGGACGTGGCTAAAATAATTGGAAAAGAATATGTCCAGATCAAACCAATCTACCTCCATGCTACCATCCTGTCCCTGTTTGCCTCGCTGATTGCTCCGTTTGGAGGCTTTTTTGCTTCCGGCCTCAAGCGTGCTTTCAAGATCAAAGATTTTGGTGACACCATTCCAGGCCATGGAGGAGTCACCGATAGAATGGATTGCCAGTTCCTTATGGGCTCCTTCTCGTACTTGTATTACGAGACTTTCATCTCGACCCATCATCTTAACGTTGGAAATCTTCTGCAGACTATTGTCATCAACCTTTCGGGTCCTGATATTCTAATTCTTGTCAAGAGTTTACACACTTACTTGTTCAAGATCGGCATGATCTCAGAAGACGTTTATGGTCAATTGGTGGAACTCTTAAACTAATTAAGTCCATTCCTTCGATTTAGCTACTTCGGTGCTACAACCCTTTTATTAATTGTCATTCGAAAGTCCAGCAACCTATACATAGTACAATTAACCAAAACCATAACCGGGACCACCCCAAACTCTCCGGAGCCGTAATGGACTCAAACTAAAACCAGGGTATTTCAAAACTATCGTACCATTGTAAAAATTTATCGTGTAATATCGAGTTTAATTCTCTGACTCCATGGGCTGACAGCCTAAACTGCGTGTGTAAGCGTGTGCCCAAATTCCTTAAAAGGAAGCGGGATTCTCTGTATAGGCTGCAAGTGAAGGAGACCCATTTCCTGCGAATTAGAGGCAATCGCTGGCGAATATATTTGAGCGCACGAGTAGAATTCTTCAAAGACCTCCGTCCGATTGCAAGTAGTTTCTGTTCAGCAAAAGTTTTGGTTTCCAATAGCCAAGAGAGGTTTTTTGGGATATGAGAGTAACTTTGAGGCAACTTTGAGGTAACGTCTTTCAATTTAGTCAAAAATTCCTCTAAAAGTTTATCGCCGCGTTGAATTGCATGCTTCCCGTCTTTTGCAAGAGCCAACACCGCATCGCCCGTCCAAAGCCGAGCCTGCAAAAAAAGATCATCCGCAAATTGGAACCCTTCCCGAATGCAGGAACCCCATTTCTTAGCCATTCGATGAGATACTAAATTTGTTCCCGCAACCTTCTCGATGGAAAGCTCCTTAGCACGATCGAATATCTTCATGCTTGTCGATAAGTTCTCCTTCATAGCGCTCCCGAACCTGCGAGACCACTCTAGTCCCTTGTAGCCCAATTCACGTCTTTGTTCCTTAATCCATAGAAGCCCACTATAAGCATCGGCCAGTGTGCCTTCGCCAAACAACTCCCTTCCAAATTTGAGACGGTTATCGAAAGTTATCAAGTCCTGGTCCTGAAACGAGCAGCGAGTTTCATATGGTTTGCGATCTTCGAAGTACTGCTTTAAGCACCCCATTTTGGTATCTAGACCCTTCACTAGACAATCCTGTAGTGTCATCCTCATATTCTCAGACACAGCAGAGCAATCTATGTCCTTGGTTCTGAATACCGTTCCTCCAACCAACATGGTCAGGGCAAGTCCTAGTGCGGCAATACATTGCCACGATTTCAGTTTATCCCGCTTCAAAGCTTTAGTATGGTCGGCAAATGTAGTGAATGACTCATCAGTTGTGCCTCGGGCTTCAACTTCTTCTTCTGACCCCTTCTCTAGTTCAATTCGAGGAACAGAGAAGTGAGATCCGCTAAGTTCGTTTTTGAGCGTCGACACCGAAGCTCGAACTTCCTTGTTAGGTTCTTCCCGCCCTCCATCATCGCTGGATACAACATCATCATAAGCGACCGATTGCGAGTCGCTGCCAGTCACAATGGACCAAGAATCATCAGAGGAAAATTCCTGGGGGGTTAGGATGTCTGAAACGTTATTGGTGCTGCCATTGTTGTGCGGTGTGTGGCTCTCTGGTGTAGCTAAACCTGAGGAAGAGCTTGATGCTTCCTTCATGGCCATCTTGTATCTCACTTTCAAATCGGGCTGCGCTTAATATTTGAACGCTGGTGCTTTGTGTTTTAATTGGATGGCAAAAGCGGCAGGAAGAGGAAAAGATAAGGAACTTCATGTTAAGTCTGTGGCGCATGTGGCAGTGCACTAAAAATAAATACGTCTAATAATTTTTGACATAATCACCTATTATAGCAGCTTTCCCAAGCTTCCAGATTAATCCGAATATACTCTGCCAAGTGTTTGTTGTATTCAACTACCAGCTGCGCTAGACTGGTTTTAAACCATTCGTGGAACTTCACCAGCTGGTCCCATATCTCATCATTGATTTTTCCTAGTTCCTCTTCCAGAATCTCCTGCTGTCTTTCAAGTTGATAAATTTTAAGTCGTAAATCGTAAATCCGGTTCTTGCGCGTTTGGTCTGGATTGGGGTCAGTGTATTTCAAAATGACATTGTTGATCTTCTTGATGCCAGGTATTTTCCCGTAGAATGGCTTTCTCGCGTTCACATAAAGAGCAGATTGAAGCTCTGCATCTGTGAGCGGCGCTTCTGCACTTGAGTTAGCAGATTGCTCTGATCCAGTTGCCCGCGACGCAAGAGCATCAATTCTGGATATCTCCTCTTCCTGTTTCTGATGCTCTTTGTACTTGGCGCGCGAGTCCTGCAACGACTTCTCCACCATTTTGAGTTGCACAGCCTTGTTTCTGTTGTACTGGATGATTTTTTTAGCGATCTTGGTGAAGTTCTTGAGCTCAATGAGCTTGTCCAACAGTCCCGTATTCGTTGCTTCAGAAAGTTGGTTCGCGTAGATCAAGGTTCTGTCAAACACTCTACCAACGTTTTCAATGGAATTCGAGTCTTGAATCAATGACAATGCTTTGAAGGATGATCCCAGCTCCGTTAGGTCGGGAGACATCTCAGTAAAGTGCTTCACTAACCTTTTGTTGGTACGCGAAATGTTATCAAGCACTGCCTCGTACTTGGAGAACTTATTTTCAAACTTGACAAAGTTTTCAAACTGTTCTTCGCCAGCAAGCTCTGGGAAGGAGCCAAAAGTCGAGGCAGACGGTACTGGAAGGGTGAGGTATATTTGATTATCGAGGTTCGACAGCGCATCAAAGGGTGCCAGTTTGTAGATTGATGTCTTGCAGAGAATTTGATTTTCCTTCAATGCAAGAAAGTCACTAAAATTGGTTTCTGGATCAAGAAAACTCAAAAAGTAGCGACATTTCTTCACCTGGTCAATCGCCAGGCATCGGTTCAAAAACACGCTGAGCATCCGTTTTCGGTACTCAATTAGGTTCAATGGGTTATGGTTGCTTGATGAAGGTCCATTAGCGACCGGAAAATGTGACTCGAGTGACTTGGCAGTAGTGGACGTCAAATTTGAGGCTAACGTTTGTTTTTCGGGGATCGGAGGGATTAACAACGTGGGAAAAGTCTTAATCAGACACGTACGAAGCATCTCAAACTCACTATATCGTCTTTTCACCATTAAAGGCCCGACTTTTATCGTATACACGATATAACTCTGCAGATGATTATGCGTCTCGTTCGATTTAGAAGCTTCTGTAATGTGTAACTCGAGGCTGGTGCTGGATTCAAATATTTCGGTCACCCTCGAAGGGACGAGAAAGTCCTTTCTCGTAATAATTGAGGTGGTCGAGTCCACTACTTTCGAATTGTCCATGCTGTAACAAGTTTTAAGTGAAGAAGCCCTATAATTTATTTTGCCATGTATCGAGTTCAAGATTACTTAAGCAGTCAACGAATATATTGTGATGAGACAAGTCTCGGTTCCTCTCTCTTCTATAGGGAGGATTGCCAAATTCCACCTTTATGGGTGCCTTGGCCTTGTGTTAATACTTGGAGAATCGAACGTGGTAGCTAAGATCGCCATGGCTGCGTATGTCGGTGTTTACATTATGGTTCTGTTTTGTTATGGACCAATTGTTTATGTCAAATCTTTCCAGTCTGCGCCCGAAACACGTGGAGGACTGATAAAGACAGGACTCAATCTGCTACCTTTACTAGTGGAAAAGGCATCACGAGTTCTGATAAGTTGCTTTCAGCTAATATTTCGATTGCTCCATCTATCGTCTGGCACGAGCACGGTCAACGAGCTGTTGGTTGCGTATGCGATTGTCAGTGTCCGGAAAATGATTGCTTTGGTTTGTTGGGCATATATAACTCAGCAGGATGACAATAGCGTTCACATGAAGGCATTTTTGGTGTTCTGTCTGATGAATATCACGCAGAACAGGTTTATACTGAAAAACGACATGGCCAAAGGAGAGCGGGTGGATTGGAAAGAGGGGCTAATAAGTTTTGTGAGCACACCAACGAGAAACAGCAAACGTGAGGCGGAGAAGCTACATTTTCGCAGAAACACGCTGTTTGCTGCTAACGCGCTTTTGTCTGTTTCTCTGTTCGTCTCCACGTTCAAATACTACTCGCAGTTCCAAAACAATTACTATAAGGTGATGAGCGTCCTTATCAGATTAATTCTGCTAGTGGATATGGAATTTGTGCGCACTTTGTGCGACGAATTTGTCGGGCTCGACGTCGTTATGGGTGGTGTGAAGAGTAACGTTTAGTACAGGAAATAGCATGATATATTAACGTCTCTGTATTTTAGCGCGACCTAAAGGATCAAACTGCAGGACGATACCATCCAAGAACTTGATCTTGACCGTGGGACCGTGATTGCGGATCATGCGGCGTTTCCGGTGTGCTCGTATTTCTTCCAGATTACCATCTGGTTCGTCCCAACGGTCCTTATCCAGCGTCGATTTGATCTCTGCCTCGAGTTGCTTCACCCGCTCATAGTTCAGAACGAAGTGTATCAACTCTTTCACGGTCAACATGAACTTGATGTCCAATTCCATTGGGTCGTTGACATTATTTATCTTTGTGGTTTCAAGCAAAAACCGCAGTCTGTCACTTTTCTGCTCTGCCTTAGACCCTCCAAGCTTGCCGAGCAGCTCCATACAGTTCTGATACTCGCGCAAAAGCTTGTTCCTGTCGTCACGGGCAAACCGTTTTTCCTCTTTCTCGCCCCTCTTATGGAATGCCTCGAATAGTTTTGAGTCCAGCGGATCCTTGTTGCGGTTTACCTGTTTGGTGGGTGGCAATGAATATTGGCGCCGCTCTGCCTTTGTTCGTAGGTCCACCAGGTTAAGAGGATACCGCTCAACGGCGTCTCTGAAATCGTCTAGCTCAGGGTTATGCCGGAGCCGTGCACCGGCTGGCACTTTTGAAACAACGTTCATAGTAAGCTGCTCAGGCACTCCTGTGGCAAGGTAACTGTCGAAGTTGTACAAATCGGTACTCTTGTGCTTGTCTTCGCCTCCGCGCAGAGGCCGTCGGTTAGTCTCATCGCCCATACAATTACGTAACCGAGGATGCCATTTTTAAAAACATTTCAGCTGTGGTAAAAAGTGCTCGTCATGTCGAAATTCCGGGGAGTCACCTCCATCGGTGCTGGTAATTTGTATCAGGGGGCTCAAGCGGGTATAGCCCTACGTCCAAAGCCCACGAAGCCAGCCAATGGTGCTCGATTGCGGTCCAGACAGCTCATCACGTTCCTGCTTCTCTGGCTCTTTGTCGTGCACTATTTTGAGAGATGGCAAGTAAGAAGCATGATCAAGTCTTGCCGCTGGAAAAACTGGGAAAAATGGCCCCCAGGTGCCGATCCACATCATCTGGTTGTTATTGGAGACCCTCAATTGGTGGACAATTTCTCATACCCTACAAGAAACAGGTTATTGTTATATTTAACGCAGCGGCTTAGCGACAACTACTTACATCGAAATCACAGGCTTTACCACCAGATCCTCAGTCCTGACACTACACTCTTTGTTGGGGACCTCTTTGATGGCGGTCGTGAGTGGGATAACCCGGTCTGGTACGCAGAATACTCTCGCTTCCATAAAGTTTTTGATCCTGTTGAATCAACAAGAACATTAGCTCAAATTCCCGGAAACCACGATATCGGTTTTGGAAATGGAGTCGACCTTGCCGTGCTCAACCGGTTCAGAACATTTTTCGGCAACCCTAACGACTACCTGGTTTTGGGAAATCATAGTCTCGTCCTTTTGGATACTATCTCTTTATCTTCATCAGAGCATCCGGAAGTTAATAAAGATCCGACAGAATTTCTGGCAGCCCTAAGCCAAGACAATCACCATGCAAAACAGTATCCTCGAGTTCTTGTCAGCCATGTGCCGCTTTACAGGTTTACAGAATCTCAAACGTGCGGTCCATTGCGCGAGTCGAAGAAACGGTTTCCAGTGATGCGTGGGAAGCAGTACCAGACAGTAATCGAGTATGAGCTAAGTCAGCGCATTTTGAACTCCATTAAGCCAAAACTCATCCTTTCTGGAGATGATCATGATTACTGCCATATTCGTCATCCATTGGCAAACACAAGAGCGGTTCGCTCGGTGGCCGGCGAGGCATTCACTGACGAGATCACCGTCAAGTCATCTGCCATGACTGGAGGAATAAAGAGACCTGCTATCCAACTACTCTCTCTCTATAACCCACTAGACGGCGTTGCTGATCCCGACGTTGTTCCCGAGGAAACAGGGTCCTTGGTGGTGACTCACGATACGTTGCGATCGAGGCTATGCTATCTTCCAGACCCTTACCAGGGCCTCAGATGGTACGCGTTTGTGATACTACTAATGACCGCTTCGTTTGTGATGGTCTATATGTACCCAGGCACCACGACAAAACTGAATAGCCGCCTAAGAGACCGTCTTGGAATTATCAAGCCGCTCTACGAGGACGACTTGGTGAAGAGACAGTCACTGAAAATGTCTTTGATGGACTTTCTGCTGGATTGGAACGTCCCCGAAAGACGCAGCTGGAAGCTATGCGTGCTGCATGTAGCGCTTAGTGTCGCCATTTACATATGTATCTTAGATAGGTACCATAGTTCTATATAGCATAATCGACGCGACGATAATCGGGATCAAAATAAATTGAATTTATTTGTGCCCCTATGAATGCGGTCGACATGCCAGGCTTGCCTAGCTCGCCCACGAAGGTGATACCCGCCAATATTGTTCACACAATTGCAGTGAATATTAGCAACTTTCGGGACTTGCTAAACTTTAGCCTAGTTAATAAATCCTGTTACAATGAGATTATAAATGACAATAAGTTGTGGATAGGGTATCTGAAAACCATACACTGCTGGAAAAGGCCGGCTAGTCAGGAAAGTACAAATGGGAGAACAAAAACTGAAAGGGCTTTTGGAGATACTTCTATGCTCATTGACGAGGAATTGACACCTATCAATTGTGTATCAAGAAGCGTTTCTGATCCAAATCTAGCCCGCTTGGAGTTCATCAAAATCTACGAAATCATGGCGCCCATAGCGAACGATCTACTAGTAAAGAACTACTCCAATTTTCAGTCGCTTGCGGTGTTCAAAGAAATCAATAACCCATTTGACCAATCCATGCTCTTTGCTGGTTTGGGCAAATTCATACAAATATACAGACATGAGGACAGATATAGGAATATGGTCATCAGACTCAATACGATTTTGGACCTGTTTGTCACATCAGTGATTCGAGAAATTGATATACGGTTGAAGCAAGAGGACTTCAAGGAGGCACGCAAACTGATCAGCGCACTTGACAATTTAAATTTGGATATTGGCGACATCGAGGTGGACAGCTTGGAGGCTCTACTGGAGTTTTTTCTTGACAGATATGTCAATTCATACTCATTTTTGTCATCCAAAGATACAGTGGACCGTGTTCTCAAGAGGGCTACACACAAGGCTCGCGGGGTTGTGAAAGGACACTACTTGGATTTTGTAGAAGTCGACACCATCTTCAATCAAATTGCAAGCTTACTGAACACTCAATTGAATGAAATTGATCGAATATTTGATACCAATGCCGATGAGGTACCCATCGTGTTGAAGCTGATGGAGACGTTTCTTGGTAACTACTTCATTGGAGGACTGGTTGAAAAACTGATAAATCGGGCAAAACATATTGATGGTCTTGATGAGCCAGTAGATTTGGAGCCAGAGCCAGAAGACGAAAAGACCGACCCGCCTCATGTCAACATCATGAACGAGAACTCGCTCTATTTCCAGTGCGTTCCTTTTTTGCATCATAAACTCCTGACAACCTTTGAAAATTTGCACTATCCACAGAGCGCAATGGACTCGACGGACAAGGCCACAAAGATGGATTACTATCCGGTGATTATTGGATTCATCAACTTCTACTATGAACCCCACTTGGTGGAGTTCTCCGATCAGCTACCAAAACAATGCCACCAATCTCTCGTGCACCTAATAGAGACCTGGGAGCTTAACAAAGTAGAGAATGAGAAAATGCTGGAACAAGAAATACTCAAATTTGTAGATGATTCCTCAGAAGCACAAACAAACCACACATTCGACATTTTCAGCAGTTTCACTAATATATTCAGACTTAAAGGAGCTAAGAAAACAGAGAAAGAGGAGATCGAGAATGAGACGAAATTGACAAAGTTTGCAGCTAAGCTTCAAATATTGACTACCAATGTTCAAAACATCAAATCTCTGGTTAGCATGGACTTGACTGTTCTAATTCTACAGCATGTCAAAAACAGCTACGACCTATTACTTGGACTGACCAAAAACTCAGCCACTTCCGAAATAAAAGCCAGTATTCACAAAGTGTGCCAGGACATATTCATAGACATGCTTTCAACGTTGATTGACCGCCATATAAAAAGCGGGTTTCAAGAGGCACTGACTCGATTGAAAGAGTATAACCCAGCAGAGTTGGAGGTTAGTGTGGATTACAAAGTGGAGCCGCTAACAAACTTCATTGAACTTGTTAATGTTGGAGACCTAATTTTACAAATGATCAACATCTTCTATAACGAAGAGCTAGTGAAGAATGAGATTGTGAAAACAAAACCTCAGAAAAGTAGAGACTTTTTATCTTCCAATCAGTGCGAAAAGACAATATCCAAGCTCGAAATAATGCTTGACACATACGTCGCTGATGGACTGGATATCAGCATTCAAGTAATCATGAATGAGGTTAATATGTGCATTCTCAGGTCCCAGGTGAATGAAGGAACTTACAATTTGGTGAATATGGAACAACTGGGGATGAAAAATGGCCAGCCAAGTGTCTACGTGAAGCAAACTGTTACAATACTGGAGTCACACTTTAAAATGTTATCGGAATCTATTGATAAATCCATATTGGATATATTCAAAGAAGAGATTGGCGAGAGGTTTATTGCGACGTTTATAAAACTTCTGACCACGAAACTGAATATTTCAACTATAGGTGCGATCCAGTTCATCACCGATATCAACTACCTGTACGACTTTTTTGTGAAGTACAAAATTAAGCAAACGGTGCAGTACCTGGTGGCTTTCAAAGAAATCAGCCAGCTGTTTTTGATTGAATGCGACGATAAAAATAAATGCAAGGATCTTGGGAAGCTAGTGATAGACCTTGGACGAGACAACGGTATCTTTAGTCCAGAAGAGGTATATTCCTTTGTGAGTCGCCGCAGTGATTGGGTTAGCATCAAACGATCGGTGGACAAAATTATGTATGGTATTGGGCCCGACGATTGCACAATCGTATAAATAGTGTTAAAGCATCTCATTTAGAGTATCTGTTTCATCTTCCAATTTCAAGAACACGTCAACAACGTCGAAAGGCTTTGGTTTCTCTGGGTTGCTCAAATCCAAGTTCTTGAGCTGCTGGAACAAGCGGTATTCAGCGTCCATCACGTATGGATCCTCAGTATCTGGGTTCTGTACGTCATTCAACGTTGGGTAAAGGCCTTGCAAAAGCTTGGTTGCAAACGAGTATGTTTGGTAATACAGAGCCCCATGAGAAATGGTTGTGGTTTGGTAATGGACGATTGACATTATCAGCTCTGATGAGTTTTCAAGACCTCGCGTGGATGAGAGTTTTTTGAACATTTTAACAAACATCTCCAAAGCTGCTTGTTCTTCTTTAGCGCAAGAGCTATAAGGCGTGGTGCTGAGGCGAAGAGTCAAGAGCGTGGCAAAATCCAGAGCGATCTTAATAAATATTGGGGACTGTTCGACATTCACCCCCACCAGCTGGTCGACCAGTTCGCGACAACGGATGATCAGGGTAGAGTATTGGATAGCTTTGTCGGCCAGTTCTTTTGCCGGCTCTAGAAGAGTTAGAGTTAGATGGATCACAGACAATAAAGAGCGAAGGGACTGATCCTCCGGCGACGCTATTGAGCTCAACTGGTGCTTCCAGGAAGACAGCGAGCTCTTGACAAGATTGTCCTTTGCTGCGTTTTCCTTGTCAATGTCGAAAACAAGGCTGTTCAGCATCTTTGAGAAATAGAGCGTGATATTCACCAGCTCTCCAGTATACGAGCTCTGATTTTTCTTAAGCTCCAACAGCCTGTCTGACGACGACGACCATTGTTTCCCCAGTCTGAAGCTATGTAGAGTTCCAAGCACAAAAATCAAACACCAGATATTTTGCGAGTGAGTGGAGGATAATTTCGAGTGCGGGGAATAATCTTTGTTGAGTTCGTGCTGGACGGCAATCTCTTTTGCACGCTGAAGAAGAGAGTATATGTCGAAATTGTGTTTTTGAGGAAACGACGCCAACAGTACAATGGCCTGAATGGAATAAATATCGGTGGAGTCCTGCAACTGCTGTTTCAAATAGCCAACAATGTCTGCATCTTTGGACACTAGATAGGCGACAGTCCAAAAGAGAAGTGGCGACTGATGGTGCAACCGAGTTGGCGAGGATATGTGGTGCATGATGGGCACTTTTTCCAGGTAGCTTGTGTTGAACACGCCGAACCATGACTGGATAGTGACGGCAGAATAGTCCTTGCTACCAAGACTGAAGCAAGGGGATTCATCGAAAGAATACTCGTCATCCGAAGGGACCGGCGAACACGAGTCGATGGAAAGCGACTTGCAGCTCTCGTCGCAAGAAGGAGTATGTGAAGACATGGGAGAGGGGTAAGCAGAGATAGACTCTAGATCGAAAAGCCCGTCTACCTTGATTCCTCTTTCCTGGCAAATGTTTTGAAGTAAACGATCCTGCAACATCAACATGTCCACCAGGGCCTTCATGTCCTCAATGCTGTCGGCAATGTTCTTGATGATTGTGGAGCGTTGGACATGGACGACAGTTTCTATGTGACAATCGTGGCCCCTACGGGAGCAGGCAGAGCACGGGTTTGGGCGCGTTTCGCTGAGATTGCATTTGATTTTGTGTTTGCGACACCTTGCACAAGACTTAAGGAAGCGAAGCTTGGGCTGGCTTTTTGTAGCACCCTGAGGGTTGTTGAACACCGTGGTGGGCTTGGGAGCGGCCCTCTGCTGGCGCTTTTTCATGGTGTTGGGTAAAAGCGTCACCAATTTCCGTTTGCAAGGTTCAGACATTGGTGTGTCGAAAAAGTGCAAGGAGATTGCTTTTAACTACAACCAGGTCCAGATGCAAGGTATGCAGATAATCCGGGGAAAATAAGGTGTCGGGGTGTCATCTCCGAGCCCGGTTGGGGGTGGCATGGAGGAGTCCGGGAAAAACGGGGTGAGCTTCACGAGGCAGCCAGGGTGTGTCGTTGCATATCTCAGCGCAACCCAGGCATTTGAGAGCCGGGAAGTACAAGTCACTTGAGTTGAAAGACGGCGCTCTCTAAAAGCTTATTATGCCTCTGGAAAAAGAATTCAACATCTCTAGCCAATGCCGTGGTCGGTTTTACAAATCTTTTCATGTTGATGCGCGTGTAATGCATTTGTATTGTTAAACGTATTGTCTAGTGTGTCGGAATCCGAGTATCCGGAATCATATTCTCTCCGAGGCATTTATACATCTTAGCACCATGGGGTGCATAACCAGACCCGGTGGCTGTACGTAACAACTGGTACTGGTTAATTGTTAATTCCTCATTGGCTAATTCCTGCAACTTTTACATAATTCATTTCACAAAATTCTCTCGCGTACCTTATTATGGCGACCGCATTTCATGGCATGTTTACCGGAGGCCGCTACACGGTCCCACAGAGAATGGAGGACTTTCTACTCGATGCTTTCACAAAGTACTGCGAAGACAATAGCACGGAGGACCTCTTGATTAAAGATGTGAAGCCGTTTTTCAAGCAATACTTGCGCATCTCCGACAAACTCCTCAATTTCCTGCAACCGCACGATTTAATTCTCAAAGGTACCACTGAGGTTGTGGATTTTGAACGTTATCTGTATCAAGGCGGATTATTTCTGATTTTGAATCAGAATTTAGATTTGATACAGGACAACTGGAAATTAGTGTTGAACAGTCTAGGACGCAAACCCAGTCACAAAGAGCGCTTGTCCTTTACAGATGTGCAAAAGCTGGCCGCATCGCTAAATCAAGACACTCCACAAAGTACAGTGGCAGACATGCTCACTCTACAAGGAGACAAACAGTACATCAATTTCTTTGACTTCGCATTGATACTAGGACGTGTAGGGGAGCTAAATATGAAATGGGATTGAACTGATATCACAATGCTTACAAAATATGCTTGGATCTGAAGTAATTTCTCAGGTAGTGCACTTGCCACAAGCCGACTCCTATCAACACAAATATGATCAGAACACTGAAGTTTCTCACACGTCTGTTGGTGCTCTCGTTGGTGTCTCTCAATCTCTCCTCTCTTCTCACCAAGTATTGCAATTCCTCGCTGATCTCGTCAACCATCTCCTCTATCTTGCGGAACTGAACCTCTGCCGGCTTCAACTTCTCAACTGCCTGGATAGCATTCCAATCTCTGGCAGCAGCACCTGCCTCAACCTCGAGCTCGATCTCACGCGACAACTGACCTTCTTTTTGTCTGTTTTGCAAGTGGTTTTCGAAACAGATGTCGAACGACGACGACGATTGCGACGTGAATGCTGCGCGGAAATTACCAGCCACATCTCTCTTCTTACGGTACTCGTTTCCCTCGGAATCAACAATACGAAGCGTCAAAACTTGGCCGTCGCCCACAAATCCATTGGTGTTAATGTTGACCACAACAAGTTGTCCATCGGAAACGAATTCACGCACACATTTTGGAGGCGGATTGTGTAGAGTAGCCGGAATCTCAAGCTTCAATGAGGAAGCAAGACCGGCAAACAGTATAATAAATCTCACGATTTCGATCACCTTCATACGTCAAGTCGAACACAGATCCGATAAATAAACACCGCGTCCAGTTTTTTTCCAGCTGTCGTGAACTTTTTCATGCTGCCATTATTATATACGGGTCAAAAAACGCTCTACTTTACATAGCTTACTCGGGATGGTAGTCGTCATCATCTTTGGCGGGAGTAGGAGCCGTCCAATCTCCAACCGCAGGAGAAACGCCCCAGTCATTATCACGAGGAGTCTCGGTATCAGGCTGCCAAGCAGACCGCCCCCCCCACACGGAGCCAGAACCATCGTTCCACGCAGGAGTCTTGCCTCCACTGTTCCATGCTGGCGTTTTGCCCCCAGAGTTCCATGCTGGAGTCTTTGCGCCCGAGTTCCACGCAGGCGTTTTTCCACCTGAGTTCCAGACTGGGGTCTTTCCTCCAGAACCCCAAGCAGGAGTCTTACCACCGCTACCCCAAGCAGGAGTCTTGCCACCACTGCCCCAAGCAGGAGTCTTACCACCGCTACCCCAAGCAGGAGTCTTGCCCCCACTACCCCAGGCTGGAGTTCTCGCGCTTCCAAAGCCTAGATCAGAACCATTACCGCGAAGTGGACCACCGTTCGGAGCACCTCCAGATGAAAATGCTGCACCTGGACGTCTGCCCCTGTAGTTTTCCATGTACTGCTCGTACGGCACGAACTGGCCAGGACGGGTTTCAAAAAGCAGATCTGATTTGTTGATTGGGATGATTTTGGCCGGATTGTGCATCTCGACACGAGCAACGTCTCCATTTGCATCTTTCACGATACCCTTCTTACCCTTATAAGGACCCTTTCTGACACTGACATTCTGATTAAGAGTGATATCACGGCCACCAAACTTCGAAGCAACTATCGGAGCAGCCGGAGGAGGCATAAGACGGTCTGGATTCATTTTATTGAGATCTGGGGCTTTGAAGGTCGACAAAATGGATCCTTTATTTGAGACAGTTTGAACTTCAGTGGCATCAACCACTATAATACCATTATTTTCGGTAACGTTCTTGGACTTTAAGAAAAGATGGGAAAGGTAAATATGGACAATGTTTCCTTCTCTTCTCTCGCCCGACACTTCTTTGACGACGTCTCCTACTGCGATTTCAAGACCGTTTCTGTCGGTTGTCTTCTCGGTCATCTTATTGAGTTCCAATGGAGATTGGATCGCCTTGGGCTCCACTTTCACAACCCGTCCATCAGTGCACAGCACTGTAAACACTTCCTTCTCTGCTCGAATGACCATTCCAACAGATTGCGAGTTCAGCTTGACCAATTGGAATAGCTCAAAAGCTCCCGTTTGCGTCGAGTCGGTTGAGGAATCTATGGACTTCATCAAATAATTAGGGAACACAGTAATGTCTTTCTTTGTCTGGTCGGAAACAAGCGTAACTTGATTCTCGTCAACTTTCACAATCAGTCCGCTCTCATTCGAATGGACATCATAGATCACAGTCACGTGATCACCAGGAAGGAAAATCTTTCTGAGAGTCGAAGTTGGCACCTCCACGATGGAGTTGTTCACCTCCCGGTCGTCATTTCCCTCCAACTGAACACGGGCAATTTTAGCTTCTGGCGCAGAAACCACCTTACCCTTCATTTTAGCTTGTTCACCGCTGACAATCTCCACTCTGTCGTCAGGCTGAAACACAATGGCCTTATCACTTGCATCCTTCAAGGAAGAGGCAATTGATTGCAAATCAATGCCTTCTGAGCTGCTGCCAGAATTGAATAGCGTCAATTCATGCAGAGTTGGCTTGACGTTTCTGGTCTCCACTTGCTGAATCTTGACATCTTTGTACAAAAACCCATCGATGAACTCCTCATTTCGGTAGATGTAGTAACCTCTTTCTCTTCTAGCAGTAGACAGATGTTCAGGATCATTTTGACTGGCCTCGATCTCAGAGAAAAGTCTCTGTGGTGGCCTAAATTTCGAGCTTGCTGGTCCACGTCTTCCCTTTCCAGAATCCAGACTACCTTGTGATTTACCATAATCCAGTCTTGGAACTAACTTGACTCGCACTTCCAAATCGTTTTCGGCAAGATTATCGACGATTCCCAAATCCCCTTTATACTTTCCAACCTTGATTCGCACATATGATCCTGGCTGCAGCTGAACTTCATTCGATCTTCCAGGACGAAGCAAATCCGGATATTCCTCAATTGGAACAAGAACCTTGTTGTTTGCGTACATTCCAGGCAAGCCTTGAATAATTTGATTCACAGCGTCCAGTCTGCGAGCCTCGATGTAAACGTAACCACTGAAATTGTCTCTTTGGAAAGCACTGAAAACGTCCGTGTATCTCTTGTTCAACATACGAGCATATATTTGTTTGACTAGTTCTTTCTCCAGCCCATTTCTGACACGAATACCCCAAATCAAAGGATCGTCAACGGATGGAAGCAATAAACGCTGAGACACATTTGTGGTTGATCCCATATAACGGGACGATGCAGAACGACCATATCTCGCCTTGAACTGGTCTGCTAAAGCCTGTGCATCCTGTTCGTCGAGTTTTTCCCTCGAACGATCCAGCTTCCTGTGCAATCGATCGCTCACGACACCAGTTTCGTCGTGTGCTTGGTCATCTGCTAAGAACTCATTACGAAGTATCTCAGCATCTTCGTCATCCTCATCTTCCTCTTCATCATCATCGACTTCGGCCTCAACATCCAGAAACTGGTTACCCCTTCTTTTCTTTCGTCCACGAAGTGCTTCATCGTCGTCGTCATCGTCTTCTTCTTCCTCTTCATCATCCTCGGCTTCCTCATCTAAGTTGACGTCCTCAAATTCCCCTTCTTCTTCATCGTCTTCATGATCATGTTTCACGGTATCTTCCTCCTGCTTCGACTGGGGAGACTCGTCATGAGGTTGGGTATCGGCGTTGCCGACGCTAATTTCCTCCGGATTGGTAGTTTCCTCACTCATTATCCATATTATTTATTTAATTGCCACTACTTTTCTTCAACGCAAAAATTTTCGCGGGCTCAGAACCCAGTATATACATATAGTCGGTGAACAAGCCAGACACCAAGCCTAGCTCTTTGATCTCCGTTGTGATTGTCTCCGCCAATTGTCACTGATCTGCAGCAATCATAGACGACAGGAGGAGAAAACGACGTTGTTGAAAATACTTTAACCGCTCACTCAGGATCATCAACAACTATCTCTTCTTTTGCCAATCAAAGGCACCCCTAGAGAAGTCCAGAGGTTTCTTTTGTGGCATCTTCCTCTTTCTGTTTTCCGTGAACAGAACATGGCGTTGGACGATCGGATCGTAGTGGATATGTTTTCTCTCGTTGGCCGTTCTCTGGATCACCAAAGACCGCATGTACCCCGTTTTTGCTGTAGATGCCAACTGTATAATCGTTGTCTTAGCCTTGGATTCTAGAATGTTAGAGACACTTTGTGCTTGCTGAACTTACTTGCCATGTTCGTTGGAGTAGAATAATGAAAAATGGAAAATAATTTACCTACAGTCGATCGCCGCGTCGTCCTTCCAAATCTCCGTAAATCGACTACGCTTTAAACTAGCTTTGAGCTGTGGTCTACATGAATAAATTAGAGGATTTGAATCCCCTTTTCTGCCCGGCCTCTTCTAACGGCTCAGACTACACTCCATTTGAAGACAGGCATCCAACACTGGCAAATTATTACAAGTTTGCTCAAGTGAGTAAGATTAATGCCTACTTTTACCAAGTGCAAGAGCCTCCACCGAAAGAAGCTAGTGCGGTCTCCGATACAACAAAGGACGAAAAGGTTTCTCCTTTAGAGCAAGTGCACCACTATGAAAACTCGATTAAGCAACAATTGGCTCGGGATTATCAAATATTGGATGTACTGACATACGGGGCCAAAAAGGAAATATGCATTTTCAGACTCGAAACTAGACTAAACCCGCAGGATCAGGAGCTTGGATTCAATCAGCTAAAGGATGCAATTGACAACATCATCATAGAAAGCAAACTCTCTCTCAAACTAGCATCTGCAACAACCTTTGATGCCGACTCAGTGTTTAAGTCTCAGGCTAACCCACAGCAACAATCGCGACCGAGTAGCATTGTGTATCTCAGCTTCTTGAGAGCATTGAAGAAATTTATGTGTCATCATCTTATGGCTAGATCACCAGAGGTTGAAATACTCCCATTTGGAAACCAATTGCTGGTTTGCTCTGCGCAAGACACATTCCAGATTTTAAAAATTAACACATCGCTTAGCATTCGCAACGAAATTATCTCTAATTTTGCTATAAACAGCATTCCACGGTTTTATCGACTGTCAACTCTTTTAGACAGCGAATTTGACATCTTGAAAAACAACTACGCCCTCTACATGTGCCCTTCTGGGGTGCGATGTTCTTTTGCTAATCAAAATATGCTGGCAAACTCACTCTCTTTTGAGCCCCCGGCAAACTATGAAAAGCTCCTGCACTTGTTATCCGAGTACTCTCATATCAATCTTGAAATGCCTTCGCGTTGGATAAAACTCGTCCCAAATTTGAACCACATGAACGGGCTTACGCCAAATATTGCTCGATATCTCGAATCATCTGCTCCCAACTCAAAATATATTATGTGGCCCACTTCTATGTGCATGATTCAATTTGGGGACGACGTCGAGGAGTCCACGTTTGAACTAAGCGACTCTTTCGAATTGATCGAGGAACTAATGCTTGAGTCTGACGAAGAAACCCAGCTACCACAAATATCAGCCATCGAAGAGCCTACGGCAGATTCCAACCCCACGGATGTTGATATGGACTCTGCAAAAGAATCCACTGGAGATTGGGATGAACTGTTCGGGGAATCGATGAATGAAGAGGAAGATGAGGTCCAGAATGATGTGCCAGAATCAGAATCCCAGTCCAAACCCGAACTGGTGTCGAGTCCGGTTGAAAAGGATGCAAAGCAGTTTATTGAGCTTGAGCCGTCCAACCCACTCTATGAGGATCCAGGTGCACCATCTCCGGCTTCGTTTCACATATTTGCATCCCCAAGTCCCGGGA